ACACCGCCTTTGCGGCGAGGCGCGTGTGGAAGGCCCGCCCTCGCCTAGCCTCGCCTCGAGATGAGCCGAGATCCATCGAGATTGGCCGAGGCGCGTGTGCAATGCCCGCCCTCGCCTCGCCTCGCCTCGCCTCGACGGACCTCGCCTAACCTCGACTGCTCCCTCTTGCGGCCAGGTCTACCTCGCCGTCTGCGTCGGCGAGCCGCACAGCCGCGCAGTGATCGACGCGCCGATCGGCCGCCACACCACGGACCGCCTTCGGATGGCGGTGCGGCGCGGCGACGGCGCAGACGCGCGCGAGGCGCTCTCGGTCGTGCACCGGATCGCCACCGACGGCATCCGCCACCGCCCCCACCGCCGCCCTCGCCGCCCTCGCCCCCACCGCCGCCTCGCCCTCGCCGCCCTCGCCGCCCTCGCCGCCCCCGCCGCCGCCGCCGCCGCCGCCGCCCTCGCCGCCCTCGCCGCCCTCGCCGCCCTCGCCGCCCTCGCCGCCCTCGCCGCCCCTGCCCTCGCGCGAAGAGTGTGCATGCGCGAGCCCAGCCCGCCCCCCCGCTCGTCCTGCAGGCCGGCTCTCCCTGGTCGCGGTGCTCCTCCGGACCGGCCGCACGCACCAGATCCGAGTCCACCTCGCAGATGCGGGCCACCCGGCGAGATGCCGAGGATAGACGCGGGTATACGACCTCCCGTCGCCACCTCACCCCCCCCCCCTCGCCAGGTGCTCGGCGACCCGCTCTACGGCGACGCCAACTGGAACCGGCTCGAGGCGCGCACCGCTCGCAGGCCTCTCCTCCATGCGAGGGAGCTCCGCCTCGCTCACCCGCACTCGGGCGAGTTGCTGCACGCCGTCGCGCCCGCGCCCGACGACCTCGCCGCCTATGGCGCCCGCCTCGCCGGCGTGTCGCCCGATCGGTTCGACGCGTGGGCGCGCGAGGCGACCGACGCCGTCCTCGCCGAAGCTCGAGATAGTTTCGAGTACTGCTGAGGCCGACGGCTTGGCAGCCCGGCCCGAGGCCCGAACCAGACCGCCGCGGCGCAGCGGCCAGCGCGACGCGCTACGACGTACGTGGTACGAGGCACGTCACACGATCGAGACTTTTGGCTAGAGCATCGAGGTAGAAACACAGTAAATAAGGGGTGCCAGCTGCCAGTGTGCGGCGTTTTTGCATTTGTTGGTGCACCCACGACCCAGGAGCAGCACCCACGCAGTCGTGTGCGCTGGAGCGTTGCGGCGCGAGCGCACTGCGAGAGCGCGGCGCGTGTGGAGGGCGGGGCGCGTGCGCGCGGCGACCGGTGGTGGACGTGGCTGGAGAGCCTGGCAAGCTACAGAGAGCCGAGCGCTGGACACGCTGGAGTCTGGACTCCGCGACCCTCTCTCCCCACACACTGCGAGGAGCGCGACGCCGGTCGCAGTCACCAGGGCATGTTCTTCTGCCTCTTGTGCACGTGCGGCCGCTGCTTGCCCTTGGTCGTCTTGAGTTTGCTCCGCTCCTTCTTGTCGTTGACTGCCATCGCGTGCACCCACTGCTGTTTGGTGCTTGACTGCTCCTGGCTGCGCTCGGCCCAGGTGCTCTTGCGCACCTGAAGGGGCGGGGGGGGTCGACGCTCGGCGGTGGCGTGGTGGGGAGGAGTGGTGTGGCGGGCTCGCCTTGACGGGCCGGTTGCCAATGTACTTTCCGTGCATCTCGCGCAGCGCCTTGGTCATGTCCCAGGGGTCCTTGAAGGACACGAAGCCGTAGCCGAGCGACTTTTGCGTCCCCTTGTTGCGAACCACCCTCGCCTGGCAGCCAGGGGGGGAGAGGGGGAGGAGGGGTCCGGGCGGGGCGGGAGGGCGAGGAGGCGGGACGGGCGAGAGCTGGAGTGGGCGGGGGCGAGGGGGCGAGGGGGCGAGGCGGCGAGACGCAGGGATGCCTCGGATGCCGGGAGCCGGTCCCGAGGGGAGGGGGTGCGGGGCGCGCCTTTTGGAAGGAGGGGTAGGCGCCAAAGGCGTGGGCGAGGACGTCGTCGTTGGTCTCGTTGCCTAGGTCGCCGACGAAGATGCGAAAGTCGTCGTCTGGCCACTCCGCCTGGCGCGAGGGAAGGGGGGGGGGGGGGGGTGAACCGCGGGGGGGCTAAAATGGGCCACTGGGGGAGTGGGGGCTAGGGAGAGAGGGAGAGGATGGTGGGCCGAGGGAGAGAAAGAGCCCGCGCGGCCCGTCGTCCCACGCCTGATTGGCCATCCCCTCTCCGCCACCTCTCCTCCCTCTCGGCTACAGCGCGCCAGCGTCGGGTCCTCCCAGGACTTGCCCGCGCAAAACCGCTTCGTCGACGTCTCCGCGTTGGCCTTGACTGGCTTGGGCGGCGCGACGGGCGCGGTGTGGGTCCACTGGGACGGGTCCATCTCCACCGGTGCCACCATCTCGGGCGGCTTGTTCAGGTGCTCGTACCTCCTCCGCGGGTCAAACCCGGGCGGCGGAGGCGGGCGCTCTCCCGGCGCTCCGAACGCGGTCGGCGGCGGCGCATTGCGGAGCTCGAGCTCGGCCTGCGCAAACTGGTCGTAGTCGACGTGCCGGCCGCCGGACGGGCCGGCCGGCTCGTACGTCGGGGCCGGCGGCTGCACGTAGTCTCCGCTCACCCGCATCGACCGGACCGGCAAAGACGAGATCACCTTTGGCGCCTTTGGGCCGGCAGCGGCGGCGGCGTCCGATGGCTTGGACGAGCCGCCCATCTGGGAGAGCTCCGCCTGGAAGGCGGCTAGCTCGTCGTCCATCGAGAGGAGCCGGGAGAGCGCGGTGGTGGGCTGAGAAGAGAAAGTCCAGGCGCGGTGGGCGACGGCTAGCACCACACTCCTTTTCTTTCTTTCTTTTACCACACTCCTATCCTTAAAATCCCTGTGTGGTGGCGGCGTGCCGTCCTCCCATCCCTCCCTTGGGTTCTATGTGTACTCACTCACTCACACAAACAAACAAATCTCTCTCTCACACAAGGGACACTCACTGGGCTGACACATTTCTTGTTGCTTCTAAAAATCTCTCTCTGTCATGTCATGTCGAAAAGAGAAACGGAAAAATCCACGTGAGAGAGAGAGAGAAAGCGGATACAAAACAAGAACTCTCTTCTATGACAAGTGATCCCATGTGGGGACTGCATGATCCGTACACGTGAAGGAGTGGCCCGTCCTTGGAACTAGGCGGCACGTGCACCGCCCTCCGCCGAGGGCGGAGGAAAGGAAAAAGAAAAGGGAGCCAGCCGGAAGCCTGACGGCGGCGCGTGCAGATGGAGGCTGCACCGTCACCGTCACCGTCACCGCCGCAGCCGCCGCCGCCGCCGCAGGACGCGCCACGACGACGGCGGTCGTGCCTCGTCAGGGCCATCGGCTCGGCTGTGGACGGCTGCATCCTCGGAGGCGCGCTCGGAGGCATCTTTGCGTCCGGACAGGCGCTGCAGCTTGGCCTCGTCGGCGGTGGAATCTTTGTGCTGCGCTCGGCGGCGCGGTCCGCCATAAGCCTTGGCGGCTTCCTCTCGTTTTACAATGGCGGCACATGCTCACTCGAGCGGGCCAGAGGGAAGAAGGATGCATTCAACCCGTTCGCAGTCGGCGGGCTGATTGGCATCGCAGGCGGCCTGCCCGGGTACCTGACCCCCATGCCGCACGCACCGTACCTCTACCGCAACACACGCGCCCTCGCCGGTGCGGGCTTGAGCAGCGCGCTGCTGTGCTCGGCCCTCCCGTTTCTGTTTGGAGGCGGCACGTCGCGAGAGGAGGCTCCAGGCGCTCCTCCCGTCGCCGCTCCCGAGGAGCGAGTCACCCCTCCGGCGGCGCTTCCACACGCCCTCGAGAGCGCGGCGGGAGAGCTTGCTCCCGCGCCGGCCTTCGACGAGTCGCCGCCGTCGGTCGACCCGGCTGCGGGATGGGGGATTGCGCCTTCCGATGGCGCGGTGCTTGCTCCGGTGGCGGCGCCAGCGGGTGGCGGGGGCGAGGCCCTGGTGGACAAGTGGGCGGCAAAGTGATTGCCGCGGGCACAGCGCCCGGCGGCGGCGAGGCGCACGTCGGCACGTCTTTGGAGAGACGGAGAGTTTCTCCACGCCCGGCGCGCCGAACTTATAGCCTTTAGGTATTTGTCGCTCTTGAGAGTTTGCCGTGGGGCTCCTCGCTGGTGGAACTGCTGGGAGCTCCACAGAGAGTCCTGGAGAGAGGGGGACGTCACGATCTCTCTCATTCACCGTGAGTGACCGAGCGATGAGATGAGAAGTCCAATCACCAATGGGCGGGCCGGAGACCAGCGCGGCGAGTGCGATGAACGCGGCGACGGCGCGTACGACGCGGCGAGAAGGGCGCCCAGGGAGAGAGAGAGCATGCTGCAAGGACGTTGGCACTGGCGCTGCTGAAGGAGTCGCGACTCGCGCCGCCAGGGCTCGCGCCGCCAGGACAGCGGCAGGCGCGGGAAGAAATCACGTCTCGCCACTGATACGCCGTGACACTTCATCGACGTCCGGCAGCGTCTCACAGCGTGTCAGGGATGAACTTGCGATCAAAAAAGGCGGATGTGGCTGACTCCGACCACGGAGCTCGCTTTCTGTGCCAGGCATCCTTGGCCCTCCCGCCCGCGACCCCACGAGCGATCAGCAACCCCTCACGAGCTATCGTTCCGCACGCAGATACAAATCAAGGACGGCCGCATGATCGCCCCCAAGTGCCTCTCCATGTTCTCCATTCTGGCGCTGTTCCACGACCTTGCACAAGCGGCGCCTACCAACGAGGAGTGCTCGCCCGTGGGGAGCACGCGCACGGGCAACATTCCGTGTGCTGCGCGGGCAACATTCCGCTTCGGTGAGAACGATGTCGTAGGCAAACTCGGTTCAACGGAGGGCGTGACGTTCGTGGACGCCGTCGTCGACAAAGTTGACGGGGAGCGCCAACTGCTCAACCTCACCGTGCAAGCGGTCGGCGGCGACGTTATTTACGACGAGAGATCCGAAGGCGGCGCCCTGTCTGGTGAGTTTGCTTCCCTCAACTTGAAGGAGAACAGGAGCACCGACTTCCGCCTCACCTTCTCGGGGCCGCTGACGGCGCCGCTGGAATTTTGCGTCTTTGACCTCGACGTCTCGATGGAGTCAAATGGCCAGCTCCGGTTCCAGGAGAGCGTTACGGCGTGCGGCAACACCGGCCACTTTACCATCGAGGATCTGACCAACTCCATTGACCACAAACTCAAGATCGAGGCCAGCTCGGTTGACCACGAGATTGGCGCTACACCTGCAGACGGCTCGTGCACCACTTTCACTGCCGCGCATGATTCGGGCGAGGCACAATTCCGATCTGGAGACTTCAATCCGGTCTCACCCGACGATGTCTTTGGCGTGAATCCGTGCAGCATGACAGACGTCACCCGGAAGCACATCGCGCCCCGCTTTGTCTGCCTGCAGTACGCGGCCGGAGCAAGCAGTGTCGATCTCAGGCTCACCGCCGGCGGCAACGACAACGGGGAGGGCGGCCGCAACTTCCTCATCGGTGGGGTTCCGCAGATCTGCCCCCTCCCGACACCGCCGACGCTTCCGACCTCTCCGCCGCCGTCGTCGCCTCCGTGCCAATGCGTGACCTCCTCGAGGACCTACGCATCATGCGCTGCCGACACCTACTCATGGAACCCCGCCACCTCGAGGTACGAGGCGCCCTCCGCAAACCGCCAGATCTGCTCTAACGGCAAGTGCCAGCGCTTGGGCTGGAACTGCGGTGGCGGGCACTACGGCTACACGACGACGACCTGCGCCGAGTGCCCCTCCCCAGCGGCGCCACCATCCCCTCCTGCGGCGCCTCCGTGCCCGTGCGTGACCTCCTCGAGGACCTACGCATCATGCGCCGCGGACAAATACGCGTGGAACCCAGAAACATCGATGTACGAGGCCCCATCGATCAACCGACAGATCTGCCCGAACGGCAAGTGCCAGGGCTTGGGCTGGAACTGCGGTGGCGGGCACTACGGTTACACGACGACGACCTGCGCCGAGTGCCCCTCCCCAGCGGCGCCACCATCCCCTCCTGCGGCGCCTCCGTGCCCGTGCGTGACCTCCTCGACGACCTACGCATCATGCGCCGCGGACAAATACGCGTGGAACCCAGAAACATCGATGTACGAGGCCCCATCGATCAACCGACAGATCTGCCCGAACGGCAAGTGCCAGGGCTTGGGCTGGAACTGCGGTGGCGGGCACTACGGCTACACGACGACGACCTGCGCCGAGTGCCCTGCGCCACCGCAGCCCTCGGCGCCGCCCTCGCCGCCGCCCTCGCCACCGCCGCCATCCCCTCCGCCGCCGTCGCCTCCGCCACCATCCCCGCCCCCGCCGTCGCTTCCGCCCTCTCCGCCGCCGTCGCCTCCACCGTCGCCGCCTCCGTGCCAATGCGTGACCTCCTCGAGGACCTACGCATCATGCGCTGCCGACACCTACTCATGGAACCCCGCCACCTCGAGGTACGAGGCGCCCTCCGCAAACCGCCAGATCTGCTCTAACGGCAAGTGCCAGCGCTTGGGCTGGAACTGCGGTGGCGGGCACTACGGCTACACGACGACCACCTGCGCCGAGTGCCCTGCGCCGCCGCCGCCGCCCTCACCGTCGCTACCTCCGTCGTCACCTCCGTCTCCGCTAGTGCCGCCGCTCCCCCCAGCCCCGCCGTCAATGCCTGAGCTTGCTCTTCCGACTCTGGACAACTACACCCGCATCTACAGAGACGGCGACAGTGTCGCGGACCTCACCTCGCTCACCTACCGGACTGACGCGATCATCCGAATGACGGCGAAGACAAACACCACCTTCGAACTCATCAACTTCGTGCCGGTCGACTTGGAGGACGTCGAGATCGTCATGAGCTTCTACGGGGGTCCGCAAAACGTCAGCGTCGGGCGCATCGACTCTCTTCCTGCGCACGCCGTCTTCGAACTAGAATTCCCTTTTGTGACCTTCCCTGACCGCGAGTTCACCGATCAAGACGGTGTCGCTGTGGACCTCGCCAACTACGGCTCAGGAATACCGATTGCGCATGGCGGCGTCCGGGCCGGGCAGGAGTGCTGGTCGAACTCTGCCGCCAGGTGCCGTGACGACGGCGACACGCCGTGCGACTGGTGTGGCGGGTCGGACTGGTTCTGCTGCAGCGCAACGTGGAGCTACACGTCGTCGGACAACTGTCACCGCGACAACGTCGTCTTCTACAGCGCCGAAGGCAACCACCGCTGCGCCAAGAAAGGAGTGCACCTGAGCTTCGACTACCGGGGCACGAGCACCACCATGCAGCGCCTCGAGCGTCTCAAGAGCGTTCCGTGGTCTTTGAGCCTGAAGGACTTCGATTGGAGCAATGACCCCTCGAACAACTGGAGGGAGGACCCGGAGCCCAGGCACGCCCGCTTGTGGACCGCGCTCATTCTGAATGTGGCGTTCATGTACAGCCACCCCGACTTCGCCGACCGCATGGCGGCGGAGGAGATCACCGACAACCAGGGCGCCCTGATGACTGCCGAGAAGAAGCGCAGCGTTCTCTCGGAGCTACTCTCGCCTCGGCGCTTCAACCTCGGCGTCGTCGCCAAGGTCAGCGGCCTCGGCGGGGGCAGCACCTTGGGCGTCGCTGAGTACGTCCTGAAGAGCGACTTCTTCTACGGTCAGCAGCGGGGCGGTGTCACGTACCACGAGCTCGGGCACTGCCTCGGCTACAACCACGACTCTTCCATGACCTACCCGACCAACGGCGCCGGCTTCAGCAAGCTGGGCGAGACATTTGGCAGAGAGATGTCAGCTGCGGGCGACGTTCTGATCGACCAGACCAACTACGCGTTCGCGGACTACACAGTCCAATAGACGCAGAGGCAGAGCGGCGGGGGGCGTCGAAGCGCCGGATGCGTCACATGCAACGTCAATCAAAGTTGACGGACGCCGTCGTACAAGCAGCCGAGCACTCTAGTCGAGCGAGAGAGAGGGAGCGAGACCGCCCACCTCTCGCCCTGGCATGTCTAGTATCTCTACGTTGCATCTCTATGTCTAGAGTATCTCTACGTTGCATCTGCCATCTCTATGTCTAGTATCTCTACGTTGCATCTCTATGTCGAGCCCGGCGGCCGCGGCGGCGCTCCGGCGGCCGCGCCTCTGCACCAGGTGGTGGAGAGGAACCTGAGCTCTTCCTGCATCGTTCGCGGAGAGCGGATTCGCGTTTTTTTTCAGAAACTAGCGGTACTTGAAAAACGCGCCACGATATAGCAGTGCACCCCGTTCCCCTTCACCCTGTCGCACCGAGACGCGGGAGGGAGGTGCGAGGACTTGACTCTTGGTTGTGCTTGTGGTTCAAAGACCGAGCGAACACAATACAGCACTAGTAAAAATCGAGCGCGCGGCGCAAGCGCAACCCCCGATCTCGCGTGATGCGTCCCTCGCGTCACTCCAGTCCCGCCGCCGCCACTCGCCGCCAAGCCTCGGGCCACTCGGCGACCCGCGCGGCGAGAAGCGGCGCGCGGCCGCCCTCTGCGGCTGCGGCGAGGTGGTGGAGAGCCCAGCGGAGGAGGAAAGACGTGTCTGCCCCCTCGGCGCGCGACAGGTTGCCGCGCTGCAGCGAGTGCTCGAGCAGCTCGAGCAGCCGATCCCCGTCGGCGGCCGGCGCCTGCGGCTGGGCGGCCCACGCACACAAACGCGACGGCGGCGGCGGGTCCACGCACAGCTTGTGTGCCAGCGCCTCGAGCTGCCCCCACGCCTCGATCTGCAGCGCGGCGGGCTCGGCGGAGCGGAGCGGGAGCAGCGCCCACTGCGTGTAGAGGGGGTCGCCGAGCGACTCGGCGGAGAAGTGGTCGAGCGTGCGAGTCACCAGGGACATCACGTCCGCCTGCGGCTCGCCGCCGAGAAGCGACGACCCTGCCGCAAAGTCCGCCGCTCGCGCCTCCCCGCCCTCTGCCGCCCACGAGTCCAAGAGCGCCCTCAGCGACGCGGCGACGACAGCGTCGCGCCAAGGCGCCGCGGGGAGCGTGTAGACCTGTCGCCGCCGGCAGAGGGCGCGTCGGCGTGCTGGGGCGGGGGCGACGGGGGCGACGGGGGCGACGGGGCGACGGGGGGGAGGGTCGGCGAGGTGAGGCCTGCAGGAGGCGGCAGAGCCCCCGCGAGCGCGGCAGCCAACGCAGCGGCGCGAGAAAGAAGCGCGAGTGGAGGACGAGCCAAGCGAGGGCCGCGCGGAGCTGAGCGACCATCGCCTCCTCCTCCACGACACCGCCGCCGTCGGCGCCAAACGCCCACGTGGGCGTGAGCATCCAGTCCGCAGCCAGAGGCAGCCGTGAGCGGCTCGGCCGCGGCCAGAGGGACAGCAAGCTCGAAGCGCGGCCTTCGACCCTCGCCTGTGGGACGCGGAGACACGACGTGAGCGCGGCGCTCGCGGGCTGCCGCTAGTGCCGCCCCGCTGCAGCTCTAGGCAGCACACGCCTGCGCCTCGGCCTGTGCGGTCTTTGGCAGGCGGAGGAGCTGCAGGAGGGGAGAGAGCAGCGCCGGCCGGAACGAGGCGAGCAGAGCGGGAGCGTCGGGGGCGTCGGTGCACGCGAGGTCGGCTCGGCGCAGCCAGCGCGCCGCGAGCAGAAGAGACGACGCGACGCCTTGCGCCAGCGCCTCGTCGCCGGCGCGCATCCAGCCGAGCGAACACGCGGCGAGCTGCAGGAAGGAGCGAGCCGCGGCGCTGCCCCTCGAAGCGTCGCGGCCGCCGTCGGTCGGGGGAACGCCGCCGCCATCAACGCCGTCCAGCAGCATCAAAAGAAAGTACGCCAGCCGGCCGGAGAGACGGAGCTCGTGCTACAGTCAACAAGGGGTGGCGTGAGAGCGCGGGGTCCGCGGCGCGGGCGTCACAGCTGCACCCGCCCACTCCGACGCCTCCTTGCCCACCCTCGCGCGCAGCCGCTGCCCCGAGCCGGCCTTCAGAGGCTCCCGGCCGGCGGGTCCGATGGCGGCGGGAAGCAGCGCCGCGAGTCGCCACAGCAGCGCGTGCGCGTCCGTCGCGCCCAGCTGCAGCAGCAAGCCGCGGTGCTGCCGCGTCAGCTGCCACCACAGCCGCGCGTAGCCCAGCAGCAGCTCGAGTGCGGTCCGCAAGTGCGCACTCTCCACCGCTGCTCCCGCCTCGCCGGCGGAGGCCGCCCTCTCCACCAGCGCCACCGCCCAGCCCAGCGCCCCTGCGCCTCCGTCGCTGCCGCCACCGCCTGCCGCCTTTGCAGTCGCGCGCGTCGCCGCCGGCAGCATCAGCCGCTCGGCGACGATGGTGCACCACGGCAGGAGGGGCAGCTCGCACGCGCCCGTGAGTGGCGTGGCGCTCGCCGCCGCGTGCCGCGGCATGGCTTGCAAGTACGAGGCGAGGAGGTGGAGCCGCGACGCAGACACCTCCGCCCCCGCGGCGCCGCCCGCCCCCCCCGCGTCTGCTGCCCCCCCCGCGTCCGCGAGCAGCGCCTCGACCGCCGGCGGGACGAAGGCGGCGAGGTGGCGCCACCGCCCTTCCTCCGCGGGGGACGGGTCGAAGCTGCCACCCAAGCACTGCGCCTCGGCGTCGGAGAGTGCCGGCGCGCCGCTCGCACCGGCGCTGGGCGGGCCGAGCGCGGCGACCGCATCCGCCACCTGCGTCGAGATGTCGTCGACGCCGCGGCCGGCGGCTGCGCGGCCGGGCCTCTCGCCGGGCGGAGGGTGCGTGACGGGGTGGCCGGCGCCGCAGAGGGTCTCGACGAGGCCGAGCGTGGCGCACGCGAGTCTCGCGGCGGCCTCCTCGCCCTCGCCGCAGCCGCCTCGGGGGTGGGTGGCGAGGGAGAGGACAGGGAACCAGCTGCCGAGCGAGGGCGCGGTCAGGCCGTAGGCGACCAGGCAGCGCCACACGGCAACCGCGGCCGCGCCGAGCCGCCGGGCGTCGGCAAGGTCTGACACCGCGTCGTGCGCGGCGGTCGCTCGCGTGGCGGACAGGAAGCGGGCGTGGCACGACGACAGCACCTCCGCCTCGAGCAGGAAGGCCGCAGACTCGCGGCCCGAGCTCGCCAGCAGCTGCACTAGGGAGAGCGCGAGCGCGAGCGAAGCGGCGTCGGCGTCGCCGCACCGCAGCATCGAGGCGACGAGGGGCAGAAGCCGAGGGGTGCGGCAGATGGTCAGCGCACGCGCGGGGCTGCCTCGCGCCGCCATGCACAGCAGCGTCAGCGCGTGCTGCCTCGCCGCCGGCTCCAGGTCCGCAACCTCTGCCAAGTAGCGGAGCCGCTCCGCGAGGCCCATCTTCAGCCACCCTCCGAGCAGGTCGCGCCGGCAGAGCTCCGCGTCGCCGCCCGCCTCAGCGCCCGGATCGAGATCGGCCGTCTCGGCGGCCCCCGCCGCAGCGCCAGCGCCGCGCAGCTCGGCGGAGGCCTCGCAGCCGCGCCAGCTCGTCGCTGCCGGCTCGAGCTCTGCGAGGATCGCGTCGGCGGGCGGCGCGCCGAGCGAAACGGCGAGGGCGACGGCGGCGTCGAGCGCGGCGTGCACCGCGGACAGGTTGGCGTCGTCGAGCGCCACGCGGATGGCAACCTAGTGGCCGTGTCGTGGACGTGTCGTGGACGTGTCATGGACGGGCCGACGAGGCGCCGGAGGAGAGACCGCAGCGTCCGCGTCGCGCGACCAGCGCCGAACAGAGGCGGCGAGCCGGCCTGACGAGTGGACGCTCCACACGCGGGCGAGCGCGCGGAGGGCCGTCGCGCGCTGCGCCGGCACGGTCGACCTGCCGAGGCAAGAGCGCGCGTGATGGACGCGTGATGGACGCGTGATGGACGCGTGATGGACGCGCTCGACCTGCTGAGGTGGACCAGCTCCGCGAGCGTGTAGCCCGCCGCCTCGGCCGCCGCACCATGGTGGTGCAGGCCCTCGTGGACGGGCCGCTCCCCGCGCACGAGCGCGCCGCCAAAGTCGAATCGCTCGTCGTGCAGCCCCGCCGCGCGCATCGCCGCCTCTAGCGCCGACTCGACCGAACCGCTCCCGAAGCCGTCGCCGAGCGCCGGCGGGGCGCCGTCGCCCGGCGCCCTGGTGTCGGAGGCCGCGGCGGCGAGGAGGGGCGGCGCGTCGGCGGGGCGCGTCCACTCCAACTTGAGCTCCTCGAGGCTAGGAGCACGCGCGCCAACCTCGCCGCCACCCTCGCTGCCACCCTCGCCGCCACCCTCGCCGCCACCCTCGCCGCCAGCCGCGTCGACGCCAGGCGACGCTCGTGCCGGCGGCGCGCTGGGCGGCGGCGGAGGCGCGCTCGTACCGGCGGCCGCGCTGGCGGCTGGGCGGGCTGGATCGGCTACGCCTTCCCCGCGGCCGCGCCGCAGCTTCCGCAGCAGGTCCGGATCGAGCGTCTCGACCAGCTTTTGCCGCGCCTCTGCGATCTCTGCGCCGCTCATCTCTGCAAGCCGGCCGGCATTCTCCGCGCCGACGCCAGACGCGATCAGCTCACGGTCGAGCGCCGACGGCGTGCGCGCACCGGCGGCGGGTGTTGGCGGCGCGACAGCGCCGCAACACGAACCTCTCACGACCGGCCGGCCGCGCAGCTGATTGCGCAGCTCCTCTGTGATGCTGTCGCGGTGGCGAGCCTGCGGGAAGCCGCGCTCGGAGGCGAGCCGGCGGCTGGGCGCGCCGACGTCGAGCGTCCGCTCTCGGATCGCGCCAACCACAGCTACCGGCGGGCACTCGGGCGCGTCGGGCACGGGCTGGCCAGCCGCAGGCCGGCTCGGGAGCACGGCGTCCGGGTTGAGGAGCGGGAGCGCGGACGAGCCCGGCTGGCGCTGGCTCGGCAGCGCTGCGACGCGCGTGGCCTTGGCCGCAGGCGGCGCCATTTAGGCTCGTGGAGGAGGGCGCGAGAGACGTGCAGCAGGAATACTCGCGCCCACGTACTGTGCCTGTTGAGTTGCCGGGACGGCAACTGGGCAATGAAGCGCCCCGAGGGCACACACTACTCGAGAGGGTGCCTGCGCAGCTAAGGAAGGCGTGCGCTGGAGCGGCACCGCGATCCTTGGCGAGGCGCGGGGCGCGGTCGAAAGCGGCCACCAACCACGGTCCACGCATCCATGACTCTACGCGCGACAGACAGGTGCTCTGTGCGCGACCTGTGAATCTATACAACGTGTGAAAAGGCGAGGCTCCGATCGATGCCATCGCTCGCCATCAGGCCCTTGCATGGTGGCAGAAGGAAGGGGACGAAGGTCGGTGGGTAACGCTCGCTATACGGTGGGGTGCGCGAATCGTTGTCGCGGGGACCAGGGCCGGGGGGGGGAGAGAGAGATTTTTTAGCAATACCTTAAAGAGGTTACAGGCGGGTAAGGTCCGTTAGCGGGAGATTGACGGGAGCGGCGCCAATACCAAACAACTCTAACACTCACACATCATTTGTTTGTCCGGGGGGCGCGAGGCGCTCGGCTGTGGTAGGCTAAATAGAGGGCGAGGGCCATTGGTTGGGCGGCTCACCGGCTCAGCCATAGATAGGCACATCGGTCACTTTGTCTTTCGTTCGGCGCCTCCGTCCGTATGCATCTTTCTCACAACAGAGCCAGGCTCTGTGTGTGAGGGCTGGGTGCACCAGTACTCCGGTGTGAAGAAAGGCTACCGCCCCGCTCAATTACCGTGCGTCCGAAGAAAATCCACAATCCGCGCTCCCGAACTCCCGAACCGGCCTGCTCCTCGACGCGGACGGAGCATGCGCGTCTGGGTCCTCGGTTCGGATCCGGCGACTCTTCACTTCCCGAGGGACAGATGGGGGAGTCGTGGCGTAGCGTGTGCGCGGTAGAGCGCGCCGACCTCGACAACGGCCTATTGTACTCCTGTGGTGGCGCATTCTTCCTGGTCGGCTCCTATTACTACGTTCAGCCGCTCTGTGACGTCATCGCCCTCTCACTCGGGCTGAAGAACCTGCCCTTGGTCAGCGTCGTCAATGTGCTAGTGGTTGGGCTTGTCAATTGGGTGTACGCGGCGATGGTGCACGCGATGCCGATCCGGCAAGTGATGCCCACGTTGAACCGGACCGTTCAGTGTGGGCTCTGCCTGATCGGAGCGCTATATGAGCTTTGCCGCCGTGGCGTGCTGCCACACGAGCGGCCCGTCTCCATCTGCCTCTATTTTTTCGTCTCCGTTTATGGTCTCTTCATCATGACCACTTTCTGGGCGCGCATGGCCTCAGTCCACACAAGCGAAGAAGCCAAGCGAGTATACGGGATGTTAGGAGCGGCCGCGCAGATCGGTCAGATGCTAGCCTCAGCGAGCGGGCCATTTCTGAATGAAGCATTGGGTGGGTCAATCGTGCTCGTGCTCGTCTCTTCTGTGCTGATGGAGGCTGCAACGCAGCTCGTCAGTCTTCGCGCGACGCGGGGGAGAAAGGAAGTGGAGGAGCACACAAGTAGGGACCATGGATCCGAGGTTGCAACATCTGGGGTCTCGACCCCCAAATGTCATGGGCTGAAACTGCTCATCAGCACGCATTTCATGCGCCAGGTGACACTTAACACACTCCTCACGACCTACTTAACGCTTGGCATCTGGTATGAGAAGGCTGCCATTATTACTGATGCCATCCCTGACAATGACGACGGATCAGGCGTTGAGCAAGCACGATACCAACTGTTTGCGTCAATCAACCTTTTTGTCTCGGTGTGCACAGTGATAATCCAGCTGGTTGTGTTCCCTCATGCGTTGAGAGGCATCGGTGTCACTGGCGCTCTGCTCGTTTTGCCCTCCTCCCTCTTGGCCAGCTTCATTCCGCTGCTCATCCGGCCATCGGTCTACACCATCGCTCTTGTTGACGCCGCCCGAAGGGTGACTCATTATTCACTTAACAAGCCCACCAAGGAGGGCTTGTATGCGGCAATGTCACCCGAGGTCCAGTTTGTCGCAAAGCCGCTGCTCGACACGTTCGTCTACCGTGGCGGCTACCTGCTTTGTTCGGGCGTCTTTGCGGTGGAGCTGCAGTGGCAAGTCGCCCCAGGCGTGCGTCGAGCACTGCTGGTGGCCGTGTCTCTCGCCCTTTGCGGTAACAGCTACGTCCTTGGCCAGTTGGCGGAGCGTGAGGGCGCGGACCGCTCGCAGGGGCGGCTATTGTGAGAATGCGTAGACGAGGTCATGACACATGCGACACGCTCTCGTCCGGCCTCGCGGCCAGCGAGTTCGCCACACGTAAGTAATGCTGTTCTGCTCTAGGTGACGTATGTCAGAATGTGTGTCCAGCCAAGCTGGCTGAGTGTCGGTGCGCAGCGGCGGGGGTGCTTTGCCCTATTCGGCTAGTGTGCGTGATAGTTTACACCCAGAGCGGGCGCTGTTGCGCGCCGCACGGTCAAACATACAGAGGTCCATGTCTTGTGCATGCGGGGCACAGGCCGCCTGTCACTCCTCGCAAGGCAAGCACGGCGCGTCTGCCGGATCGTGTTCGTGATCGAAACTGAGGTGGAGCCCCTTCTCCCGGCCGCCATTCTTCCCGCCTGCGATCGCGGCTCGGGCCGCCGCCTTTGCGGCGGCGGCGGCGGCCGCCGCCTCGTCGTCCGCCGCCTTGCGGCCGACCGTCTGGTTGAGCTCCTCCCAGGACTTGACCTGCTTGTCGCCCGCGTAGTAGCCGGCGTACATCTTGGCGTCGATCTCCACCTTTGCGTCGGCGGGGATGAGCTCCTCCGGGATGTCGACGCGCGTGACAATCTCGATGCCCGCGCCAACCACCGCGTCGTATTTCATGTCCGACATCGAGATGAAGCGGTCTATCTTCCGCACGCCGAGCCACAGCAGCGGGTCAGGCATCAGCTCTTGGAAGCGCATGTCTTCCACGCCCGCGATCTGGCGCGTCCGCTTGAAGTAGTTCTGGGCGGAGTCGCCGCCCGCCTGCCGCTTGCGCGCGTTGTACACCATGAACTTGGTGACCTCGCCCAGGGCGCGCCCCTCCTTTCGGTTGTACACGATGACGCCCGCGCCGCCCGCCTGCGCCGCCCGCACGCACTCCTCGATGCCGTGCAGCAGGTAGGGGCGGCACGTGCAGATGTCGGAGCCGAAGACGTCGGAGCCGTTGCACTCGTCGTGCACCCGCACGACCAGCGGCCGCGACGTGTCCGGGATGGACGCCTCGTCTCCAAAGATGAGGACCTGTTCACGCGCGCGGCCGTGAAGAGGCGCGCGGCTCGCAAGAGGGGGGCTCGTCGCCAGAGCTGGCGGACGGTGCAGCCGCCGATCGGCGGCAGGAAGATCTCGAGGTCCGCCCGCGTCACCAGCTCCGGGAACATGCCACCCGTGTGCTCGAACAGCTTGCGGCGCAGCGCCTCCTCGTCGAGCTTGAAGCGGCGCGCGATGCCGGGCAGGTGCCAGACAGGCTCGATGGAGGCCTTGATGCAGGAGACGACGCCGCCCTCGCGCAGGATCGTGCCGTCCGCGGAGAGCCGCCCCTCGCGCAGCGCCTCGACGATCTCGGGCATGCGCGCCTCGAAGCGCGAGATTGCGATGGAGGGCTGCACGCTCACGCCGCGAGCGCGCGCGGCGGCGGAGAGCGCCGAGTCGGGCGCCGACACCATCGCGCCCCACGGGTCGAGCGCGACGATGGCGTCCGCGTTGTACCACGAGGGGTACGGCCCGATGGTGACGACGGGCTCGGTGCCTGTTCACAGCCCAGGCCGTGAAGAGACGCCGCTCGCCGGCCGGCCCGACGGCGACGGGGGGGCTCGGTGCTCTGCAGGTCGAGAGGGCGGGACGGGTCGATGATTTGCTTTGCGATGCCGACCGCGCGGTAGACCGCGTACGGACCGTTGTGCGTCCCGATCGCGTTGCGGTGCTGCGGGTGGGCGAGCGTCGCAACCACCGCGCCGCGACTCGCCGGCTCCGCCGCGCCCCACCGCACCGGGAGCGGCGACACCGAGAACTGGGCCGCGTGCGAGGTGAGCGAGATGAAGCGGTGCGCCGGCGCGCCGCTGCGGCGCGGCGAGGCTGGGCCCTCGAGCAGCGGCGCGGGCGGGACCGGCGGCCCGTTGTTGGAGCCGATGAGGGGCGAGACGGGGTTCGAGAAGCTTCCCTTGCTGCGCTCCTCCTTGAAGTTGGCCTGCGGAGGGGGCGGCGGCGGTGAGGCGCGGGGCCGGCACTCGCGACGCGGGCGAGGGCGACGCGACGCGGGCGAGGGGCCAGACGCGCGCGCCTCGGCGATCGCGGACGGAGGCAGCAGCGAGGCAGGCAGCTTGACGGTCTTGATGATTTCGATGCCGGCCGCCTGCACCGCGCGAGTCTTTGCGCCCGAAGAGGTGACGAAGGTGTGGATCCGCGAGATGCCTGCATGCCACGTGGCATCATGTCACGTCATGATAGGAGGTCCGCGGGGTGCCTCTACTGTATTCTTTCCTTCATGTGTGAATGGATGGACGCCTGCGCTCTGAGCGCGGCGGCGTGCAGGGAGAGCCGCGCAGGCAGAGAGGGAGCGAGGCGCGAGGTCGGGACGTGTGCCGAGCGGGGGGGGGGGGAGTGTAGGAGGTGTCTCTAGGTGGTGTCTGGGTGGCGTCTGGGAGGCGTCTAGTCCGAGTCTGGGAGGCGTCTGCGAGAGGTGCCGAGCCAGAGGAGGGGGTCGGCGCAGAGCTCGTACAGCCGCACGTCGGCTGCGCCGGTCACCCGCTCCGTCTCCTCCTCTCTCTGTCGCACGTCGGAGCCCTGCGGAGCGGCGAGGGGCGCGGCGGGCGGCGGGCGAGGGGTGGGCGAGGGACTGACGCCCCCCGCAAGGGCGGTGCGTGCGGCTTCCTTGCGTGCGGCTGGTCGGCGCGTGGAGCGAGGGAGGGAGCCCGGGGGCGAGAGGAGGGGGGGGGGAGGGAAGAGAGGGCGAGGCGCCGCCTGCTGCGACTTTGCGCGCGCGTTGTGGACCAAGAACTTTGCGACCTCGCCCAGCGCGTTCCCCTCCTGCCTCGCGTAGACGATCAGCCCGCAGCCGCCCGCCTGCGCGGCGCGCACGCACTCCTCGATGCCGTAGACGAGCCAGAGCCGGCCGGTGCTCGCGTGGGAGCCTGCGCGAGGAAGCGGCGAGGCTGGCAGAGAGGAGCCGAGGCGAGCCGAGATTCGGCGCTCGAGGGCAGGAGCTCCGCGCGTCGTCGACGAGTGTCTGGGGAGGCGTCTCGCAGGTGTGTGTAGCCATTTTGTGGCGAGGAGTGTCTCAGACTAGACAGGGACCGAAGAGCTCCGCGTCGTACGACTCGTCGTGCAGCCGCACCTGGCAAGGCAGCCACCGGTGTCACGCGGGCGACAGGGGCCGAGGAGCTCACACTCCCTCTCCCTCCCTGCCTCTCTCTCCCACCCTCTCCCTCCCTGCCTGCCTCTCTCCCACCCTCTCCCTCCCTGCCTCTCTCTCCCACCCTCTCCCTCCCTGCCTCTCTCTCCCACCCTCTCCCTCCCTGCGGGCGGTCTCCGCACCACGAGAGGCGCGTCGGGGTCGGGGATGGTGGCGACATCGCCCACCATGTAGATGGTGAGCCCGTTGATCGGCGGCAGGAAGATCTCGAGGTCCGCCCGCGTCACCAGCTCCGGGAACATGCCACCCGTGTGCTCGTACAGCACGCGCCGAAGATGGCTCTCCTCCACGCCTGACCGCAGGGGGGCGCACAGCCGTCGGCGGGGAGGAGGGAGGGAGCGCCGAGCGAAGCTCGTCCGCACCGAACCGCCGCGCCACGCCCGGCAGGTGCCAGACCGGCTCGATCGCCGCCTTTGTCGTGACGACGGCGCCGTCCGCCATCAGGAACTTTGCGTCGGGCGTGAGCCGGCCGACAGAGACCGCCTCCTTGATCTCTGGGAGGTCGAGGTGGCTCCGCGTCACCGAGATGGTCGGCCGCACGTCCAGCTCGCCGGACGCCATCCGCTTGGCGAAGATCTCCTGCGGAAGGTGCCCCCACGGGTCGAGCGAGACAATCGCGCCAGGCTTCGACCACGCGGGGTGCGGCCCGATCTGACACGGCGGCAGCGTGTTGGTGAAGTCCGGACGGAAGCCGGCGGGCGAGGCGTGTGCGGCCAGCGCGACCGCGCGGTACACCGAGTACGTGCCGCTGTGCGCGCCGACGGCATTGCGGCGCCCGGGGTGCGTAACGGTGGCGACCACCGGCCCTCGCTCGTGCGGGTCGGCTTTTGCCCAGCGGATCGGCTCCGGCTCGACGTCGAACTGCGACGGGTGGGTGGTCAGCTTGATGATGTGGCGCGTGCTCGGGTGGAGCGACATCTGGAGGAGCCCGGGAGCGGCAAGAGACTTGGATGGATGCCGGCCAACAAAGGCCGATCGAAACTGGTGGAAGAATCGATTCACGCACTCGCTCGCAGGAATGGTTGGCAAATCTAAGAACAGCTACCATGCGCGATTTCTTTCAGAGGAAGTCTCTCGGAACCAAGCGTCCGAGCGCCGGCGGTTCACGCTGCCGCGAAGCTCTACACACCGCACCTCGTCGTCCACGCATGTGGCTCCTGGGCAGCCGGACGCTCGCCCGCGCAGCGCGCGGCCCGACGGTCCGTGGGCGCCGGTCGATGTGGAAGGGCAGCGGGCGGTCGCTCCTCAGCACGATGGTGCTGGAGAACTTCAAGTTCATCCTGGTCATCATAGCCCCCATTGCGACGGCCGCCGTGTTTATGAACGACAAAGCGGCGCGCCGGGCCCACGCCCTCTCCGGCCGGCCTACCGCGCGCGCCGCGCTCCCAACCCGGGGCCGCGCCTGCGCTTGCGCAGGTGGAGTGGCTGGTCATGTCGAGGCAGTACGTGTCGTACCCGGCGGAGGGGCAGCGGCCGCCGAGAACGAGAGAGGAGGCCGAGGTCGCAAAGGCCGATCTGGACAGGAGGCGCGCCGCTGCGGCCCGACTACACGGCGAGGAGGCTGCCAGCTCGAAGCCAGGCAGGCGCGGTGGCGTGAGGGAGGAGGAGTGAGGCATCTTGCTTTGGCCGAGCGTTTGGCTCGCTCGGGCTGGCCTGGTGGTAGGTGCTTGCTGCGGGGATGGGCACACTGCTTTCTCGGAGCTTCAGATTGGAACCACGTGGTACCGGTAGTCTGTCGTTTGATGATGTTTTCTCGGGCGCCCTGGCAGTGCTAAGTGGGTCTGCTCTCACGCGATGCAATACGTACCATCCCCTGTCGGCTTGGAGCCCGAACCCATTCTACCCTGGGTTCCGGCTCCTAGCCAGATAGGGGGTCTGTTTACCATGACTCGCGCCAAAACGCCTACCTACCTACCTACCCCCAGGCCGCGCAGCGAAGCGAAAAAAGACGAAAATATGGGGTACCTACCTGTTGCAGGGCCCTCTGGGGCGGTCAAAACCGGACCTACCTACCTATTGGCGGAGACCCCCTATCTGGCTAGGAGCCGGAACCCTGAGGCGGAGTGCCGGTTGGTCGTAATTCGCGCGGTGTGTCTCGCGCCTTGCCGCGGGCGGTGTATGAGCGCCATCCTGACTCTGTGCAGCATTTCAGCCGTCGCGTCGCTGGACGGAGGAGCACAAGATCAGCACGCGCGCTCACTCCTCCGCGTTGACGAGGAGCACAAGCCGCGGTCGCGTCGGTCGTGGGTGGGGGAGAGCAGCGCGACCAAGGGCGAGCGGCCCCCAAAGGCGCTGTACGGCACCGGATGGTCCTTTCCCCCGCGTGCCAAGGCGACGGAGCCGATCCAAGGATACGACGAACCGCCGCTGCAGCACCGGCGGCCGAGCTCCTACCTGTTCACCGCGTTTGGCGCGGCGGCGGCGGCCGCCGCCTCGGTCGCCGAGGTGAGCCACGAGCAGCTCGCTCCCTCGGCCAAGGCGCACGCTCCTGCGCGCCAGTACGCGTCGCCGCGCGAGACCGCCACCGCCCACCCCGGCTCCTTTCTGTCCGAGATGTTCGACTCGATCAGCGCGGCGCTGGTCGGCGCGGCGCCACCGCCGCCGCCGCCCGCCTCCAGGCCGCCGCCCGCCTCCAGGCCGCCCTCCAAGCGCGTGCCCGCCCCCCTCCACCCCAGCTCCTACTGGAGCAACGCCCTCTTCTCTGCCCTCGCGCGACTCCGGCTCGTCCACGCGCACGCGCCGCCGCCGCCGCATCGACCTCCTCCTCCGCCGCCGCCGCCCCCCGTCCGGTCGTCGCCCCCGCCTCGGCGAGTGCGCTCGCCGCCCCCGCCCCGAAGACTCCGCTCGCCGCCGCCGCCCCGCTTCGCCCCCCCGCCCGCGCCTCCGCCGCCGTGGTGGAGCCTCGACGACGTGACGCCGCGCCTGTTTGCGCACCCCTCCAACCTGGCCGCGCTGGTGCGCAACTTCTCGGCCTGGCGGGCGGCCGCCGGGGCCCTCCTCGCGGCTTCGCTTGTCGTGTTTGTCCTCGCCATCGCCTCGGTCGTCAGCAGGGTGGCTAGCTCCTGGGACTCGGAGAGCAGCAGGGTGCAGACGCCCCTCTGCCCCCCCTCTTTTGGCGCCCCCGCAGACCCCCACCCTTCTCCCCCCGCCGCAAAATCGCAGTACCACGGCTATCGCTGCGGCGACCGTCCGCCGTCGTCGAGCAGGGCGGGTCTCCGACTTGACGACGAGGCCGGGCGGGACGCCAGCCCCTCCGAAGGCGTCGTCAAGTCGGAGACGGTCGAACTCTGAGGGGAGACTGAGGAGGGAAGACAGCACCACGGCACCGGCGTTGAAGAGACGACCGATGCACAAGCAGTGCGGACAGTATCACAGGCGAGCAGCTGCTCACAACACCGTGTCCGGCTGTACGGGCGTGTCGTCATGTGCACTCAGCCGCTGCAGGCACCAGTACGCAGTAGCCTCGTCATATAAAGGGGGGGGGGGGGGGGGATCAGTGACTGAGTGCCGGGTGTGGGTATCTCGTAGCGCATCAAACGCGAGACCGTGATCCGTGTCGCGTGCGCCGTGACCCGTGTGGGTGTGCCCTGTGCCGTGCCATCTCGCATCTGCAATTCTCTGCATGTTACGTTTTCGTGTGAGATCTCGTCCTGAGGAACCTGACTGTCAATCATCGATCTACAAAGTAGACTCGACGAGAGCGAGCGAGAGAGAACGCTCTCAATAAACCGCTAAGAAACCCCGGCGGCATGCCCGGCGGCCCAGGTCGGTGGAGGTCGGCAGGACCCCCCAGCAGGGCCCAAGGCGCGAGGCGCGAACACACCCGCGAACGCGCCATTGGCGTGAAAGAGAAATGCCCGTAGGGGAAGGCGTACGCGGCGGGCGCGCCCCCTCGACCCTTCGACCACACGCCTACTCGCCGGCGCCTGGCGCGAGGGCGAGCAGCGCGAGCAGGATCTTTCGCACCCGCAGCCGGTCGAGGGTCAGCAGCGGTGTGCGCCCGCCCTCCGAGTCGCTAGACGTGACAGAGATGGGAGGCGCGCCGCCCGCGCCTGCGCGCTGCGCCGGCGCCCGCACCGCCAGGTCCGCGTGGCGCGCCCACAGCATGTCCGCCGCAGGGCCGGAGGCTAGGGCCGGGAGGACAGAGAGCAGCACCTGCAGTCGGGAGAGGGCGCGGCCGCGCGGCGGCGAGGGCGCGTGGGTGGTGGCGGTGCGCGGAAGGGTGGTTGTGTTGGGGTGGGGGGAGGGGGGGAGGGAGAGCCCCGCGCCTGCTCCAGACGGCTCGCATGCGACGCCGAGCCAAGGCTGCCGGCGGGCGCAGCTGCTCCCGCCACGGGAGGCGGGAGGCGGTACACACGCGGCGGGGTGGCGTCGGCGAGGAGGTGATCAAGGTCGGCCCTCTGGTCGGCTCCTGATCGACGGCCCGGCGCCGCCTCGCCGCCCTCCTCCTTCTCCTCCTCCTCCTCCTCCGGCAGCGCGCTCGGGGCGATGGCAAAGGTGTTGGAGCGCAGGCGGCGGCGCGCCAGCCGGCGGAAGAGGGCCTTCGAGCTGGGCCGCGGCTCGACGATGGACATGGGCTTGAGCAGCAGCGAGGAGCGATTCGTGGGGAAGCCGTTGACGAGGATGTGCTTGTGGCCAATCACATGCCGCGCCGCGAATATCGACGGCACCAGGTTGCAGCGGTAGATGAAGCGGTCGAGGCGCGACTCGAGATCGGCGACGAAGGAGTCCATCGTGCCCTTGCGCGCGTGGAGGCGCGCAAGCTTCTTGAGCTTGTTGCCGCCCATGTGAGGCGTCGCGTACAGGATCCGCTTCTTGACCTCCATGCTGGCCTGGTAGGCGCCCTTTCGCGGGAAGAGCACGTGCAGGTGCTGGCCGTCGGCGCCGGACGAGTCGCCGCCGCGCCGGCCGCCGCCGCCGGCCCGGCTCGACAGCGCGCGCGAGACAGGGCGCGCGCGCGTGGGCAGCCGCGACACGCACGACGCCGAGCGGAGCATACACATGGTGAGTTGGAAAAAGAATTTTCGGCAAGAGGTATTAAAATTCTTTTAAAATCTGGGTTTAACACTCGATCACCGCGCCTGCCACCCACGGCGTGAGCCTTGGCCGCCTCTGTCAGTGTGCCCGTGCTAGGAGAGACTGCCAGTGAGAAGCCGGAGGAAGGTCGCTAGTCGAGAGAGATCGCCAGTGGAATAGGGAGTCCACCGTGCTGCGACTGTCCCTTGTCAGGAGCAGGGAGCAGGAGAACTAGGAGAGCGCACGCAGTAGGAGGCGGCCCGCGCCTCCCCCGTGGAACGGGACCGGCGCGGGAAAAAGAAATTTCACTCCGCAAAAGTAGGCCTGAGCGCGGCGCCCCCCCCCCCCCCCCCGGGGAGGGCGCGCGCCGTGTGTTTTCTCTGTCCTGGAAACGCTCTATTTATTTATTGACTAGCAGGTTGGCTCGCTAGTCGCTCGCCGGCCCGCGCAGCACGCGCGGGCCTTTTTTGTGGTCGGATGTTGGTCGTCTCGAATTTGATCGTGGGCAGGGCGTGAGAAAGCTGGACGGCTCGGTCGATGCGAGCCACCAGCTCGTGAGCGACGGGCGCGACGGGTTCCTCGGCGTAGGCTTGGGCGTGGTGAGCAGCGCCGGCGAGAGAGGGACGGCATGCGGCTCCCAAACGAGCCGCACGCACGGGCTTCATCTGGGCCGCCGAGGCCACCTCCTTGGTCGCGGTGGCGGGCGTGAAGGCGAGGTGGGCCGAGGCAAGCGCTGAACGTGCCGTGCCGCCTTGCGCCCCTGAGGAGGGACGAGTGTGTGGGGTGCCACGGGCGGGGGGGAGCGGTGAGAGGAGAGCGGTGGGCACCCCCACGAGGGGCTGCGCTGACGCCGCCTGCCACCCCACGCACGCCACTGACGCTGTGGGGGCGGCACGATCGAACGCGCTGGTCGGGCGGGCCGTCTGAGTCGCCCAAGCGGTGCTCTGCCGGCCGGTGGACGCGAGGGTGGCCCAAGAGGGCTCAAAGTACGGAGCCGATACCCGGCCGTCCCGGACGCCTGGCACGCGGGCCAATGGTCCAGCGGTCCTGTGCATGGCTGGAGCGAAGGAGGGAGAGCTCAGGAGGGCGACGGGGCAGGGAAGGGGGCGATGCGATGCGGCGAGGTCTAATCGGCGGCGTGGAGAGAGGAGGTGCCAAAAGGCGACTATAAAGAGGCCTCTACGGGTGATATAGTGCGCCATGCCGGCGGGAGAGGTCTCTCACCGCCCCCCGGGCCGTCTCGAAGGGCCGTGCAGCCCACGCCACGAGGCGCTGCTGGCGGGAGCCTGGAAGGACTTGGCCTCGTTGCACCGCGCCGCGTTGATTCGCGACCACCGTCGGCCGCGGACGGCGTCGGCGTGGCGGCCGCGGGCGCTCGCGAGACGCGCCGCTCTGCGCTGGTTCGGTTCGTTCGACTCGTTGTGCCGCCGCACGCCCGGCGGCCGCGGGTCCCAGAAGTGGTTGCGCGGGCCTCTTCCTTTCGGCCGCGGGACGGCGTCGGGCACGTCGTCGGTCGCAACAGCGGCGCGGCGAGCCGTGGCGCGTCGTTGCTGGCGCTGGTGGTTTGAGGTCGGCATCGTCCAGAGCTCGGTCGACGAGTCGAGAGCTTCAGCTGGTTCGGTGCCAAAATTGTGCGGAAAGTGGCTAATATAGTAAGGGGAGGGCTCCCAGGGCTTGGAGGTCTTTTTAGTTGCAACCATGATGATAGGCAAGGCGTTCAGGAAAGTGAAAGAAGAGGACATGGTTCGACCTCGCGTGCGAGATGTGTGTCGCGACCCCTCGTCGCGGACACCTCCCGACACGGTGTGAAGACATCCCTTTCCTGCGGAGTCTCGTTGGCCCTCTCCTCCTTTCGCTTCTCATTTTGCCTTTCCCGTCTGTCGTTGCTCTTGTCCTTTCGAGCCTCCTTTTCCTGCGGAGTCTCGTTGGCCCTCTCCTCCTTTCGTTTTTTATTTTGCTCACGATTTGCTTTCTTTTGTGCCTCTGAGCCTCTTTTGCGGCTGTACTCCTTCGCATCTTTCACCAGCCTCCTCATTTTCTCCACTGGTTGGGTTTCACTGCCATCCTCGTTGGGCCATTCGTAGTCATCCGCTCCATCACAGGCTGCCTTAGTCTCATGTTTACGCTTGCACTTGGCATAGTACTCGGTTCCCACGTACCAATCTCGCCATTTGTAAGCGTTTGTCTTCGTGAAATTAGCCAGCTTACCGTTGACCATTGGCCATTCCTCACCACCGCCCACTTGCTCAACGCGAGGCTCAAGGCAAGGCTGGCAACGAAATCGCAAAGGGGAAGTCGTCCTGCCGGCGATGTCCGTTGCGTGCCTCATTTGTTCCCACGCGCGTTCAGGGTCGTAAGGTTCGTTCAGGTACTTTGCCACGTACGCCTCATATGCTACCATCCGACGGTTGTAGCCCGCGACCGACTCTGCCGAAAACCTGTATGGCCAGAATGTCCCTGTCCCCGATGGCCAGCCATCTGCGTCGAGAGGGCAGCTGTCAAGTTCCTCCTCAGCCCCGCCTCCGATGGCGCCCACGCCCCCGACTACTTCCCCGTCTCTAATGGCAGCGGCACCCTTTCCATGGGCCTTTGCTGTGCCTTCGCCGCTGGTGACCCAACATCCTCGCCTGTGCAGCCTGCATGGCGGCGCGCATCTTGCTCCCGCCTCGTCCCCGCCACTGCCACCCATGGTGCCGCGGCGATCGGTGCTCGCCTAGCTAGGTACGACTCCAGCCGTGATCTGCTGCGCGTTCACCTCGCTCCCAGCTATATATTACACTCAAGTTCAAGAACAGAGAGGTTCGCCAGAACGCAGAGTACGGCTTTCGACCTCAATCGTTGTGTACCATTTTATTAAACAGGTCGTACTAAAATCCGGCCAGAGACAGACACGCGGCCACCGAGAGTGACAGTCAAATCCGGATGCGAGTCTGTGTGCACCCAGTGCAGTCCCCGCACACGATCACAAAATCACGAGATGTGGGGCGGGAGAGCGAACCGACCGCCTCCAACAAGTCGAGCCCCGTGTTCAGGAGCGCCGCTCCCGCCTTCTGCTCTGCACCGCCAGCACCATACTCACCGTGGGCAGTCACGGCCGAGCACCACCATACATCGTGTGCGGCATGGCAGCGCCAGCTGCCAGATCTGCGCCGCGCTTGCGCGTCGCTCGCGCTCGCCATTTTGCGTAAGTATGCGAGTATCGCGTACATCTCCGCGTCTATCGGCTCCCACATGTTCGGCAGCTTTCCTCCCCACATTCCCGCCCCAAACGCTATCCGTATCTCCCCTTCTTCACAGGGTCCGATTCCGTTGGGATCCTTTACCTGTGCGTCTCCCGGGACGCTCTTTCCGAATCGTGTCGGTCCTTCGAACACGCCGTACGCCACCCTAGGGTTCGGCACGTACTTTCCATCCTCCGCCCTTTTGTCTTCATGGTCCTTTCCTCCGTCCGTCGCCGCAAAGTGTGTGAACTGGTGTGAGACGTGCAGCGCGAGGCATGTCTGCGCTACTTTCACGTTCAAGGCTCGTCCCTTCCCCGACCGCAGCGGCTCGCTGTCTTTTCCCATCTTAATTCGCTTCCCGTTGCCGTCCGTCAGCTCTCCCCCCGTCTCAAATTCGTCGTATCGGAGCAAGAAGCGCGTTAGGGGGTCCTCCTGTAGCTCCCCTACTCTGATCGCGCTCGCCCCGTGTCCGTGCCCCACGAACAGCTCGTAGTCTTCTTTCTTCCAGTTTATGTGTCTCTGGGGCGCCCCCTCTGGGAACAACGTCTCATCCGCCCCGAGGCTCCCCTCCTGTCGCTCCCTCTCCTGTCTCTCCATCATCTTTCTCACCGCGTCCTTCGTGATCTTATTTTGCTCGGGTATCTCCTCCTCCCATGTCGCGTTGGTATCGAGGCCCGGGGTCCCCTCCAGCTTTATCACTCGATTGTCCCCGTCCTCTCTCGACCCCAGTTGCGTGCCGCTGTCTTGCGCCGGTTTCTTCCCTCCGAGGTAGAGCGTCCTGGCCTTCCCCTCCACTCGGATGTCCGTCCTGGTTCGCCCTTCTTCGAACGTGTGTTCTGTCATGTTGGGTGCGCTTGTGCACACCCCGTTAACCTCCCTGCTGTATTCAATGAATCGATCGAGCACGTCGCTCCACGACGGAGCATTACTCTCTCCATCGGCTTGTGCAGCGCATTTTCATCCCGGGATATTCTTTTTTGGGCTGATCGCAGCTGAGGAAGCGGAAGCTCTAAGCCAGGCCCGCGAATGTGGCTCGCAGCGAGCGGAAGCTCGGGCGTCGCCCTCCGTGCGACCAACCCGGGAGTGGGCCGCTGGCTCGGCCCGCATGCTGATGGCCGTGGCCGAGCCGTGCAGATAGCTGACCTCACCGTCGACGTCGCTGTGGTGGGCGGTGGCCCAGCCGGCTACGTGATGGCGGCGCTGCTGGGACGCTCGGAGCACTCGGTGGCGCTCGTCGACCCCAAGCCGGAGGGCGCCTGGCCCAACAACTACGGCTCGTGGCGCGAGGAGTGGGAGGCGCTCGCCGCATCGCTGCAGATGCCGGAGCTCCTCGACTGCGTCAGCACAAACTGGGCAGTGACGGATTGCTTCTTTGGCGGCTCGTTCGACACGCCGGACGACGAGCGGCTGCGGTTGGATCGCGCCTACCTCAAGGTCGACCGCCTCCGACTCAAGGCCCTGCTGCGGGAGAAGCACGCGGCGACCGGCGTGCAGCTGCTGGAGGGCTACGCGCCCGCGGCCGCCATCGCGCCGAACCTCTTTGACGGCGGCCTGGTGCATGACGCGAGCGGCTCGACGCTGACGGTGAAGGCGTCGGGCGGCGGCGGCGGCGGCGACGTCCGCGTGCGCGCGAAGCTCGTCGTCGACGCGACCGGCTTTGAGTCCAAGCTGACGGTGCGCGAGAGCCCCGCCGCGGGGGGGCTGTGGAAGGAGCTCGCGCCCGGGTACCAGATCGCGTACGGCATGTGCGTGGATGTGGCGGGCGACAAGCTCGCGCCGTACGACGCGTCGGCGATGACCCTCTTCGACTACCGCACCGACCACCTCGTGGGCTCCGACCTGCTCGCAGACGCAGAGGAGCGGCCGTCCTTCGTCTACGTGATGCCGAGCGGCGAGGGGGGCTGCGACGGCTGCGGCGCGTCCGCCTTTTTCGAGGAGACGTCGCTGGTGGGGCGCGGCGAGCGGCGGCTCGAGTTCGAGACGCTCAAGCAGCGGCTGATCAAGCGGCTCGCCTTCCACGGCATTACGTACGGCGAGGCGAGTGTGCGCGAGGAGGAGTACTGCTACATCCCGATGGGCGGCCAGCTGCCGGACAGGACGCAGCGCGTCGTGCCGATCGGGGGCGCCGCAAACACCGTCCACCCGGCGACCGGCTACCAGCTCTGCCGCATGCTCGCCTCGTCAACGGGCGTCGCCGCCGCCCTCTCTGCCGAGCTCAGCAAGGGCGACGGCTTCGACCCGGACGCGGCGGCGGCCGCCGCGCACGCCTCGCTGTGGCCGGCGAGCAACCGGCTGCAGCGCGACTTTGCGGTCTTCGGCGGCGAGTTCCTCGGCTCGCAGCCGGTCGAGATCCTGCGCGGTTTCTTCGGCGCCTTTTTCGCGCTCGAGCAGCCAGTGTGGGGCGGCTTCCTCGCAGGGTGGCCGGGGCTACCCGGCAACGAGAACCACGCGACGTGGCTCGCGCGCGTCCGGTTTGGCATCACCATCGCGCTCAAGTTCCCGCCCAAGGTCGCCGCAACCTTCGTGGCGTACCTCGCCGCCTTCACGGCGGCGTACGGCCCGCTCATCCTCAAGTCCATCTTCACGCCCGTCTTCGAGATTGGCGTCGGGCCGCCGCCGCCCGACCCCGGGCTTAGGGCGCGCCGGCAGCGCGCGCGCGACGTGTACGTGACGGGCGACGCGGCGGCCAAGCGCGAGGCAGTGGAGATGCTCCGGTCGGGGCGCGCCGGCGGGACGCCGAGAGGGGAGCCATCGCCGCAGGTGGAGCTGCTCGAGGAGGAGGAGGCGAGGGAGGAGGAGGCGCTGGCGGCGTGAGCGGAGCAACAGTAAAGCCACCGCGCTCGAGAGAGGACGATGGACACCCAGTCCCGGAGGCCTCGGGCCCAGTCTGAGCCGAGTCCAGACCCAAACGGGGCGGAGAGAAGATAGGATAAACGGAGAGAGATGTTGCGCATGTATGGCGGTGTGCGATCTGCGTATACTGGGTACTGCGCGCGAAAGGAACGGAAAAAAAGTCACGAGTTTTTTGTTTCGACGTAAATAAAGAAATGAAAGGGACACCCTGCGAGAGGAGAGATGGGTAAAAAGGAACAGGTTGCACGGTGTACGCGGCCTGACGTGCATGGTTTATCCCGTGTTAGACGAGCACGAGGGGCCGTGAGAGGGCGTCAAGCTAGACCCCCGTAGACGTGCGCGCGGCCCGCGCCGCGGGCGGCGAAGATCAGCATTTGACGCTTTGGCACGAGTGGTTGCTCTCTCCCGCGACAGCCACCCGACCGACAGGGAGTTTCGCTTCGCAGACGACAGAGTGACTCAGAGAGTGCGAGAGAGACCCGACCCCCACAGCCACACCCCCTGTGTCGCCCAAGCTGCTGCATCCCCCCACTTTCCACCATCACCACACGTACTACCCCCCGCTCGTACGACCCCCTCTCGTGCCTCGACCGGCTGACGCGTATATCTCTTTCCGCAACCGCGAACCGCTCGCCTCATGGATGCAATCCCCGGTCCGGATGCAAATAGTACTCCGACCTCGAGAGGCGCCGCAGCGCATCGAGCGTCGAAGTGTAGCAGAGTACTGTCAAGGCTAGGCTAAGGCAGAGCAGGACAGTGTAGGCAGCCCCGAGGCTCGAACCGCTGGGCAGCAGGCCGATGTTTGTAGCGTCGATGGTCGCGTCGACGTCTGCGGCATCAACGACGCGCACGATGAGGAGGATGAGGGAAAGGACAAAGGCGGCGAGCTGGACGCCAAAGGGCCGCCGAAAGTGCTTAGTTAGCTGCGTCAGCAGGCCGAGGCGAAAAGCGGCGGTCCTGACGATGATCCCGAACAGCTGGGCGGCGATGACGCTTCGTGCGACGACGAGGACGACGAGCGAGATCAGCTCTGGCAGCACGCGCTCAAAACGCTCGCTCGAGCGGCGGAGTTCGAGCGACTCGTAGAGCAGAGAGAGGCAGAGCAGGGTGTTGATGGAGTCAACGGCCATGAAGACGATGGCCACCGACACCCGGCTCGCGTAGCCCTCGTGCGAGATTGCGCCGGGGGGGACGGGGCGCATTGGCGCCGGCTTGCCGTCTGGCGTGCTGTGCGGGCGCCGCGCAACGGCGCCAAATGCCGCGGCGAAAACTACGCCTCGATACATGATGGCGATGACCCCGTCGGCACCCTCGGTGGCACCGCTGGCAAGAAGGTGCGGCTGGTGTCCTCGGCCGCCGCCCGCCTCCTCCTCGGCGCTCGGCGGCAACGCCGCCTGCTCGTCCCCGTGAGGGCCATAGCTGAGGAGGAGGGCGAGCCAGCAGAGGAGGGCGCGGAGGAGCACGGCGGCGGGAACGGCATGGCCAAAGGGCCCGGGGTTAGTGACGGCCGCGTGGTAGGCGGCGGATGACGTCGGTACGAGATACGGCAGCTGCTCGCGGCTCTCTGGCGCCGCCAGGCGCCACACGGGGCCGCGCAATGCAACGCCGATCGCGACGACTGAAGCGTTGCTCGCAATCGTCAGCAAGTTGACCCAACGACCGGTGGGGTATACGTCGTAGTAGCGTGAGCGCCGGCGGCGTAGAAGGAGCAGTCCCGTGCCAACGCAGCACGAGAGGCCGCCCCAGAGGTAGAGACGCCAAAAGTGCAGCGCACTGTCCGCATAGAGCGCAAATGGCGACAGCGGCTCGTTGCGCGCCACGGAGAGCATCGAGACCTCGAGGGCGGCGGCTCCGCCCATCAGCCCAGCGGCGAAGTGCGTCGACGCCAGGAATCCGCGCTGCACAGTCGCCGCGAATTGGAGCGCGAGCGGGAGTGGCACCTGCTCCTCGGCGGTGTCGATGACGGAGCGAGTGTTCCCACTGAGCGCCAATGCTGAGCGGGCCGTTGCCGGCGCGTCTACCTTGCGGAAGGCGCCACGCTTGGCTGGCGCCATCACCGCCTCCACAGGAGGGAGCGGCTTTGGCTGCGCCCGCAGCGTACCTGGAGTGGTCGCTGGCAGAAGCAGCTCGTGATCAGCGGCCGCCACGGCAAGCACGTCGTCGTCGGTTGCGGCCCTCGACTCTGCACGCGCCCGCTGTCGCGAACCTGGCGGCAGGCGCACCGGTGGCAAAACGGTGGCGGCGACGGGAGAGGCAAGTGGCGAAGTTGGCGGCAGTGGTGGCGGTGGTGGCGGCGGTGGCGGCGGTGGCGGCGGTGGCGGCGGCGGCGGCGGTGGCGGCGGTGGCGGCGGTGGCGGCGGCGGTGGCGGCTGCGACGCGAGCCCTGTGTCTTCCGTGGCAGTCTCCAGCCCCGCACGCCGAGCGGCTCGCCGCTGCCGCCGCAGCTCGGCCGCGCTGGGCTGTGCGGCGACGTCTGCATCGGCCATGGTGCAGCGGTTGGGGGAGGCAACGATGGGAACGTTTCATCGTTCGTCCTCTCCGCCTGAGAAGAATCCGCCCTTTTTCCGACGCCAGCGTAAAAACGGTTAGTGGTGCACTAACCTCCGAGAAACCCTTCGGGTCGCTCCTCATCGCAAACCCTGTCAGCAGAGTCCTCCTCGGGAATGTACGTAAGAGCTACATACACTGAAAAAGAAATCGCGGCCCTCATCCCTACCGCGCTGGCGAGTACTTCCAGCCTGCTGACCGGGGGGGCCGCCGAAAGGCTGCCGCCGTAACTCGAAAGCGGGCCGGATCCCACGCGAGGGCGGCGCGCAGCGCCCTGTCCTGCCATGAACGGAGCGCCAAGCTCGTCAGCCGGCCAGGATAAGCCGCTGCTCATCGCCTCCTGGAACGTGGCCGGCTGGGAGGCGACGCTCCGGTACATCAAGGAGCACTACAAGACGCTGGATTGCTTCTTCGAACGCCATGGCTTCGATATCCTTTGCCTGCAGGAGGTCAAGGTCACGCGCCAAAAGCTGTCGGCCCACAACGCAGCCTCGCTCGGCGCACACAGCGTGAGCGGCTGGGAGTCGTTCTGGTCCTGCTCTCCGAAAGGGTTCAACGGCGTGACGACCTTTGCGCGCAAGGGCCTCACGCGGCATGCAGACGCCGCGCCGCTCGGCAAGCCCGTGGATGCGGAGGGGCGGTGCGTGATGACGGACCACGGCGCAGTCGTGATCTTCAATGTGTACGTGCACGCCACCGGCAGCGACACCGACGGCTCTCGGCGCGCAAAGAAGCTCGAGTTCCTCGAGGCGGTCCGCGCAAAGATGCGCGCCGTCCGGGCGGGCGGCCGTGCGGTGTGCCTCGCCGGTGACCTCAACATCGCGCGGCGCGCGGCTGACGGGCCGTGGCAGCAGGCCTTCCTCTCGCGTGCCTCCCTCCGCGCCCACGGCCGGGTCGAGCTCGTCGAGGGCGACGGCGAGGTTGCGGGCTGGGGCGACGAGGTCAGCCGCCTTCGGACCGAGCTGGGCAGGGCGTTCCACCGTCGCGGCGAGGGGGGCGCGGCTGGCGGTGCGAGCCGGGAGGGGGCGGAGGCGGAGGCGGACGCGGGGCCGGGGGCGGGGACGGAGGCGGGGAACGGAAGCATGCAAAACGACGCCGCCGCGGCCTTGGCGAGTGCGCTGCAGCGCCTGTTTGGTCCGCGGGAGCGGCTTCGAGGGTACGAGTGGTGCGCAGCGCTCGAGGCGGTCCTGTGTGGGGACGCGCATGCGAAGGAAGGCGGCGAGGCTGGCGAGGCGGCTGGCAGCGAGGTCGGCGGCGGCGGCGACGGCGGAGGCGGAGGCGGCGGGGGCGGTGATGGCGGCGGCGTGGCCGGCGCACGGGCAGACGTGCAGCCACGCAGGGACAGGGCGGCCCTGCGCGATTCCGCTGTGGGCGAGGCGCTGCGGCGGGTGGTGCTGTCGCTCGGCGAGTCGAGCTCTTCCCAAGAGGCGGTCGCGTGGCTCCGATCCATCGAGGCCGACGGGATGGTTGACACGTTTGGCGAGCTGCGCCCCGCGGCCGAGTGCCGCTTCACCTGCTGGGACCAGTACAAAAACATGCGGCACGTCAACGTCGGCCGAAGGATCGACTACATCTACCTCGACCGGCCCCTCTTTGACGAGGCCGCGCTGCGCGGCCCGCCGCTCGCAGAGGCCGAGGACGCTGCGGGTGCTCTGCGGGCGGCGACTGCAGGCGGCCGGTGGGCGCCGGCGCCGTGGACGGGCGCCTCAGTGCTGCAGGAGGCGCCGATGACCACGCACGACACGCAGTTCGTCCCCCCGCACAGCGGCGTGATCTACACGCCCCCGCAGGCCTCGGACCACGTCGCCGTCTCGCTGCTGCTTCGACACGGCGCCGTACCCGCGCAGACGCTGCAGCTGGACGACGACACCCGCAGCTGCTCTTTCCGCCCGCAGCGGACGATCGCCTCCTTCTTTGGAGCCGCACCGGCCGCCAAGGCGGCCAGGCGCGAGTGAGCTGTCCAACTGTGATGTGTGCAATCACCTATCAGCTATCACAGACAATGTATGTAGTATGTGCACTCTGAGGCTACACATAAAGCACTTGCCTCACTTGCGGACGGTAAATAAAACCAGCCCCTTGGAGTGTGAAGGCTTCGTAGCCCTCCGGTCTACTATGAAAAGATCCGCACGCGCGCAGCGACTCTGGAGGTGGAGCGAAAAAAAAGCAAGCGAGTGAAATAAAACAGTCGAACTCTGAGAAGCACACTTGCTGCGGTGGAAATCGTCGTTTCTTTATAATTCGAGCCACAATATGCGTTCGCTACTCAAACGGGAAATTCTCTCATCCTCGCGGGGACCTTGCTCCGTGTTTAACCCTTCTTCCCGTCAGCCCCCCCCCCGGGGAGCACTTGCTGTGGAGTGGGGTGTTTGCTACCTCTCCCCCATTGAGCATTATCCATATCCATCCAAAGCAGATCCAGAGGGCCGGGGGGGGAGCGAGCTAAGAAGCGGTTGAAGCGCACTCGGAGCACTTTGGAGGTGCACTGTGCAGTCGGTAGAGCGCACCCAACGGGCCGGATGGTCGGGATCGGGCTACGGGCACAAGAGCCTGCCTGATCCTGCTTGGTGCGTTGTCGCAGGGGGCTCACCCCGCGTCCATTTGTTTGGTAATTCGCGTAAAATCTAAAAAGTAGAGAGAGACGCCGCGCGCGTAGGGCCTTTAGGGGCCTAGAGAACACACCCCCGTTTCCCTCTTCTCCCTAGTGTCGTGAGAGAGAGTTTTGTTGTACGGTCGTACGTACTTTTAGCTTACTGGGAGAAAAGGGAGAGGGGGTTGTGGGGTTCTCTAGGCCACTAAGGGCCCTACGCGCGGCGTGAAGAGCTCGGAAGCGAGCTTTGCACGGCGATCGAGGATGGCGCGGTTCACCCCCAGGTGCCCGTGGACAACCACAGCAGGCCGACCGTCCGGCAAAAATCGTCCTTTGGCATTGAGTTGGTAGCGCCAATGAGGTAGTTCTGGAGACCAAAGAGCGCGCATGCGCCGGAGGACCAGCCGATGGCTTTGCCGACGCTCATATTGCAGGGCCGCAACGGACGTCCGTTTCCCGGCAGTTGTTTTCTCGAAACACCCGACCCAGGCTTCCAATCGGGTGCTGCCGCGGGCGCTGGGGCAGCTGCCAGAGCACTGCGGTTGCGCCGAGAGCAAACGCCATCGACGGAAATGCTCTCGGACACGCTACTCCATTCCTTTGCGAGCCAACGTAGTCACACACACAACCGCGGACGTCCACGTCGCGGGCACCGCACAGACTGACCCACAGACCGGCCACAGCCCACACCGCGCGTGGGTCGGCTGCCTCTCGGTGGACGGCGCTGGAGGTGGGGCCGCGCTCGTGTGTTCTCCGCGCGTGTACATCTTGCTCTTTATTTCGGGCACATCGTAATGTTCATGTATGGTCCACAATGACCCGCCGTCAGACGACTCGTTGCATGTGAAGCTCGTCCTGCATCATGCAAGCCTTGCGCACCCACTCGAGCATGATCTCGGCGTCCTCCTCCTCAATCTGGTAGACGCCCGCCACGAAGGCCGCCGTCACCCCGCCGGGGCGCGTGACCATATCTGCCAGCTCCCCGGCCAGCTCCGTGTTGCCACGCAGCCCGTTCCGCCGTGTCACCTACCGAGGGCAGGCGCGTCGGCGAGGGCCGCGAGAAGGGGAGGAGGGGGCTAGGAGAGGGGCCTGCTCGAAGCGCTCGCGCAGCTCCGTTATCCCGCGGTGGGCCGCGTCCTCGGCCCGCTCCTCGAACGTCTCCTCCGCCACGCGCTCCGCCTCCTCGCGGCAACCCCTCAGCCGCGTGCGAGCCTCCTCAAGCTTTGGCGCGTCCAGCCCGGCGTCGACGAGGAGCGGGCCGGCCACCTCCTGCAGCCGCGGGGAGAGCAGCGCCTCCACGTCTGCCTCCGCCTGGCCCCACTCCTTGAGCGCCTCGTGCGCCTTGCTCCGTCTCCAGAGCGCCTTGACATTCTCGCCGTCGATCCGGATCGCCTCGTCCAGATCCTTGATGGCTCGCCGCCAGAACTCCATCTTCATGAGCGCCTGCCCACGGTTGCTGTGCAGCACCGACCGCACCACCACGACCAAACGCATGTCCTCCACTAGCATCGGCCTACCGTCTGCCTGCGCAATCGCGTCGAGCCCCGCCTGCCAGGCGGTGAGCGCGTCCGAGTATTTCCTGGCCTTGAAGGCCGCGTTGCCCTCCTCTTTTGCCTCAGCGACAAACTTGAGCAGGTGCTCGCAATTCACGACCATACCGTCCTCGGAGGCCCCCGCCATGAGGCGCTGGGCTTGGCTGGGCTTGGGCTTGTCCGCGTCGCGTCGTCAGCGAAAAAGAATTTTAGGCTCGCTCCCATCCCTCCCTTCGGTTGTCTGTTTTCTTTCTTTTACACTAGGCACGGGACTGGCGCGCACTGGCGAAAAAGAATTTTAATTCGCGGGGTTGGCGAGCACTGGCTCACTGCGAGCCTGTCGTGTGACGTGTCCCTTCTCAGGAGCAGGAGAGCGAGCCCCACCTGTGCCCCTGATCGTCCTTCCAAAAGCCTGCTCGTGCAGGTGGGACCCTGTCTCCTCCCCCATCCCTCGTTCGCCTCTGTTTTCTTTCTTTCTTTCTGGCACGTGAGCCACGCTGGACGTAACGAACGTAGAGCCGAACGGGAGGAAACCGGGGAAGACGAACCCGAGGAGGACGAAAGGTAATCTCGTCGTCAGCTGTCACGATGCACCCGAAGGGGACCCCAGCGCCAACATCATCGGTGCTTCGGTGGAGGTACAAGTGTCCGACACGAGAGTGGACCTGAGCAACGATATGACTTGGCGGCAAATGATCGGAGTGGGCGTCAGAAGAGTCGTCCTTGCGCGAGGAGAGCTCGATAAACTCGAGGGGCCAAAATATGCCGCGAGGAGGGCAGAGTTGCGCCGAAAGGCGGGAGGAGCCGCGGGAGCAAGGGATCCGGCAGGCGGCGGCGGCGTCGCAGGACGAGGCAGAGGAGAGCGACGCGACAGAGGAGGAAGCGACAGGAGGGAGAACGACGAGAGTGGGACGACCGCGAGGTGGCATGAAGGTTGCAGCGAGAATCGGCGAGGGACTGCGAAGGGAGATAGAAAGAGGCAGACGCCCAAGGGTTGGGTGGGCGATGGCTAGCACCACACTCCCTCTCCTTAAAATCCCTGTGTGGTGGCGGCGTGCCGTCCTCCCATCCCTCCCTTTTGGGTTGTCTGTTTTCTTTCTTTCTTTTACTGGCACTAACACAGGAGAAGAGATGCGACATACTATTCAGTCAGTGGCAAGGCCCAGGTGGTCTAATTTAACGTGCATCGGTCGCAACGTGAAGTGGTCGTACATCAGGAGTCATGATGATAGAGGTAGAAGATTCGCACTGCATCCACCCTCTTGATGAAGTGGTCGTACTCGTCATAATGTGGCGAGAACCATTCATAGACATAGTGGCATGCAAGGAAGGCACGGTTCTTCTCGTCGTCCCAGAGCCAATAGTGCCAGCGGCTGGGTTTTGCACACGCTAGCTCTCCGCTCGGCCGCTGCGGAATCGCCCCACTGGCGGAAGCGTGTGCCTCACCGTGTGGCTGTTCCATGTCTGATGAATATAACCCGCGGGAAAGGTTCATATTGCCTTGCTGCCGCATGCTGCTGCCGCAACGCTGCAATGGCCGGGTGTGATGTTGCATTGTAAAATCTGTCGATGCGCTGCCTCAAAATGGGTATGCAGAGAACATTCCCGGACCTTATTCCCGCGCCAAACGCTTGGAGGCATTGGCGTGCGAAACATCACAGTGCTTATTCCTATCTGCCTTTCGCTCGCCAGAAGTTCCATGATTTCCACAAGCGCGAGCGTCGCCACCATGGATGGACCGCGACAGCATCACAGGCGCGCAGTGCAAAGCAAGCACAGCGATGCAATAGGAATAGCGATAGCAAGCAACCCACACCGACCTCGTTCGCGGCACGCCTTGCGCTGTAAAACGGGTGCTTCAATTACCGTGGCGACAACCATTTGGGCTGGCTTGGGGTCTCTCTGTTTTCTTCCCCGCCGCGATTTCTTTTTTGTGGATTGTATTCTCTTGCGTTGGAGACATTTTCTTCTCAATAACAAGGTCTGCGAAGGACGTATTTTCTTCTCATAACAGGCTGTGAACAGAACAAACAACCGCCCAAACTTACTCGGCGGAACTTTCGGCTCGGGAGCGACGAGCAATGGCTGCTGCTGGCAGCTCCCCTTGCCAGCCCATACCACTCACCGACCTGTCGCTGCACCTCCCAGTCAATGGCTCGTTCGTCGCCGAGGCGGATGGCCTCACCGAGGCATCTGTGTGCGAGCGGCGCAATGCATCGGCGGGCGGCATCATTCTCGTGCGCGGACTGGTGAATCCGGCCGGTGTGCGCGCCACAACGACGGGATCGGAGCTGCGCGGGCGGGAGCGAGAGAAGGATCTTCAAACCGTGCAACTCGACGACGTCATCCGCCGATTTCTCCTGACCGAAGACGTCGCAATGTTTCGCGGCAAACCGGCGGTGCGCCGGTTCCCGCGGCTCGCGCGGATTGGCAACGTGCACCATGACCGCAATCTGCGGCCGACCAAGGTGGCGACGGTGCTCACCTACCTGACCGACAATCCGTACGACGGCCATACCCTCTTCCCAACCCTCGCGCTGCCCGGCGCGAAGCGTGATGCACTCCAATCGAGCCTGGCCGACTACTTTAGGACGTATTCTGCTCGGCTCGCAAATCGACGAAGGCCGCAAAGGCTGTACGAGTCGACGGGCCCGGTGCTCAAATCGATTGAGTATATGTGCAAGGCAGTGGCAGCCGCCTCGAGGCGCGGGACACCGCTCCCGTACTTTGCCATCCCGCCTCGCGCCGGAACTTCCCTGGTGTTTTGGCACACCCTGCCGGGCGGCTCGGCAGCCGCGGCAGGGAGGCCGGACCCCGCCGACCCCGCGCCCGAGCTGGGCGATCACTGGCATGTCGGGTGCCCTCACCGCAAGGAGAAGCAGTTCCACTTGCGGTTTGCTTTTGGCCACGACACCAACCCGGCGACGCAGCAGCCTTGGGGAATGCCGCCGCAGAGAGCAAACAACACCTCGCCCGAGATCAAGGCCTGGAGCGAGAGCACACGCTCCGTGATTCGCTCCGCGCTCCAATCCTCGCGCGCCGCCCGATTCGCCGCCCCCTCCAACTTCAACTTGCTCTGTGGGGATGAGGAGTGGTCGGGGACACGGAAAGGGTGCCGCGTGTGAGCCGTTGTGTTTTTATTTTTCTTGCACCGACTGCCCCTGCCACCCACCCACGGCGAGAAGAACGGTGCCTCGGTCGGCCGCCTCTGTCAGTGTGATCGCCGCTTCCCTTGCCTTGAGATATAGTCTGAGCCTCGCCTGTGTAGAAAATAACCACGCCGTTTTGTGCTGGCGTCCAGGTCCCCGGGGTAAGGCAAGGCAAGAAAAGAGGGGGAAACAAAGAAAACGGACATCCCAAGCTAGGGCTGGGTCGCGAGGAGGACAGACACGTCCCCACCTTTGCAGGATTTTGAAAGAAAGAAACACAGAAAGCAGACAACCCAAACGAGGGATAGGGGAGGAGGACAGGGTCCACACCTGCACGAGCAGGATTTTGGAAGGATTGGCCTCGCGAAATTCTTTTTGGGGCGTGGGTGATCGACATGCTGGCCGCTCGCTCGGCGTCGCGGCTGCTGCCGCGGCGGGCTGTGGTCATTGGCGGGCGTCGCGCGGCCTCCTCGCTGTACTGGCCCGACCCGTGGGGGCGACCCGCGTCCGAGGTGGGCGCCGCACGCCTCATCGACCCGGGAGAGGTTGATTCGTGGCAGTTTGGCCGGCAGGGAGGCGACCGCTCGCGGCCAGACGTGTGGGTGCGTGTGCGGCAGGAGATGCCTGGCTACATGTGCCCTGCCTGCCGCACCACCTTCCGCAAGTGGACGCATCTTTTGGGGCACTGGCGGCTCACCAACCACGTGCAGGTATCCTCGGCGCCTCTGGGCTCTCGGTCTGGCGAGACTACCCATTGTGAGCCCCGGCGTCGCCTCCTCAGGTGCCGGCACAGGCGCTGCTCACGCGCCTCGACAAGTCTGGCAAGCCGATCGGCTGGCTGCGCCGGGCGATGGCGGAGCATAAGCTGCCGCCGTCGCGGCGCGAGACCGCGCGCCTGCTCCTGCTGCCGTACGGCGCGGCGCACCTGTGGCTCAGGCCGGCCGCCTTCCTGCTCCCGCCCGAGGAGGCCGCGCTGGAGCAGCTGCGCTTCGAGGAAGAGCTCAGCCGCGCGCCGCCCACCGCCTTGCGCCGCGCGCTGCTGACGCGCGAGCGCAAGGCGATGGCCAGGAGAAGCGGCGGCGCGCGCCGGCCAGGCTGCCGTGGCGGCGAAGCATCGGAGCGATTGGAGTGCGAACGCCTGGCTCACGACCCTGGTGTCATGTTGTAGCATTTTGCGGTTCTGTTTTGGTGCCCGTGCGCGCCGGTCTCGTGCGCGGCCTCTTTCCGCAGCGTTTCTCACTTCTGGGCGAAGTGACGGCTAGCCCGTGGGCGCGCAACAACAAGCGAAGCCGAACGGCTCTCCTCCTTCTGATATGTCTGACCCGGACCTTGCCAAGGCCGTGCGAGATCTGCAGGTCGGCGACGCTCATGAGCCTGAGCGCCTCGACTCGTCGGGTTTCGCGCACGGCAAGCCTGCGCCTGGCATGGAGTGCCTCTGCTCTATGGAGGTGTGCGAGCGTCGTCTTTGCGCCCACCCTTTCCGTGGTGTGTGCTGGCCACTGACCAGCCTCCGTGCCCAGGACATTACCGAGGAGGACGCAAACTACGTCGAGTTCCGCACGGCTCCGAGCGAGACGTGGCACCCATGCCACTTCTCGAGCGACGTGCGAGCTTTGCTGCACACATGCATCGCGTGCGTGCGCGCGCGGTGTCCACCCTGTGCTCGTCGGCCCGCTAGGTGGTCCGCTCACTGCTGCGCACCCAATTCCGAGACTATGTCGAGGCCGTTCGAAAGGCCGACTGCGCCGCCGACCTCAAGCGCCGCATCGGCAGTGGTCCGCCGATCTGGGTCGCAGACAAGCACGCGATGCCGCTTCCCGAGGGCGACACGCACGTCGAGAGGCTGTGGTTTGCGGGCGACGGGCATGAGTACTGTGCCAAGCTCGCGGGCGCGCTGGAAGGGGAAGCCCGCCAAAAGCTGTGGGACGAGCTCGCGGCGTTTCTGCCTCCGGAGGCGCGGCCCACCACCCATCCCTCTACACGTGCGTCCTTTACACCCCGCCGCCGACCGCAGGAGTCGGCGCCAGCGCCGGCGCAATCCTAAGCCGTCCTCTTCGACCACCCCTCTCTCCCTCTCTCTCTCTCTCTCTCTCTCTCTCTCTCTCTCTCTCTCTCTCTCCGCGATATGTCGAGAGAATGAATGTCAATCCCAGGTCAATCTTACCCGCGCAGCCGCGCTGTCACTTGGAGCCGTGACCCTGCCGCTCACGATGAAAATTGTGTATGACTCTGTGTACTCCTGTGAGAGGGGTCTCCAAAGACTCTCCACGCCCATGGGACGTCGAGCGAGACAAACACAAAGTACCACGTCGGTCGATAGAGCACATAGAGGTGTACGGTGGTAACACGTTAGTGTAGGGTGTAGCACAAGCCACACAACCACCGGGACAAGCAGAGTCGCCAGTCGCCACGCGACGGTCCCCACGCGCAAAGTCGCGCGCTCAACTTTCTGGACAGGTCGGGACTTGGGTGCGTACATCGTAGTCTCGCCGAGGGTCAGCGAGAGCCGAGAGACAGAGAGAGAGCCCAGCTTCCGGCTTCCGCGCGCGAAAACGAAAAGAGTGTCAGTCGTCGTAAAACAGCTGCTCGTATCCATAGTTGCGGTGGCGGTCGCGGTAACCCTTTCGACAGAAGGTGAATTGGAGGATCGGGCGCTCGCCCTGCTGGTTTGGCGAGCCGCAGTGCACGGTGCGGTAGTCGTACAGGAGGGCATCGCCGGCGGCCAGCGGCGCGCCCGATACCACCGCGCGCAGCCGCGTGCTCGCCGCGGCGCCCAAATTGAGGCAGGCGGGCTGTCGGTGGGAGCCGGGCCAGAAGGCGGTGCATCCCAGCCCGTGCGCCACCGCCCTCCCGGCTATGCCCTCGCCGCCGCCGCCCTCGCCGCCGCCGACATGCCTCGGCGCGGAGAGCGGCACGAGCGGCACGAAAGCGCACAGGGCGTATGCGAGCGGCACCGCCTCGCCGTCGGCGCCGTACGTGTAGCGCGAGTGGCCTCCGTCCGAGTGCCAGTGGCCGGCGGGGCTGCCGCGCCGCGAGACGATGAGCGAGACCTGAGACGACCCGAGATCGCCTGAGACGACCCGAGAGGACCCGAGAGGGCTCGAGAGGACCCGAGAGGGCCCGAGGGGGCTCGAGAGGACCCGAGAGGGCTCGAGAGGACCCGAGAGGGCTCGAGAGGACCCGAGAGGGCCCGAGAGGGCTCGAGAGGGCTCGAGGGGGCTCGAGAGGGCTCGAGGGGGCGAGACCTGCCACTCGAAGTCGTCGCCGAGGGCCGCTTCGACCGCACCCCTCCACCGTGCCCCTTTGGCCACCCGCCGGAGCAGAGCCTACGGGAAGGGTCCGAGAGAAGGTTCGCGGAAGGTTCAGAGGGAGGGGGGGTCGAGCCACCCGCCCGGACAGCGCCTCGTCCGACGGCTCCGCGCCCGCCGCCTGCCCGGCGAAGTTGAGCTCCGGCACGTCGCAGGCGTCCGAGGGCGGCGCGTGCAGCAGCATGTCCCACCTGCCCTTCCCGCGCGAGCACACCTCCGCGTACGAGTAGTCGCCACCCTCGAGCCCCTGCTCGTGCCCCTCCCGCACCATCCTCGCCTCGAGCGCCTCCACCCTCCGCCGAGACAGCTCTCGCAGCGCGGCCACGTCGGCCGGAGAGACCGCCGAGGGGAGCACCACGAGGCCGGCACGCTCGAGCGTCGACAGCTCCGCGGCCGGCCCGCCGCCGCCCGCCGCCACCGTGAGGTCTGCAAGGCCACGCGGCAGGCGAAGCATCGGCAGCCTCGGGCAGCGCGACACGAGGAGGACCTCGATGCTCTGCACGCGGCCCGCCGCACCGCCCTCCGCTGCCAGAGCGATCGCCGCCCGCAGCCGCTCAAGGAGCGCCGCCGCGAGAGCCGCGGGGGGCTCAGCCTCAGGGCTCGCCAGCCGACAGCTCACGTCGAGCGCCGCCCCCTCCCGCGCCTCCGCCGCGCCTCCGCCGTGAGTCGGCAGCCACACCCACGGAGGCAGTGCCTGCTTGGACTCGGAGTCCAAATAGGCGTCGGGGGTGTCGAAGCCGCAGCCGCAGTCGGCCAGGTCGGTCCACTTTGCGTCCAGCCAGGTGAGGGCCCGCTCGTCCCAGCCAATCCCGCGCACGGCCGCCTCGACGCTCGCGGCTTCAGCACTCATCCCAGCCAATCCCGCACCCGTGCTGAGGCGAAGGTAGGCCGAAGCGCTGCCGGCGTCGAGCCGGCGCACAGCGCCAGTAACGCCGCGAACCGGGAGCAGCGCCGGGCCGTCCATCCCTCAGTCAGAGCAAAAGGCGCGCGGCGGCCTGTCCACCTGTCGGCCTGTCCACCACCTGTACCTGTCGGACAGAGCGGGGCGCGCGGCGTGGACAGTTTTTTATTCCCAGCGCGGCGAAAACGTGGGCGATTTGGTACTCGAGTAGTGAGGATTGGTGTGACGCGATCCACGCAGGCGTGTTTTCTGGCGGCCGACCGTCAGTGCACGGAGTTGCCCCTTCTCCGACTGCCCCGGCTAGTTAGTTCCCGAGGTCGCGCGGAGCTGACCCCTGCGTCCCCCGAGACCTAGCGCGGGTGGGTTAGAGGGGGCTCGCTGCAGGGAAGGGCTGTGTAAGAAGCCGATCCCCGTATAGTCCGCCCCACTCCTCCTCATCGGGCCGCAGAAGCGGCCGCGCCTCGCAGATTCGTTTTCGCGCCTGGGTCAGGCGCGCGGGGCATCCCCCGGGTCGCTCGACCAGCGATCCGAAGAGTGGCCGCTATGCGAAGGAAAGAGTGGGGCCCTCGGGGTACGCCTCGTCCGGCCCCCTCCGAGGGGGGAAGGGAATTGCGGGGTCCCCACGGGCGCCTCAGTTCGGCCCTCCCGAGGGGGGGAGGGGAGCAAGGGGGTGGGGGGATTGGGGTGGTGGGGAGGGGTCTCGGTTTCATGTGGCTAATACTTGCCTATCGGGGAGGGGCATCAGGAAAGGCGAGGCTGGCTCAGCCCTACGTCTTCCCCTCTCCTCCCTCGAGGCAGCGAGTAGGCAGCGAGAGGAGGTCTCGAGCGCCTATATGAAGGTATGTGAGATGGTGATGGGAATGGGTGGTCGGGCGGGCGGGCGGGCGGGCGGGCGGGCGGGCGGGCAAGCGGGGAGCGGCGGGCGGGCGGGCGGAGTGGGCGGGCGGGGTGATCGGGGGAATCGTGTCCACAATCAGCAGCAGCGGAGCAGCAGCAGCTGCTGCTGCTGCTGCAGCAGCAAGCAGCAGCCTGCCGCAGATTGCTGCCGTTGTCAGCGCCGCGATCCGCCGCCGCGCCGCCGCGCCGCCGCCGCCTGCGCCGCCTGCGCCGCCTGCGCTCGCCGCCGCCTCGCAGACGACTCCTCTCGAGGAGCCGCGCAGCGGGCCGCGAGGTGGATGTCAAAGAGCCGCAAAGTGGCGAGGTCATGAAATCATCAAAATTTGAGGTTGCTCGAGACGGCCCGGAAACGGTCCCGCGTTGTTGCCCCGGTGCTGGCGCGCATCACACCTCTGAACTCTCTTTTACGTACATAAATAGGCTGCCAGCGCCCGCCGCACCCGTCTCGGCTGGCGTCCCAACAGCAGGCGACTCGTCTGGCATGGCCCCGTTCGCGGCTAAACGCGCCCGTCTCCCGCGCGAGCGAAGCGGTTTCGCACTCGTCTCCTCTCTTGACTCTTTGCACTTTGGTCCTGGGGCCGCGGTCAAAACCGGACCTACCTACCTATTGCACAGGGTTTAACGGGTGGGAACACCAGGGTTTAAAGGGTATCTCGGTAGGAGCCGGAACCCAGCAGGGTTTGGACTCTTGCGGAAGATGGGTTGGCCTATACGAGGTTTTCCGGCAAACAAAAAGGAAAACAGAGGGTCCCCAGCACTTTGCGTTTCCGGAAATTTCCAGGGAACAGAGGGTGTTTGGTGCTCCATTCTGGAAACTCGCGAGTTTCCCTGAGTCTGAGAGCTGGTCTGGGGCAAAATCTGAGGCAAAATTGAGGAATCGACAAAATACCCAGGCGGTCGCAGGGTAATTTCCAGGTCTACACGGGTTCTCCGCAAAATTCCCGGCATTTTGACGATTTGGCCTAAATAAAATTTGGCTGATTTTGGCAAAACCACAGCCTCAAGAAGATGAGATTTCTTGTTGGTTTTCTAAAATCTCAGCCTCAGACTGTGCTCAGACTCGGCTCAGAGCCCAAAATTTGACGATTTCCACGGAGTTTTCCCGGGAAAATAGAGAGGAAAAGCGGTGCTGTAGAGAGAAAAAAGGAAAGGAAAACAGACGGGGTGCGAGAGGAAAACCTCGTGCAGCCTAAAAGATGGGAGGTGAGGAAGAATCCGCGTGGGCGCTGGCGAGGTACTTCCAGCCTGCTGTGGGAACAGCTGACGCAGTCTCGCCGAGGCTCGCCCCAGCATCTCGGGTTCCCTCGCCCCCCCGGGCAAGGGGGGACCCGCGAGGCGTGGGAGTGCCTCGCCAGCTGGGAGTGAGCGCTCGGCAGCCAGCGACAGTCATGTGTACGTCGGCCGCCAAACGACCGGCCGACGTCATCAGCTTGAACAGCGACGACGAGCCAGGGCCGCCGACCAGCCGGCGGCAGCCGCCGGTACCGACGTACAGCCGGGCCCCTGGCCGGCCGGCGTGCCCGTTTGGCATCAACTGCTACCGCCGCAACCCCGCCCACTTTGAGTCGGAGGACCACCCGGCAGAGCACCCGCTCCTCGCGGCCGCAAACAGCCAGCAGAGCCAGCAGCGTCCTGCTGCCGTGCCCGCTCCTGCCGCCGCCGCTTCGGCTCCGGCACCGGCTGCGAGTGAAGAGTCCAACGCAGGAGACGGGGCGAGGGCGGAGCCGGCGTCCGCGGCGTCGAGCGGGTCTGGCGGTCCCTCCGCCGACATCACCATCCCGTCGCGGTACGCCAATCCGGCCGTCTTCCTGCGCGTCCCAAAGAAGGACAGGCCGGTGGAGCCGGTGCGGATCCCTCTCCTCCGCCCGTTTGTCGGAGACAACAGCTTGCTCATCGGCCACTTCAACGGCGCCACCACTTCGTCAGCGCCCGTCTGCAAGCTGGCGGGGTTCGACTTTGACGACACGCTCTCCGAGCGAAAGGCGGCAGGAGGCAAGGACAAGTGGAGGAGCAGCTTTTGGAACCACCGCTTCGGCTCGTCGCCCGCGATGCTGCGCGCGCTGCACGCGCGCGGCTACCGGCGCCTCGTGCTGGCCGGCGAGCGCGTCTCGACGGAGCCTTCGCTGATCCTTCTCGGGCGCGTCCGATAGGCTCCTCGTGCTGACAAACGAGAGCGTCGCGCACCTCAAGAACGCCGACCCGCTGCGGGCGCAGATCACGCCGAAGCTTGAGCGGCTGGCGGGCTGGGCGGCGGACGTGGGCGTGCCCGTGCTCGTGCTCGTGGCGCGGCTTCTGCCCGAGGCAGCCACCGCCAGGCCGGTGGAGGAGACATCAAGACCTGTCGGCTGGCGCCGAGTAGGCGACAGACAAGAGGACTGGCACTTCGAGCCGCGGCCACACGCTGCACAAGCAGCCCGTGACCGCCGCCGGCAACGCGGGCATGTGGCACGTGGCGGAGGAGCTGCTGGGCGCGAGGGCGGCCCCAGAGAGCTTCTTCGTGGGCGACGCCGCCGGCCGCGAGACTGACCACGGAGACGACGACAGGCGGCTCGCCGCGGCGGCGGGCGTCACTTTCTACACCGAGGACGCCTTCTTCGGACGCGACCCCCTCTCGCTTCTCGCGGACGCGGCGAATGGCTGACACGTCCTCTCGAGGCGCGGCGATGGACGCTGGGGGGCGGCGGTGGGTCCAGACACAGGCATGCGGGGGACCATGAGCATGTCCTCGGCCCAGTGATTTCGCACACGTGCCTGTGTGGCTGTGGCGGCTGGCGCCGTTGGCGCAGGGCTCGTCGCGTTTGTTTTTTGGATATGGATATAATGCTAGCTATGTACTTATGTGCGAGCCGCGTGAACACGTTGTTTCTTCCCCTTCCACAGGAACTGGTCCTCGCGAACGACTCTCTCTCCTGGGGTCCTCTGGACCGGACTCTGCGTGGGGCGGGGGGGCGGGCGGCTGGCGCGTGGCCCGCAGGCCGCAGCGCGAGACTCACTTTCCCAGATCCCACACACCACACACCTCGTCAGCCGTAGCAGCGGATCGTCTCCTCGGCGCGCTTCTTCGCGCTCTGCCCGCCCTTTTGCAAATACTGCTGGTGATAATCCTCGGCCGCCCAGAAGCGCTCCGCCGGCTGCACCTCCGTTTGCACCGCGCCGAGCGTCTCGTGCTCGCCCACGGCCGTGAGCACCTCGCGCGCGACCGCCTCCTGCTCCTCGCCGTGCGGATAGATGCCGTGCCGGTACTGCGTGCCGCGGTCGTTGCCCACTTGGTTGAGCAGGTAGAGGCTGTCGCCGAGCCGCTCGACGAGCAGCTCGCACAGGCGGCGGTACGTCACCTCGTCTGGGTCGAAGACGACCTGCACCGCCTCGGTGTGCCCCGTGCTGCCGCTGCACACCTCCTCGTAGGTCGGCTCGGACGAGGAGCCCTGCGGGAGAAGGTTCGGGCAAGGGTCACTCGTGCCCCACGGTACCGCCGAGATAGCAGGGTGAGGCGTGCCTGCGTGTAGCCGACAGCAGTGCTGAGCACGCCAGGCTCGCGCTGGTAGGCGAGCTCGAGGCCCCAGAAGCAGCCGCCGGCGAAGGTGGCGGTGGCGAAGGCGGAGGCAGGCTGCGCCGCGACGAGAGACGCGTCGAGCAGCAGCCGGCATCCAGCGAGAGGGTGGTTTGTGTCCAGTGTCACAGTCTCGTCATCCATCGCGGTCACCGTCGCCTGCACCGGCCCCTTGGGCGTTGTGAGCTGCACCGCCATCCCAGTCGTCAGCCCCGGCGGCGCCATGTCCACTGGCGCCGTCACCTTGCCCGCCTCGTTGTAATCACCGAAGCCCGCATCGATCGACACGCCGGATACGGAGCCTCCAACGTCGAGCCCCTCGACGGCATCGTGGAGGCCGTCGATGTAACCGCCGCCACCCAGCACGAAGCGCGCCGCGCCGATGTCGAAGGGCAGCGACCCAAGCATGGCGTCGCCAAACTGGACAGATCGCGAAGCTGGGTCAGGTTTGAGAGAGTACTCGACGCTCACCACGTCGCCTCTCGCCGCCGTAGCCATCAGCGGCGCCGCCAGGCGCCCGCCCCGGCGGTGAGCGACGCGTAGGCGCGGCGCGACAGAGAGGCGCCGTGCGCGTGGCAGTGGTCCGACTCGGTCGACAGCCAGGCCGCGCAGCGCGAAGCAGGACGAGAAGGCAAAGGCGAGCATGCACAGCAGGCGATCCCAGCTAGCTGGGTGTCGCGCGAGCCAGGCACTTCAGGGGGGAAAGAAACACACGCAGGGCCACATGCACATGCACATGCGCATGTGGGCGACAGCAAGAGTTCAACGGGAGGCGCCGGACTCAAAAGACACCGCCACATTCCTGAGACGAGCGAGGGCAGCCTCCTTAAAGGCGAAAGGGTCTAGATTTGGGGCGCTTGCCGAAGAGGAGTACGACAAAATAGCGCCCGTGATTGCCTGCACGCTACCCGCACTCACGGACTCCATACCCGAAAGAAAGAGAAGGGAGCTCGCGGGAGAGGTGACGAGTGAACTACAGGTAGTGGGGAAGGCAGCCTCGATTGCCATACAGACATGGGTGCGAAACAACGACAAGACCAAGGCACGGGCAGAGGAACGAGAGAAGAATATAGGGTGGATAAAGCGCCTGTTCACGGCATGGAGGGTGAGCCACACCGAACGTACCGAGCGAAGAGCCGAGCGGAAGGAGGACGGGGAAGATGACTCAGAGGAGGACGAACCAGTGGAAATCCAGTTGTCAGATGTCACGATGCATCCGAAGGGGACCCCAGCGCCGGCATCATCCGTAGAGGCACGAGTGTTCGAAGAGAGAGTGGACCTGAGCAACAACATGACTTGGAGGCAAATGATCGGAGTGGGAGTCAGAAATGTGGTCCTTGCGCGAGGGGAGCTCGATAGACTCGAGGGGCCAGGATACGCCGCAAGGAGGACGGAGTTGCGCCGAGAGGCGAAAGAAGCCGCGAGAACAAGGGACAGGCAGGCGGCGGCGTCGCAGGATGAGGCAGAAGAGAACGACGCGACAGAGGAGGAAGTGACAAGGGAGAGAACGACGAGAGTGGGACAGCCGCGAGGTGGCATGAAGGTTGCAGCGAGAATCGGCGAGAGACTGCGAAGAGAGATAGGAAGAGGCAGACTCCCTAGGGTGGGCGACGGATAGCGCACCACACACCTCTCCTTAAAATCCCTGTGTGGTGGCGGCGTGCCGTCCTCCCATCCCTCCCTTGGGTTGTCTGTTTTCTTTCTTTCTTTACATGCACATGCACATGTGCATGTGCATGCACATGCACATGTGCATGCGCATGCACAAGCACAATTGTGCATGCGCATGCACATCGCATGCACATGTGGACAAATAAATAAAAACGACACAAGGGTTGTTGCACGAGTATATGTGAAATGAGCCCACGGCTCTACTAGTGTAGCCAAACGTCAGATTCGACTGGAGAGTACCCGGCATGGGCCGGGGAAAACCATCGAGTGCACGATGTTCACACCCTGTACAGGGGAATCCTGTACTGGGGACGGTCGCACGAAACCTTTACGGATGGTTTCAATGCTCGACGTCTCGTGCCCGACTCTGACTCGCGCGACTGCTTTTGGCTGCTCGTTCCGCATTCTTCTACCCACCACCATCCCCTTATCTCCTCCAATGTCTGAGCAGTCGAACCGTATGGCAAGGCCAAGCTGCTCGACTTGAGGGGACGAGGCCAGCATTAGCAGTAGTGTCGCTAGCTAGCGGTGGGATATGCACACGCCAACGCCCGTCCAGGACGGACGGAGGCGTTAGGACAACGCAACCCTAACCCGTAGCCAAATTGGCACTCGGGCGTGTGCGCGCGTAGACACTACTCCTTGCTGTGTGTCCCTACGGCATATTAAGATGCCGATAAATGCCTCAAGAGCCGAGTGTGGGCCGGAAAGCCCAGCACTCTCTCGCCAGGAAGCATCGCAACACAAAGAGCTACGGGACAAAAGCGTCGAAAATGTCCCAAAAAGCGTGTCTCGAGTTTGTTGCAGCCCCACAGCTGGCGCGCGCTGCCAGGAAGCACCGCTCGCGTGTCGGCGGCACTCCCTGGCACCCAGGGAGTGCCGCGAACCGACCAGACCGAATGGGCTCGACGCCGCGCTCGCTGTGGGGCTGCAACAAAGTCGCCGCCGAGCGTGCCACCGACGGCGTCCCGGCGGCGGTGATGGAGTGTGAGACCTGAGGCTGCGGAGGTGACGCCTGAGGTACCGGCCCGTGCACAGCGACTCAGCCGGCGACCGCCACGGGCTCAGACGAGACTTGTCGACTCGTTACGGCTCAGCTTCACCGTGGTCATCGGGCGTCTGTCGACGTCAGGACCACCCATACAGCTCGCGGGTTTGAGGTCGCAAGAGCCAAGATGGTGGCGTTTGGACATCCCAACCATCACACAAGACAGCCTGTAGGTGATGGCGGGACGGCGCAGTGTTTGTGGCACTCGGCAGTAGGCACCCGCGGCACGGCCCCGCTGTCGCGGCTCTCACGGGCTGCGGAACCGGCCCCAGAGGGAGCCGGTCCGGGCGAGTGTGGCAGCTCCTGCGCTAGTATGGGCACCCTCTATCATAGCACTACTGATCCTGGTCATTAGAGCTGCCAGGGATAGCGTCAGGAGCCGGTAGGAGTCAAAACCTCTCATATTTGAGACATCGTGTCCCATATACTCGTGCAACAACCCACAAATCCTCTTCTTCTCTCTTTCTTTTTCCAGCTTTTACCGATGAAAAAGAAATAAAACAAAATGAAAGTGCGCGGCTCGGCGGCTCAGGCCTTGGGCCCGAGCACCGTGTATGTGTGTGTGTGTGCCCGTGTGTTCGAGGGAGAGAGAGCAGCGCGGTCCGCGGTGGAGCCGGTCGGGCGTGTCACAGCAAGAGGGACTCCGCCGGTCGGGCGTGTCACAGCAAGAATCAGCTCGGGGGCGCAGCCGCGATCTCCATGGCCTCCATGGCGGGCGTGGCGGTCGCCAGTGCGGCCGGCTGGCCGGCGCTCACCGCGGCGACGGCCACCGCGGCGGCGGTGGCCAGTTGCTGCTGCTGCTGCTGCTGCTGCTGCTGCTGCGCGGGGCTGGCGGGCCCATGTCGCGTCTTCATGTGTCGCGTGAGCTCGCCGCGGTAGGCGGTGGCGTAGCCGCACTGGTCGCACTTGAAGGGCTTCTCGCCCGTGTGGATCCGCTTGTGCGAGTTGAGGTGGGCGGGCTGCTTGAAGGCGGCGTCGCACACGTCGCACTTGTACGGCTTGACGCCCGAGTGTACCTGCGGCAGGGGAGGTGCGGCAGGGGACGTGCGGCAGCAGAGGGCATCGGGTCGCGGCGCGATGGCCCGCGCGTGGAGCTTCGGAGTGGTCGGAGTAGGCTCTGTGTGTCGGAGGGAGGGACGCACCCGCTTGTGACGGGTGAGGTTGCTGGCGTCTGCGGTCGCATAGCTGCACACGTCGCACTTGTACGGCTCGCCCTGGTGGCGTCGCTTGTGCACCGCGAGGTAGCTCGGGTCCGCGCACGCAAACGAGCACTGGGCGCGAGGGCGGCGGCGGTGCGGCGGTGAGGGCGGTGGCGGCGGCAGCAGTCGCGAGTGAGGCCGTGGCGAGGGGGGGCGAGAGGCAGCTGGGCCGCAGAGAGAGACGACACGGAAGGCAGAGGTGGCAAGGGGGCGGGCGTTTCGCAGTGAGCCCACGCCTGGTCGCACTTGAAGGGCTTCTCGCCCGTGTGCGTCCGCACGTGCCGCGCGAGCTCCGACGGCCACGCAAACGTCGAGTTGCAGTGCTGGCACTTGTGCCTCTTGTCGGCGTCGGTGCGCACCCGTTTGGGTGCGCGCGCCTTGCCCTCGGCCGCGACGAGCGCGGCTGGACTGGCTGGAGGCTCAGAGACCGACACGAGCGCCTGCGCCGCGGCGTCCCGCCCCTGGTCGGACGGGACGCTGAACGTCGCGAGAGCAGGCGCAACCGACCCGGTCGGCGGGAAGGTGACGATGGCGGCTAGATCAGACGAGGACGCCTGAGCAAAGTCCTCCACCCTGATCGACATACCTCGCCGGGCCCGATAAAAAGTCTGCCTTGGCTGGATGTGAGGCTGCCAACTGCACTCCAAGTGCTCCAAGTGCGTGGGGAGGCAGACGCCCAAGGGTTAGGGTGGGCGACGGCTAGCACCACACTCCTCTGCTTAAAATCCCTGTGTGGTGGCGGCGTGCCGTCCTCCCATCCCATAAATAAATAGAGCAGTCATCTCCTCCCATCCCTCCCTTGGCTGCCTCTTTTCTTTCTTTCTTTTTTCGAGTACGGGACCCCTCTCGCCCTCCCTCTCTGGTGTGTTCATTCATTGGGGTGGGTCATAACAAACACGGTACAGGGTCGCGGCCGCCCGCCGAAGCAGTGTCGTCCCCCTATCCATCATCTCACTGTGCACTTGGAGTGCAGTCTGTGACTTTTGTTTTTTGACGTCGGTGGCGAGAGGGGGGGGGGGCGATCGAGCTACAAGAGGAGCTTGTTCAGCCCTCCTCGCGCCTTTTTCCCTATTACATACCACTTTCCTGCTAAAAGTGAAGTGAAGCTCGCGGCGGCGGAGGACGCGCCACCGTCGCCTAGACTCCCCTGCGTCACTACTCAGCGAGTACGTGCCTCCCCGTGTTTGTAGCCTTGCGTTTGTGCCCCGTTTGTGCCGCTTCCCGTGCAATGAAGTGGACGTTGACAGTTTGTACTCCGAAGGTGTTGGGGTTAGTGCACGCTGAGAAGCACTCTTGGGGAGTACTTGGAGTGCAGTCAGTAACCGCACGTCCAGGGCCCGGGGGGCTAAGAAGCACACCCAGCGGGCCAGATGATTGGCATCGGGTTACGGGCTAGAGAGCCCTAGCCCTGGGGGGGTGCGCGTTCGCAGGGAAAGGGCCGTAAAGTAAACACGGTTCTCCGAGGGTTGGACCCGCGTACCGGGTTTCCCCTTAACTGCAGGACGCCCCCTCTACTCGGAGCTAATGGACATTACACTGTACACGACGCCAAACACCCACACTTGCTCAGTCCCCGGTCCCGGAGCTCCATCGTCCGTCCTCCTGGGGCTCTGGTTCACCCCGATTCGTTCTCTTGCTCGCTTGCCGAGCGTCATACGACGGCCGGTGCGACGTGGTGCGATCGTTGTCCCTCGTTATTGGTGTCGCTTTCTCCGCTGCCGCCCTTCGTCTTCGCCAGTTTCTCCCGGCTCCCCCGATTCCGAGGGCGTCGACGGCCCGGCCGAGGTCACCCCGGGCGAGTGTGACGGCTTATGACCCTCTTGTCGCGCCTCCCCGGGGGGTCGGGTCGGGCTGGCTCTCCCTGGTCGACGAATCTCGCCCGCATCCGCAGCCTCACTATCGTACTCGGCTCGCTCCCCCTTTCCGCCAGCTCCTGAAGCGGCGCCTATTCTTTTCCTGTCCGTCTTGGCCAGCCGGGCACGCTGGCGAGTAGAGGCCCCGCCCACCCAGGTCCCAGGGTACCCTCTCCGAGGACCCATTGGGTAGCTCTTTCGAGGTTCTTTTGTGCGGTCGGTTGCGGCACAGCTTGGCCAGGGCCAGTTCGAGCAGCTCTGCGCACAACTGTCGAGCGCCGATGAGCGGAGGGCGGTTGCTGGCGTGTTGAGTTGAGAGTTTTTTAGTTTAGTGTTCACTGCCACTGTGTCTCCCCTCACCCAGTCGTGCTCTTGCTTAAGCGGAAAGTCTCTCTCTGTCGAACTCACCCGAAAACGATCGAAACCACGCATCGGAATCCCGGCGCGTCTTGGGGACCGCGGGGCGTCCTCATCGCAACCTGTCAGCAGTCCACCTCCGGGTATGTAAGCTGTGAGCTGTGAGGGTCCGCCCGCAGGCGCATTTTGGATACCGCGAGTCGGTGTGCCCGGTGCCGAGCCGCGAGCGGTGCCCATTACGGCTTTTTAGCCTGAGGGTAAGGTTTCTGCAGTTTCTCTGCTTATTTTCTGCTGGAGGTGGAGCCTCGGTTCCTTTTCCCCTTTTGATGGGGTCAGGGGAGATACTGCCACCTTTACCACTTTGGTCCTCTCGTAGCGCCAAGCTTTTTCGACCAGGAAAGTGATCTGGCCCTGGCCCCTGCGAGGGGGCGTCGCCACGCGCCTTTGTGAGGTTGTGGTCAGGCGAGACATAGATGGTGGCTCGAGGATGGTGTGGATGGAGGGCGGAACGACGCTCGGGGCAAAGGAGGGAGGCGGTGGAGAGGCGCCCACGCAGACCTTGGCGGAGGCCACCTCTCGAACCGACCAACAGCGTGCTGCCGGTCGGGGCTGATGGATAACTCCTGTATGGACAGAGGCGTCGAGGGCCCCGCTCTTTCCCTCGCATAGCGGCCACTCTTCGGATCGCTGGTCGAGCGACCCGGGGGATGCCCCGCGCGCCTGACCCACAGGCGCGAGAAACGAATCTGCGAGGCGCGGCCGCTTCTGCGGCCCGATGGGGAGGAGTGGGGCGGAAGACTACGGGGATCGGCTTCTTACACCGCCCCTCCCTGCAGCGAGCCCCCTCCAACCCACCCCCGCGCTAGGTCTCGGGTTTGACGCAGGGGTCACTCCCGCGAAACTCGAGAGAGATTTTTAGCAATACCAAACAACTCTAACACTCACACGTCATTTGGGGCCTGGAGCCCTGTTCACGCGCGCGCGAGACGTGCAGACAGGGTTGCCAGGTGAGAGCGAATGGCGCGGTTCACGCCTCGCACAACAGTGTCGAAACTCGTGAACTAGCCGGGGCAGTCGGAGAAGGGGCAACTCCCAGTGCACTGACGGTCGGCCGCCAGAAAACACGCCTGCGTGGATCGCGTCACACCAATCCTCGCTACCCAACGCGACCAAAGGATATCCACCTCGAGAACCTCGAGAAAGTATGAACTGCCGCAACAGCGCCTCAAAAAAAAGCCGATTTGGGGTGGCTGATAGTATGTGTAGCGAACTCATGCTCTGAGGGCGCCCGCGTCCCACCCCCGCCTGCCGTCGGCGCGGCGCGGCGCATCGCCCACCCCGCCACGGCTCGTTTCCGACACCCCGCCGCCACCGGGGGTGTACACAGCGTTCGTCGCGCGCAGACGTCGCAGACGCTGCGGCAGAGAAGAAATTTCCGCACGCCGCCCCCGCGAACCACAGCCGCGCGCCCCGCTGCGTGCGGACCCACCCTTCGCCGCTGCCACCCTCGCCGCCGCCCAGCCCGCCGCGTTACACGCCCCTCAGCCCCATCCCACTCTCCCTTCTCCCGGCAAATCGTTACCGCCACGGCCTGTTCACGGAGCTCCCCCCCCCGGCGCGCGCGCAGACGTCATAATCAACAACATGGCGAAGTCCTCCACCTCCCCGAAGCCGGGCTCGCCCACCTCCATGACCATCACGAAGAACGGGAAGAAGTGACACGCCTCCACACCCGCCCCGCACACGGCACATGCCCGCACACGCTCCCCCTCCCGCACGCGCCTTACTGCCGCTGAACCCTCACCTCCCGTCGCGCTGCTCCGCCCACGCAGCTACAAGAAGTTCGTGAAGTACCTCTCCAAGGAGCTCAAGGCGAATGGCAAGGCTTTCGATTTCACGATCGCGGGCGCAAAGTGGGCCTCGCAGGAGGAGGGCCACGAGTTCAAGTTCGAGTTCGGCGAGGCCTGAACGAGCGGCGTCGGTGTGAGAACGGGGGGGCCTGAGCCCACGGCGTAGCTAACGTGCGCAGAGCAAGCGGCCGAGCCCCATCCCACTCTCCGCCCGCGCGTCGACGGGGACTGCCATGGTGGTCTATGTTTCTGGTGGTGTCCTGGTGCGTGCGCGACTCCGTAAGGGCCGGGCTCTCTGTGTTCGAGACGTCTGGTTCTCAGAGCAGCACGTCGTTACAACACCACGAGTATGCGCAAAATGAATGAACACCGACAGATCACACGCAAGGGTTCCCCACCGTACTTCGCGCGCGGCCTCGCACGCCTCACGCGAAGCCCGTGGCGTGCCGTCGTCAGTGTGCAAGGCTCGGGGGCATCTCGACTGGCGCGCTCTCCAACCTGTTGCCGACAGCAAGCATCGGCCGGCAGCCCGTCGGCGCGTCGCAGCACGACCCGCCCGCTCCCCCGTCCAACGCGCCCTCCTTCAGCGTCGTCTCGAGCGTCGCCGACTCCGTCTTCGGCGGCGGCGCCTCCCGCCGCGCTCGCATCGCCGAGGGGCTCAACATCATCTGCCAGGAGATCGGCACGATCTCGCTCCTCGGCGCCGCCGGACGTCTCCATGGTGGTCACGCGGCCTCTGGCTGGAACGGGATCTACCTCGCAAGCGAGTCACCCGGGCCGGCGCGCGTCTTCCGAGAGAAGGGCGGGACCTAGTAAGCCGGCCGGGCGTACGGAGTCTACACCCCGTGATCCCCTCTCATCGGGTGGACAAGGGGGCATCGGCCTTAGCGTGACGGCAGTCACGAAGACTGCCAGCCCTTGTCCGGTGGGATCAAGCCAGTACGCCCCCCACGGTTGAGGGGAGGACGACTGTCTCTGACGGCGAACCTCAGTTACGAGCCGCCCTCCCTTCGAGACGCGTGGCCAGTGCACTCGGGCCCCGCGTGGGTGCACCGTCCCACACGCCTCACCACGCGGCCTCTGTGGCTGGAACGGGATCGCAAGCGAGTCCCCCGGGCCGGCGCGCGTCTTCCGAGAGGTAGATTCGTAAGAGCGAATAGCCACACATACTCTCTTACGTACACTGAGAGAGCGAGAGAGAGTACACACTGACAGATCACTGAGAAGCTAAAACGTACCTACACACTGACAGAGATCTTCGATCGCCGTGCAAAGCTCGCTTCCGAGCTCTCACGCAGCCTTGGGCTCGAGCTTTACCTTTGGGGCCTCTATAGAGAACACACACACGCACTTCTCCCCTAAAAAGATACGTACAGTCGTACACTGTGAAAGGCTAGACGAGAGGACTAGCCCCACGGGGCTGACTGGGGGATCCGGAGGAGAGAGGTCATCCGGATCGTGCGTGTGGCGGGACGCTGCCGGGCACCTGCCTGTGGTTGCTGTCCTTCCTCCACCAACACACAGCGCTCCCGACGGGGACGCCATCACCCTCGCCCAGGGATCTACAAGGCTGTCGTGAGGTCCGACCCTAAAAGCTCGGCGCCGGGCACCCCTCGAAAAAATCGGCCTACAAAATAAACCAAGGCGGCACAAGAGGACCAAGAGGACGCATCGATCCCTTTGGGCACCTTCATCGATCCCTTCGTCGGATCCCCTCGAATGCAAGTCGCCGCGATCTTGTCCAAGAACGTGGGCTTCGGCATCTACGCGCTTGCCCTAGGTAGTCTAAAGTGCTCAAGCTCAGGACTGGAGCATTCTTTCCGTGTGCTTCTGGGGTGAGCTTCTTCTTGACGCCGTCTTCCGGGAAATCCAAGAGTAGCTAGATGCTGCCCTGACCAAGCCTACGTTACGCCGAAACCAACACAACACGACCAAGCACCTCGAACAACGAAACGGCTCGCCTTGAGTTGAGTCAGACTGCTTAGGGGACCCCTAGGGTTCTGGGGGCCGGATTTTTTCAAGACCTTTTAAGAAGTGAGGAGGTTTGGGGGCGTAAATTGCCATTTAAGAGATGCAGGCACGGGCCCCCCCTCTTTTCGAAGACCGTTTAAGAAAATCGGCCTCGCCGGCATGCGTCGCTGGGTTCCGCGCCGTTTTCTCCAATACTGCCGTTATTAGGCACAAACCCGCCTCTGAAGACACATCTGTAAGTCTGGTGCACTGTCAGGAGCCATACTCGCATAGGGGACGCGTGCTAGCTGACTGTAGCCAGCTTCCCGGCCTCCGGCGTCTACCGGGAGCCTCCCGGACCATCGACCTCGGCGGGACGTCTCCCGGTCCCGCACCGTTTGAGCGTTTAAGACCGTTTGAGGAATCGGCGGCCCAGCTCTTAAAAACCGGCCTAGGCCGGTTTAAAGCCGTTTAAGCCGCAGGCGCCCCAGGGCCCACCCTTTTAAGCCTAGGGGGCCCCTAAGTCAGACTGGGTCTGACTCGTCTAACGGTAACGCTCTCGAACTCGAGATTCTCACAACTCGATTCTTCGTCGATGGACTCTTTTAGGCTAGTTAAGAGTCAACTTTCACAGAGCGACAGTTTCTAGTTCTATCGCGCGCGCCGTAGTGGGAAACTCACGCACGGCGCAATGGGAAGCCACGGCTAGGTTGTTTTTGCCTTTGCCTTTGCGTCGCCGCCGGGCTCCCGCGCCAGCCACAGCCCGAGCAGCAGGGCGACGTGGCAGAGCTGCAGCAGCGTCGAGGAGGCGGCGGTGGGCGGGTAGACGTTGTAGGCGCCCTCAATGCCGATCCACAGCGCGAGCCTCAGCGCCGGCGGGAACGGCGTCATCCAAAGCAGCACCGGCAGCGAGTGGAAGTAGTAGAGGTAGAACTGGTAGTGCAAGCTGCGCGCCGCCGCGATGCCGATGAAGTTGCACGACAGCGCGACCTGCAGCGCGTGGCGCGCCGCGTCGTCGCGCGGCGGAAGCGGCCCGCGCACGGCCCCGCCGAGCAGGCTGAGGCAAGGGGTGGAGGTGAGACCTCTCCGCACGGAGGGGGGCAAGGGGGAAGGGTGCGTGCGTGCGTGCGTGCGCGCCTCAGCAGCCCGCCGTCGTGCCGCGTCCACCGCCAATGCGCAAACGCGAGCAGGAGGCAGAGGTGCGCGGCGAGCAGCCCGCGCGCGAGGGCGGCGGAGCCAAAAGCGGCGGGCGACAGCATCGCCCAGTTGACCGACCAGCGGTGCTCGAAGGCGCGCGAGAGCTCGAAGGCGCGGCCGAGGTATCCGGCCGCGTTGGCGCGCAGGAATGGCCAGGCTGTGGCGACCTGCCGGCCGAGGGCGGGCACCTCTTCGCGGCTGGAGGCGTGAAGAGACGCCGCGGGCGGCCGAGGCGCGCCTGCAGGCCGAGGGCGGGCATGGCGCGGAGGACGGCTCCGGCCCAGCCGCACTCGCGGAGGGTGAGCAGCGCGAGCGCGGGTGCGAAGAGGAGCGCGTTCATCTTGACCGAGAGTGCGGCCGAGAAGAGGAGTGCGCCTGCGGCGTAGGACCGGCGCGCGTACGCCGCGAGAAAGGCAAAGAGCAGCAGCATCGCCTGCGGCTCGGATCCGGCGGGGTGGAGCAGCAAAGGCTCGTGGAGACGAGGGCGGAGACGGGCGGCGTCACCGGTCCGTCGTTGAAGAGGCGGAGCAGGTAGAGCGAGTGGACTCTGTACGAGCCTGCCGTCGCGAGTATAGACGCGTCAGGGTGGGAAACAAAGGCACCGTAGTGTGCAGAGCATTGCTCCGAGCTCCCAGGGCTGGTTGCTGGACCACAGCGACGTGTGTTTGTGTTCCGCATCTAGGGTCATCGAGCCGCACGCAAGCGCCCACGCCCACGGAGGCACGCCGCAGGCTCGGTACACGCGGAGCACGAGCGCGAGCGTCGCCACACTCACGCCCAGTCCGATGTACTGCGCTGTCCGCACGTCCCCACCACCCGACACGCACCGGGCCGACTCGGAGACCTCTGTGGGCGGCAGGCGGCAGCAATCCGGGTCGGCGCCCGTCAGGCGGTGCAGGCCGAGGTAGAGCCACACGAAGCCCGCCGGGTACACGAGCGGCCCAGTGTTCGCGCCGATCGCGGTGTAATCACGCTCGCCGTCGGCAACCGCCTGCACCTCCTGCATGTAGGCCTTCCAGTCGATCTCGGTGTAGCGTGCGCGGTGAATGATGAGCAGGCCGAGGCCGGTCTCGCCGGCCAGCAGCAGGCAGCCGAATAAGGCGGCGGAGCGCGACGACGCGGACGAGCTGAGAAATCGCGACATGTCACAGCGGGCTCGCGACCGCGATTTCGCCGGACTAGTGTGGACCTGCGGCGTGTTGCCTTTTCTCTGTGGGGGGGGGGCGTTGTGTTTCTTCACGTAAGCGGGTAACTCACTGATCCTCCACCGGATCCGACTTTCGACAGTGCTGGCAAAGCGCATCGCGCAGCCGCACGGAGTCTCCGACAGCCACGCACAGCCTCACGCTCACTGTGGTTGAGACTTTCATGCACATGCAAACTTGCAGGTCAGGGTCTCTGGCCACATGCGAAAGGAAAGGCTCATCAGAACGGATTCGTTTGCACGCCGTGCAGAAGCTGGTGAGGTATGGCATGCCAAGATAATCTCCATCGCGATTGCTATCCAACGTGCCATCTCCAACCCAGTCCTCAGGCACGTGGTCGCCACCGCTTGGCTGCCACTCTCCCGCGCGAGATCCATAGTTTATCAGATCGCCCAGTAGGTCTGCAGCTGAGATGCTGCCATCTGCGTCACACGTCAGTCCCGGAATTGCGGGCGTGGCCACTTCACCGTCGTATGTGCACGTGCAGTAGGGAAGGTGCGTGCCGCTAAAGGCGGAGGGGTTGGTGAAGTACTCGCCGAGCTCTACACCGCGTGCCAGTCGATCGGTGCGCACTCGGGCATCGTAGACAGCTTGGCTCTCACCTGGCTGACCCAGCATGCCATCCTCGACACGTCGCTTGAGCTCTGCATAAGGCAGTGAGCGCATTTTTTCGCGGTCGCGCGGGCAATGGCATGTCTCGGCGATGCGGGTGTTCTTTGTGTCTTCATACTCATCGGAGTTGCGCCAAATGCAAAGCAGATCTTCCAAGTGAGGCTCGTCGAGTGGGTCACCCACATTGCGGTAATCTTGGAGCCACGACAGAAAGTCGCCGCGCACCAGGATGTCCAAGCTTTCGAGAACGACTTGTGCGGCTTGGTGCTGGGAGGCAGTGTCAGCTTGCTGCTGCGGAAGTGATGGCGCAGGGGACGACAGCCGCTGCTCTGCGCGCCAGGCAGCCACCAAGCCAACCTCCGTGGGGACGTGCATGCTGCCGTACATCGCAGGACCGCGCTGCTCGCGCCATGCCTGAAACGCCATCTCTTCTTGCCTCGTCATCGAGTTCATCAAGGCATCAAGCTCGGCGAGTCCAGGCTCAGGGTCTGCAATCTGCTGCGGCTCCGAGGATTCTCCGATCTGCTGCCTCCCTGCAGCCTCGGCCGCAGAAGCGTGCGCCTCTCTTGCGATCTGACCCGCTGATCTGCCACCGCTTGGAGGCCAGGTTGCCTCTCCTGCCGCGTCCTCGCCCTGGCTACGGCCCGCGCCATCGCCCTTCTTCATTTTGCACCGCCAAGCGAGGGGCAATCGCAATCCGGATCCGACGACGGAGCGATCCGCCCGTCCTCGTAAAAAGAATTTTTCTACGGGAATTTTGCACAAAGAAAAGGCCTTCGTTAAAATTGCGGCAACACACCAAACATGCTCAGGTCTTGCCGTCTTTGCCGTGCCACATTGTACTCTTGCATCTTCTGGATCAATCTATCCGGCAGCCTGTAACGTTTACGCCGGCCGTGCACTCTGCAAAAGGGCACCAGTCCGCTGGCGGGTGTGTTGCACTCGTCCGTGGGTGGGCCGCCAAGCGCGAGATCCTCCTGAGAGAGCGGCTCAAAAGGCTCCAGGACGCACCCGCACACGCAGTAGCCTGCTGCAGCGCGTTGCTGCACGCCCAAGACAGGGTCAGGGTCAAGTGAGCCGGGTATGGGCTTGAAGCTCAGGCTGGGCAGCAGCCACCGCAGCGTGGCCAGTGCACCGATGCGCCGAAACCCGGTGGCTGATGCTCCAGTCCCACAGCCGCGTCGTGTAGCGGACTCGACCGCCACCGCCATCAGTGCGCTTTCCCACTGCTGGGAGCCATCTGGCTCATGCGAAGCGGCCCACTCCTTGATTGCGAGGCACAGCCAATGGTCATAGTAGTTATCCCCTCGCACGCTGCTAAAGAAGCCAGTGGTCCGCCAATAGTCAGAATCTCGCAGCGCCTCATCGACGGCCTTGAGCAGCGCCACCTGCTCATCGAGCCGCCGAATCCGCATGCGCTCCTCATAATAGCTTGTCACCGTGAGCTTGGCCACGTCACGCCGCCGCTGCGACCGCTCGCGCTCCCTCTCCATTCGCTCCTTGGCGGCCTTGACTGCCTGCGGCCCTACCACGGGGAAGCCTTGTGTGGTGATGGTGGGTGGGGCGGGGAGGGATGGGAGGCAAAGCCACCCCCGGCATGCCTGCTTCAGGAACCATCTGGCTGGAGGTGGTGCCGGCAGCTCCAGCAGCGGCGCTCTGTGTAGTCGCCGAACCAATGCTCGCACTTGCCATCATCGCCGTGATCGCTCGCGCATCCCTCTTGCGCTCGGCGTCTTCGCTCTTGGTCCGCCTCGACATCTTGCGCCTGGTGTCGCGAGCAATACCATACATGCCCATGGCGAGCTCGTACGCCTGCTGGTCGCCACCTTCCGGCGGCGGCTTTGGCCTCTTGAGCCGTGGCGGGCCAGCGTGCACACGGTCGCTATGTGTCACGGCAGGTGTCGCTGCGGCCTTGCGCTGGCGCTTCAGGGAGGCAGATGGCTCCTTCTCCGCCGCCCGCAGCAGCCGTGCATGCTGCTGCTTTCGATCGCGCCACTGGTCCCGCCGGCTGCTCCCGCTGTCGCCGCTGTCGGGGGGGAGCCGGCGTTCGGTCCATTTGGCGAGCCAGCGATTCTGCTCGGCATGCCATTTTTTGTCGGTCTCGTAGTTGACTGAGTGGGGGGGCGGTCCCGCCTCCACGGCTGCTCGAATCTCGTCCGGGTTCAGCCGTCGCTTGGCCATTGGGCGGAGCTGGTGGTGCAAACGACCGAATCGGTGGGACGGTCGGAAACTGGTGGCGGTGGGACTTATAGGGTTAGAAGAAGTCCCCTTACTCGAGTATCAAAATTCCTCTCTCTCTCGAGAAAAGGGAGGGGGTTGTGTTCTCTAGGCCCCTAAGGGCCAAGGGCCCTACGCGCGGCGTGAGAGCTCGGAAGCGAGCTTTGCACGGCGATCGAGGATGGCGCGGAAAATGGGAAATTTCATCAAATTCACGCATCATCGGGGACGCACGAGTTCGCTGCCGTGGCCCGAAACAGCCACGTTCAGTGTCGCTGCATCACACCTCCCAGCAACTCTCGGGGTGGGTTCGCTTGCGCACGAGCTTGACCGGAGCAATAGAATCGGGCAAGATGCCGGTCCTCGCCGACCAAGTGTACGCGCTCGGCGAGTCACTCTACGAGCTCATATATTCAGAGGCGCAGTGCGACGATCCCGCCAAGGTCACTGGCATGCTGCTGCAGCTCGACGCGGACGCGGTGCGCTCTCTCATCGCCTCTCCCGAGCGCCGCTCCACGATGGTTGCCGAGGCGGTAGCAGTGCTCAAGGCAGCAACAGCTTCGCACGACAACCCATCCTCGGACTGCTATCGCAGCAGCCATGTGCCGATCCCGCACTCGAGCAGCCAGAGCAGCAGCCGAAGCCACGGAGAGCGCGCGCACGAGAACATTTGCCGCGGAGCCAAAGGCGGCAGCCGCAGCCGCAGCCGCAGCCGCAGCCGCAGCCGCAGCGCAAGCCCGCTCACGCGCGATGGGGCCAGGGATCCTCCAAGCCCAAGCGCGAGCAGCGCAGCGGCTCCGACGAAGCGACTCCACGTCGGTGGCCTCACCTCAGCTGCGTTGACCGAGCATGAGCGGCTACACCCTCAGCCCACGAGGGCGCCGGCGAGGGCGCGTTCGCGGCCGGCGCAGGGTTGTATAAGTCGTGCGGCAGCTTGTGTCTCAATCTCTCCGCTCCGCTCTGAGCCCGAGCAGCCTTCTTCGCCCCTGGAGCCCTCCCACCAGGCCCCGCCTCCTCCCCGGGAGAGGCCCGAGGGCCTCACCGTGTCACCTGCCCCCGCACATGGGGGCGCCTCCACCTCTGCTCCGGGGGTGATTCAGCTCGAGGCGGCCCCGGCTGAAGGCGGAGAGACGGTGTCTGACACCGCGGTGGCCGCTCGTGCGGCGAGGTGTGGCTCGCAAGCCCCTGCAAACGGCTCCTCGACTGGCGCGCTTGCGAGCGGCCCCCTTCCCTTGCGCGAGGCGTTGCGGCGTGCGCAGGGCCTGGAGCGAGAGGTGAGGCGCGAGGTGGAGAGGTACGCCCTTGGCGAGGATAACCTCAAGAGGCTCGTGGAGGAGCGGGGAGGCACCTTTCGCGCCGCAGTGGCGCGCGCAGTCGTTGACAAGATCGCAGAGTTCATCCTGGTGGCCAAGAGGAGGCGTCGCGACAAGAGCTACGCGCTGCGCGCGACGGCGGAGGTCTCGGCCAAGGAGGCGTGCGCCAACCTGGAGACGCTGCGCAAGAACTTGCGCAAGCAGGCCGAGGGGAGGCGCTGGAAGTAGTAGGGTACTGGAACACCGGAGCCACACGACACGCTCAAACGTCCTCTCCAGCGGCACGGACCCACGGCCTTGGCAGACGGTAGTAGAACTTGTGTAGAATAGCCACACAGAGAGAGAGAGAGAGAGAGAGCACAGATAGGCGCGCGGGTAAGTCTCTCATTATACAAGACAAAGTGTATATCGAATGCCAGGACGAAAAACTTAAAGACACATATATGTGTGCGCGAGGCCGCCGAGGGCCGATCGAGGCCTTGCAACAAAAAGCTCACGCATACGTGCGGGAGGGGGGGGGGGGTATCGTAACAGCAACGTTTATTTTATTCATAGATTAGGCCGCCTCTGGACTACACTGATTCTACAGACTACACCCCCACGCGCGGCCTAAGCCGCAGAGCGTGAGAGAAACTCCACAATCCGAACGGAGAGAAAATTCGGCACCCCCCCCCCCCCCCCCGGCGCTCACGGCGCCGCAACGAGCGACATCTGGAGCGAGACGGTCATCGCCGCGCTGCGGCCAGCGGCCTAGCCGGCGGCAAGACTGCGAGGGGGGCCGCGCGAGTAAGATGCACAACGTGAGCAAAGTGATCCGCATCGCCGAAGTCCACCGCGTTACACTGTGGGGAGCATCGATGCCTACAGAACACGTGCTTGTTTGTCAGGGCGTGTCGGTGAGTACGGCATCCGAGCGTCTGATACGGTGTATTCGCGCCCTCTCATCGCGCGCCACGGCGAAAGTAGATGCGCGTTAGGACGAGGGCAAGATCGACCCCCCTCCCGGCCCGTCGCGGCTGGTGTCGGAGGCGGGGCGTGCGCCGAGCGTCGCTCGCACAGCGAGGCACGGGCCTAGGAGAGGAAGAATGATCACGTATCAATACAGATGCAACAATTCAACAATGATGTGATCGCGGGCCTAGTCGGCCGAGCGCTGCGGCGCCGGTCACATTTTGGAGAATGCGTGCAGCTTCGGCCGCCTCGGCGTCCGCTTGCTGCCGAGCGAGCCATCGCTTCTCGAGGGGCGAGTTCTCGAGGGGCGAGTCGGCGGCGGGGCCCCTCGATGCGATGCGGACGAGGTCCTCGATCCGCTCGCGCGTCTGGAAGGAGGTTGCGAGAGGGCCGGACGCCATGCGCTCGCCGCTCACGGGGGAGACGGGGTCGGCGCCCAGGACGGCGCTCCGTCCGATCCACTCGCTGATTGCGGAGCGCTCATAGACGTGGCCGTCGCAGGCGACGACAGGGTCCGTCGGCAGCTCCAGGGAGATGTTGCACAAAGGTCGGAGGAGGCACTCTGGCGCGCGGGCCTCGAGGAGGCGGGCCTCGAGGAGGCGGCTTCGCTGCAACCGCCCTGCCGCTTCGTATCCCGCCGCGACGGTCTTGGGCGACAGCTTCTTGAAGATGCCCTTGTCGGGCGTCACCGCCGCGCGGGCGGGAGCGAGGCGGACCGGACGGGGTGCAAGCGGACTGCTGCGGCTCGCGGCACGCACGCGCAAACGCTGCAGCGGACTGACCGAGCGGGAGCCGGCTGCACTGGCGCGAAAGGCAGCGTCGTCCGGCGGCGTCTGCGCCCGGGGGCGCGGTGGTGAGGTTGGGGGGGGCTGACGGCGCATCGCCCGCTCACCGCGCGGGAACAGTCAGTCCGTGCTTCTCCAAGCCGACAATCACGGCGCCGTTCACTCGCGGAGCGCGTGAACAAGCGCTTGGGCCGGGGTTGACTCGAGAATAGGTCTATCTCGGCGTCCGGTGTTTTTGTGTGAACAAGCGGGAAAGGGCACCCCAGCTAAATAACAACGGGGAGCCGCATCATGGGCGCAGCATAACCGTCCGAACCGTATCATTCAAGAGGAGAGAGTGCGTAGTACGAGAGCCCAACCGTGTCCCCGAACTCGAAGCGCGTGCCGGCCACGCGAGAGACTAGGAATATGTACCGTACACAGCCGTGCACCTGCGCTGGCCGCCACCGGCACCTTGAGGCGCTGCTGCGGCGGCTTTAGCTGCGGCTCCGGCCGCGATCCCGGCTGCGGCTGCGACTGCGGCTCTCATCCTCCGGCCGGCTGCTGCGCCTACAGTGAGAGCGGTCTCGGGTCGGCGAGACGGAGAGGCTTCCCGTAGCGCCGACTGCGCGGCGCGCCTCTTCTTCTTCGAGTGGCGCCTGCGACTGCGACTCCGGCTGCGGCTGCGGCTCGGCTCGTCCGCCTTGGCATCGTCCTCCTTGTGGTCGCGCTTCCGGTGCTTCTTGCGCCGCTTCTTCTTGCCGCGCGCCTCCTCCTCCTCGGCGGCGCCATCGGCGGCGCCATCGTCCTCAGCCGCATCGGCGTCGGCCTCTCCGCCTCCGCCGCCACCCGCCCCCTCTCCGCCGCCGAGCCTCGCCACCGTGAGCTCGTGCGCCGCGGCCACCGCCTCGTGCAGCAGCTCCGCCGCGCGGGGCGGAGGCGGAGCCGCGTCCGCATGCGCGTCCGAAGTCTTCTCGCCGTTGCCGTTGCCGCCGCCTCCCTCCTCGCCCGCCCCGTCCCGGCGCTCCTCCGCCTCCTCCCACGCGGCGAGCTTTGCGACAAAATCAGGCAGCGAGTCCGCGGCGCAGAGGGTCGAGCAGCGCCCCGCGAGCTCGGAGGCGCGGGCGAGGTGCGCCGGGTACGCCTGCCGCAGCTTGGCGACGAACCCGTCGAAGACCGCCCCAGGGTGGTGAGGCTCCTCGGACAGCTTGGACTGCTTCGCCTCGGCGAGCTCGCGGCACCGCTCCTTGAGCTGGCGGTACCGCTCGTCCTCCTTGACCTGCTCACAGCTGCAGCCGTGAAGAGACGCTGCTCACACCTCCGCGGCACCACCCGTCCTCCACCCGACCTCGTCCGGTGCCTCGCGCCACCGGCACGCGCGCCGCAGCAGCCCGCGCTTCTGGAGCGACGAGAGGTGCTGCTCGAACCCGTGCCTCGCCCTGCTCGCAGCAACCTCCGCCGCCTCGAGCGCGCGCGCCGCTGCAAACGCCGCAAACGCCGCGCGCCGCTCCGGCTCGGCGAGCGCCTAATGAATCTCGTAGCCCATCGCTCTGCGGGTGCTCTCGGGCGCGACTCTCGGCTCGGCGACCCTCTCAGCGACGCGTGGGCGCCTTGCAGCGCGGGTCGGCGAGGACGCCCTCGCGCGACCGGACGTCCGACCACGCCTCGTCCCCGGCCAGGCCGAGCCCCGCGAGCAGCTCGTGGAAAGACGCCTACGCGACGGCCGCCGGCAGGGCTCCGAGGAGGCTCCGAGGAGGCTCCTCGCTCCGCCAGCTCGGCGACAGCACGCCTCGCGCTGTTTGAGCAGCGCCTTGCCTCGCGCGGCGAGCTCCTCCTCCACCTCGTCCCACGCCTCGTCGCGCTCCTGCCGCTCGAGGGCGCGCCAGCGCGGGTCGTCGCCGTACAGCGTGCGCGCGGCGGAGAAGGAGGGGCGAGGCCCGAGCTCGTCGCTGGCGCGCAGCATCTCGGCGAAGGCGCGCCTCGCCTCGCGCCGCGCCTCCTTGCGCTCGCGCCTCAGCCGCTGGCGCAGCTCCGAGTCGGCGGAGCCCATCTCGTGCTGCCACTCGCCGAAGAGCGCCCTCCGCTGCGCCATGCTCTTGACTGCGCCTGTGCACGGCGAGAGGCGTGAAGGGCGCTGCTCGCGGCCCGCTGCGCCGTGCTCTCGGCTGCGCCGTAGCGGCGGTCGACGACGAGCTGCGGCAGCACCGCCTCCCACTCGAGCGAGGAGACCTGCTCACGGCGGGACGCGTGACGAGGCGCTGCCCGCACCTCACAGCGCCGCCGCCCGCTCGATGCCTTGCGGTGGTCCGCCTCGACGGCGGCGCGCAGCTTCTCGGTCAGCAGCGCGGTGAAGGCGGCGGCGGGGTCGTCGACCTCCGCGAGCGAGAGCGGGGCCTGCTGCTCCGCCTGCGGGGCCAGCTCCCACCTTCTCTATCTTCTCTTCTCGTCTCGTCTCTTCTGCTCCGCCTCCCCTCTTCTCTCCTCTCCTCTTCTCTTCCTACCTCCTCTATCTTCTCGTCTCGTCTCTTCTGCTGCCCGCGCCTGCGGAGCCAGCTCCGACACACGCGCGGCGCTGGTGAAGGTCGACGTCGCCGCGCGCTCGTCCGCCTACTCTCGGCGGATCTCGGCGGGTCTCGGGGGGATCTCGGCTGATCTCGGGTAGGAACTTCCGTGCCGCTCGTCCGCCTCCTTCTGCCGCTGCCTCCGCCGCGCCCGCTTGGACGGCCCTCGCGCCTCCGCCTCCGCCTCCAGCGCCGCCGCAGCCTCTGCATCCGCCGCCGCCGCCGCCGCATTCGCCGCCGCCGCCGCCGCATCCGCCGCCGCCGCCGCCTCCTCCTCGTCGGCGGTCGGTGCGTCGGGCAGCTGACTCTCCGGCGCGGACGCCGCCGCCCTCGCAGCAGCTTCCTCCTCCTCCTCCTCCGCCGCCGCCGCCCCCTCGCCCGCCGCCGTCTCGCCTCCGCCGTTGGCTCCAGAGCCGTCCGCCCCCGCCCCCTCCTCCGTCTCGCCAGCCCCGCTAGCGGCGGCGGCAGCGGCGGCCGTTCCGCTGTCCTCCGTGGAAGCCCCCGGAGCCGCGCCCTCCCGCCCCCGCCGCTCCGCCTCGGCGCGGGCCTGGCGTTGTGGACGCACTGGGGTCATGGAGTGGGGCAAGGACTGGGGGTTGGATGCACTGGGGCCATGGGCACACGGAGCAGAGGGCGGGGGGGGACAGGCAGGGCGGGGGGCGAGACAGCCAAGCACGTGTCCTCTCGAGCGGAGGGGTGGGGTGGTCGGAGGGGGTGGGGTGCTCGGAGGGGGTGGGGTGGTCGGAGGGGTGGGGTACTCCGCATACGGAAGCCTCGCACCTCAGCGTCCGCCTTTGCTCCGACGGAGAAGAAATCGTCCTCCGGCGGGGCGTGCGACCCGTCCCTCCCCTTTTGCCGCGCCAGCTTGGTCAGCCTCGTCGCGAGCTTCGCCTCTGCCGCAGAGAACTCGTCGGGGACCTGGTGAGACACCGACGGCGCGTGAGCAGACACCTCCCGACCTCTTGACGCCGGGGCCTGACCCGAGACACGAGACTCAAGACTCGGTGCGCAATCTCGGCGCGATCTCGGCGCGATCTCCGGCTCCTCTCGGCGCTCCTCCCACTGCGAGACACCCGTAGCCGGCTGCGTGTAGTACAGCCGCCCGTCGGCGCTCTTGTACTGCGCCCACCCGCCCAGCTCGCGAGCCGGCCGCGCCTATGGGAAAGTGCAGGGAAAGCTCAGGGGCGGTGCAGGGAAGGCCCAGCTCGCGAGAGAGCCGCGCCCCGGCCGCGGCGCCGCCGGCAGCCGCTGCGCCGCCGCCAGCTGCTGGCCGCACCTGCAGGACGGCTCCGAGAAGGGTCAGGGAGGCATCCAGCAGGCGGCCGCCTCTTTCTAGCCGCAACCCGCACCCACGCGCTCTCGCCCGTCCGCCGGTTGACAAAGTAAGGCCGGCCGGAGCTGTCCGCAGCCTCGGTCCACTCGTCCGCGAGCGGCGGAGCAACCGTCGCGGCCGCCGCCTGCGCCTGCGCCTGCGCCTGCGCCTGCGCCTGCGCCTGCGCCTGCGCCTGCGCCTGCGCCTGCGCCTGCGCCTGCGCCTGCGCCTGCGCCTGCGCCTGCGCCTGCGCCTGCGCCTGCGCCTGCGCCTGCGCCTGCGCCGCCGCCTGCGCGTGCGCCGCCGCCTGCGCCTGCGCCTGCGCCTGCGCCCGCGCTTGGGCTTGCGCCTGCACCTGCGCCGCCTGCATTGCCTGCGCCGCCTGCGCCGCCTGCGCCTGCGCCGCCTGCTGCGCCTTCAGCTGCGCAACCTGCTGCGCCTGCGCCGCGTGCACCGCCGCCAGAGCCGCCGGATCTAGCTGGGCGCGCGGCATGACGCCCGCAGCCGTGGCCGCCGCGCGTGCCGCAGCAGCTTGTGTCGCAAGATTCTGAATGTGCGCGTGCATGGCCATCTGCTGCTGGTACATCATGAGCACCATCGGGTTTGGCACCGGCGCCGGCAGTCCAGCCGGCATTGGCCTCGGCATCAGCCCTGGCATCTGCATTAGGCCCGGCATAGGCAGTGGCGAGAGGCCCGGTCTGGGTGGCGTCGACGCGAGACCCAGCGGAGGAGGAGCCGCCGGAAGACTGGGCGGAGCCACCGGCGGCGCGCCGGGCACATCTGCCGGCTGATTAGCTTCAACCGGAGGCGCTCCGAAACCCATGTCCGGTGTTTGCGTGCTCGAGCGAGAGCAGCGTCCTGTCGCGAGCACGACAAAGATTTTTTTCGAGGTTAGCCTATGAACAAACGCAAGGCAGACATCGCATATCGCTCTCATTTTTTTTCTCGGGGGGATTATTAAAACCTCTAGAAGTGCTGGACGTGCGCCGTTTTTCATTCCTCTCCAGCGGTCTGCTTTCTTTTTCTTAGGCTGGCGCACCTCTAGCCACACAACTAGCGAAGCCCACAGAGTGGGAGAAGTCTCCCAACCTCGTGGATGGATGCCGGATCACACAAGTCACACAAGCCTGACAGCCTCTGCAAGAGCACTGCGCCTCAGCGGGCTCATACTAGCACCCACCTCGCGAGCCGTTTCTTATCTTGGAGCACTTGGAGTACCTTTCCCCCTTTTTTTTAGCAATACCAAACAACTCTAACACTCACACGTAATTTGGGGCCTGGAGCCCTGTTCTTTGTTGCTTTTTTTTCACGCCCGGGACGGTCTGTTACACACAACATCATGCATGGCTGTAGCCTGAGCAAGGTGAACGCGCTTCAGCATCGCGACGCGCCTCTGTGCGAGCTGACAGGGCGTCGAGCCAGCGTAGCACTGGCGGTGACCAACAACGCGGCCGATGGCCGCCCGTTAACGCTCTACTTTGAGGACCATGACACCGCGACCAACGCGTGGACCGGGAGCCTGTGCCGCTACGTGGACCAGCTCGCGTTCATCATGGTGCCTGCAAAGAGCGTGGGCTCCGCCGTCGAGCGCGAGGAGCGCACCCGTGCGGTCAGGGAGTGCAAGGCCTCGCTGTCCGCCCTCTGCGCTGACGATGCAATGCAGCACCTGGCAGAGGGGTCGCCTCTGCTTGCCGTGCCCGCAGCGCAGTTTGCGGTGAAGCTCGCCGACGCCATCCACGGAGAGGGGTCTCTCGAGGCAGTCCCGGCACGGCTGTGCCTCTCTGATGCGTATGTCGCCGCAAAGTACCCCCAGCTGGCGGAGGACACCCTGACAGCAGCGAACTGGGCTCTCCTGGCCCGTGCTCGCGCCTCAAACGCGCTACGATCGCGGCTTCGACGCTCGTTTGGCAAGCTCTACGCCTCACAAGGGAGGTACGACGAGGCTCTGCGCCAGCTTGCCGACGATATCTACCACTGCTCCCTCGAGGAGGGGCCGGAGCACCTCAGTGCGGTCGGTGGATACTTTGAGCTCGCCAACGTCTTCTCGTTGCTCAAACGAGGCGACGCGGCGGGCGCGTTGGACGACAAAGTTGTAGACTGCTGGAACAAATACCTGCTGCCAGGCATGGGGCGCTCGGTCCCGGCGCTATCTGCTTCGCAAGCTGCGCAGGGTGTCGAGATGCTTCGAGCGGCGCTCAAGCGGCGCGAGGCGACTGGCGGCACGCATGTCGGGGCGGGGGAGGCACACTACGTCCTCGCGCTCTTGCTCCAGCACTGCGGCGACCGCAAGCCTGCTAAAGGGCATGTCCGCACCGCGTGCCAAATCTACGAGAGCACGCTGGGCGCCAACCACCCGAGAACGGCCGAGGTGCAGGAGGCTCGCACGCGGATCGAGGAGTCGTGCCAGGCATGAGCGAACGGACTCGCGTGTTTAGTCTTTGACTCTCTGCAAAACATTTGTAGGGATTCGTGACAGAAAGGGGCTGCTAGCTCTACCGCTGGAGCTAGTGGCCCGGCGTGGCCATGGGCGCGCGGCCTCTGTCGCGCGGGGCGGCCTGCACGCGAGAGAGAAAAGGTTCAGTACGTTGGCAAGTCCCACGACGAGGCGCCTGTCTGCTGGTTGTAGTAGTAGGTCTGACCAGACGCCGGATCCTGGACCGTCGTCCAGCCGGGAGGCAGCCCGCCGCCGGCGCCCTGCGGCTGAGCGGTCCCGCTGTTGTAGCTGCCGAACTCTTCCGCCCAACCGGACCGCTCAAACTTGTAGACGGCGCTCTCCGGATCCGTGTAGTCCAAGCTCACCTTGTGGCCGTTCGTCAGGGCCACCGACTCGCCGGGCTGCATCCAGGTCCACGGCTCGTACGGGGACGTTCGCCAGCCGGTCGGCTGCTGGCCCTGCGCATACACGTAGATGCACGAGCCGTCTTCGGCAGCGTGGACGATGCACTGGTCGGGGGCGATGTTCATCTTCTGGCCCTCGAACTCCACCATGTCGTACCGGCCAAGGGCTTGCTGGTGGCCGCGGTCGACGTAATAGTCGGTCTTCAACATCCCAGAAGCGCCATCCCTGGGAAAGACATGCCAGATCATGTTGACGGCGGAGCGCGGTGCCGCATTTGGCCTGCGCATCGCGCTGCTCCTCGTGCCGCCCATCCACGACATGCTGGCCGCCGCACTCACGAGAAGCGCACTCATGGCGGTCGAAGCAGCTCTCGGCCGGAGGTCGCCCAGCTTCTTCCTCGGCTATAAAAGAATTCGCACGAAATCCCTTTGTGGCGGCGTGCCGTCTAAGTGGTGCCCGCCCACACATCTCTAGCACACATGAGAGAGAGATTGAGAGAGAGATTCTCCCAGTAAGCTAAAAGTACGTACGCACATGAGTACGAGTACCTCTCTGTCCCGCTCTCGTGAATGTGGCCAACGAACTCGACCGTCCACCCCTGGTGTCGCACTCTCGAGGTCGCACTTGGATACCAGTGGATGCTGCGGCGGGCATTGCTCGGCGGCGGCGGCCTGGCGATCGCACTCGGCATTCTCCACAGGCTCTCTATCACCCAGTCCAACCAACCGCGTTGCCTCTGCGGTGTAGGCGGCCGGCGGCGCCTTGGCGAGTGCGTGGATCAATGATGAGCTTGATTCGCTGCGGCTGTTTGGTGGGGGCGGAGAGAAACCTCTGGCGGTGAAGAAGCGCGTGGTTCTCCTCGGAACAGGCTGGGCGGGCCTCTCCTTTGTGCGCAAGCTGGACATGGCCAAGTACGATCTCACCATCGTGAGCCCGCGGCCGTATTTTTTCTACACGCCGCTGCTCACCGGCTCGGTGACGGGGACTGTGCACTTCCACAACATCCTTGAACCCATCCGCTCCTTCTGCACGAGAGCGGGTGCAGCCGACGCCACTTACGTCAAGGCCAGCTGCGAAGGCGTCGATCTCAAAAAGTGAGGCAAGAAGCACCAGCGTAGCGGTCGCCCAAAGCCAAGCGCTCACCGATGGAGTGGTGCCGCCCCGCCTCAGGAAATTGGTCAAGTGCAAAGTCCCGGGTGGGCGTACTCTGTAGAAGTCAAGCGCCGCTTTCGCATTCTTAGACTCGCAGGTGTGGGCCACTTCCGGTTTCCTGCGTCCGCCTCCATAGTATTCGTACACTATCAAACTGTTAGCCTAATAATGTATCTAATTATTAGCAGCGAGGCACCTAATGATGTTATTATTAAGCTATTATTAGCATTAGCTTATTTGCAGCACTAGCTTAACTATATTACTCTTGTGGGAGGTGGCTACCTTGACGTGCCGTACGACGAGCTCGTCGTCTCGCTGCAACAGCTGGGACGTCGGGTGAACGCTCTCTTGCTACTTGCAGTTCGGTCCGTGCATATATCGTACACGTACTGCACAAGTGACAAGATGCTCTCACATATTGTTCTCACATATTCGATATTGTATCATTCACGTTTTCGTTTATCATTTTTGCTTTTGCAGCTGCTTCTTGCGCCGCAGGGGACCTTTTGCTTTTTTTTGGGTTGTAACGCCGGTGCGCGGGCTTTTGTTTTACGTATTACGATAACACGAAACACCTTCTCATCTGCGCCGGCCTGTGACGCTGGCAGTCAGTCCAGTGCGGCGCTAAACTCTGAGACTGCATTGTGAGCCTCCCGCCTTCTCTGCGCCGCGCCGTCAGCCGTGCTCCGCTGCTCCTTCAGGGCGCGCTGCGCTCCGCCCGCTCCGCTACCCTGCTTGCCTCCGCCCCCCTTGGCCTTGCCACCACCGCTGTACGCTGCGAGCTGATGCAGGTGCGACGGCTTGCGCCGCTTGGCAGCGGCGCTTGGCGCCACCTGCCGCCGCTTGGCCTGCTGCCTCGAGATGAGCGAGGGCGTCTCTTGCAGCGCAAAAGACTTTGCGAGGTGGCCGAGGTGGAGCTGCGAGACGTGCAGCACCCTCTTCTCCGCCTTGGAGTGCGCAGAGTAGGCGCGCAGGAAGGACTGGTACGCGCCGGCCGCGAGGCCGTGCAGCAGCGGCTCCGTGGCCACGGTCGACTCGAGCTGCTTCTGGAGGGCGAGCTCCGTCATGTAGACGTCGCGCGACGTGGCGTTGCGGCCGCACAGCGCCTGCTGGACCGACGCGAACTTGAGCTCGTCGAGCGAGACGCCGGCGCCCTGCAGCAGCTCAAGGTAGCCCCGCTCGCTCGGCTGGAGGAAGAGGAGGGCGCGGCCCTGCTGGCCGAGCCGCGCCGTGCGGCCGACACGGTGGACGTACTCGGAGTGGTCCTGCGGCGGGTCGTACTGCACCACCCAGTGGACGCCATCCAGATTGAGCCCGCGCGCCGCGATGTCGGTGCAAAGCAGCACGCCTGCGGGGCGGCTCCGAGCAAGGGTCAGGGGAGGTTGAGAGAAGAAGGTACGCGACGTCGGCGCGGCAGCGCGCCGCTCGGCAGCGCGCGGAATCGCCTGAAGACGTCCAGTCTCTCCGCCTGTGGGACATGTCGCGGACATGTCGCGGACGTCTCGGACACGTCATGGGCTCCGCCCTGCGCTGCCCCGCCTGCTGCAGCTGGCCGTGCAGCCGCAGCACAGTCGTGCCGACCAGCTGAGACACGCATCCAAGGCCGAGGCGCAGCCCCGAATCATCCCCCGGCCCGCCGCCGCCGCCGCCGCCGCCGCCGCCGCCGTTGAGAACGCCGTCCAGCACGGTGGACGCCGCGCGCCGCTCCGCCATGCGTGCCGAGGCCTCCAGCGCCTCGTCGCCCTCCGAACACCCCTCCACCCCGGCCCACCCGTCCCCCTCCGCCGCCTCGCCTTCACGGCCGTCCCCTCCCTGGCCGTCCCCTCCTTGGCCCGCCGAACCCGCCGCGGTGGCGGGCGCCGCCGCCGCGTGACCCGCCGCTGCCCGCGCCTCGCTGACGGAGGGCCAGCTGCGCGCCCGGCGGAGCAGCTCGTAGGTGAAGTCGACGCCGTCGCACGACGAGCAAAACACGATCGCCTTGGCGTGCCCCCGCCCGCCCTTCGCCGCCCGTCCGCCCTCGCCCTCGCCGCAGCGCGAGCGTAGAAAGGCAAAGAGCGCCGTGAGCCGCGCCTTTGGCGGAACCACCACAAAGGACTGGCGCAGCTGCGCCGGCGCCGCCAGCAGCTCCGACGCCGCCGCGCCGCCCGCCGCCGCGCCCCCCGCGCCCGCGCCGGCGGCGGGCCCATCTGCAGGCGCGCCCGGCAGCAAGGCGGCGGGCTGGGCGGCGTCAAAAGCCGGGCTGGCGGAGAGGTCGAGCGTGAGGGGCTCGCGGAGCGCCGCCGCGGCGAAGGCGGACAGCTTGGCGGGCAGCGTTGCGGAGAGGCAGAGCACCTGGAGCCCATCGCCGCCGGCGGAGGCGCGCTGCGCGCTCGCCCGCTCGGCGATGGTTGCGAGCGTCGTTTGCAGCGTGCCAGCGAAGCCCATCTGGAGCAGCCGGTCGGCCTATGGGGGGAGGATCCGGGGGGCGGGGGTGCGGGTGTGGAGGGCTCAGCCTGCCAGCCAGCCGGGAGGTGCGGTCGCTCGCCTCGTCCAGGACCACCGCGCAGCAGCTGGAGACGTCGAAGGCGGCGGTGGAGGAGAGGTGGTCGTGCAGCCGGCCGGGGGTGCTGACGACGAGCGCGGTCCCCTTGCGCAGCCGCGCCTGTGAATCCGTCATTGGCTCGTCATGCGTTCACTCATGCCTCCCCCACCTCGCTCCAGCCGCGCCTTTTCGCTCTTTCGGCTCTCGCCGCCCATCACGGAGCCAGTCACCAGCCACGGGAAGGGGCGCGTGAGGCCCTGCAGCGCCTCGAGGCTCTGCACCGCGAGCTCGCGCGTCGGGACGAGCACGAGGCCAAAGGTGCCTATCCTCTCGGGCCACCCCGCTCGTGTCGGGTGCTCTCGGGTGAACCCGCGCCTCGGCGCGAGCACGAGGGCAAGAGGCGCGCCTGCGGACCGCGTGACTACGGCCGGGCCGAGCGCGAGGAGCCTCTGCACCAGCGGGACGCCGTACGCGTACGTCTTGCCCGAGCCTACAGGGAGGCGGCGAGCAGGGTGCAGGCACGGCTCGATGCCACCGTGCGCGTTCGTCCAGCCGCCTCGCGCCAGTGGGAGACCGGACGACCAAGTCGCCGCCCGAGAGCGCGAGAGGGATGGTGCGGCGCTGGACGGGCGTCATGCTGTCGAGGCCGAGCCGCTGGAGCTGCCGCTGGAGGTACGGGTCCAGCGGAAGCTCGCCGAAGGAGTGCGCCGTCAGCGCTCCCGCCGGAGGCGTCGCCGAGAGCGGCAGCGCGTGCGGCAGCGGCATCGCCTTGGAGGGGTCCCGCTTGTCGACTGCGAGCAGCGTATCGTTGGCGCGGTCGTCCTGCGCCTGGCGGCGCTTCGGGATGTGCTTGGGCGGCTGCGGAGCGCTGCTGACGCCACTGACTCTCCCGCCGCCACCGCCGCCGCCTCCCGAGACCGTCGACGCGGTTTGAGGCGGCGGGCTGGTCGCGGCCGGCCTGGGCGCGGCGAGCCTGGCTTTCGGGGCCCTGGCAGGAGGCGCGCTGACGATGTGCAGCATATGTATTAGGCTGCCCGCGTAGACGCACGCTCTCCTTTCATGAGCTCCCCCCCCCGCCCGCCCCCCGCCCGCCCCCCCGGAGCCGGTGAGAGCTCGGAAGGCGAGCTTTGCACGGCGATCGAAGATCTCTGTCAGTGTGTTGGTACGTTTTAGCTTCTCTCAGTGATCTGTCAGTGCACTCGCTCTCTCGCTCTCAGTGGAGAGTAAGTATGTGTGGCTACTCGCTCTTACGAATCTACCTCTCGGAAGACGCGCGCCGGCCCGGGGGACTCGCTTGCGATCCCGTTCCAGCCACAGAGGCCGCGTGAGGCGTGTGGGACGGTGCACCCACGCGGGGCCCGAGTGCACTGGCCACGCGTCTTGAGGGGAGGGCGGCTCGTAACTGAGGTTCGCCGTCAGAGACAGTCGTCCTCCCCTCAACCGTGGGGGGCGTACTGGCTTGATCCCACCGGACAAGGGCTGGCAGTCTTCGTGACTGCTGTCACGCTAAGGCCGACGCCCCCTTGTCCACCCGATGAGAGGGGATCACGGGGTATAGACTCCGTACGCCCGGCCGGCTTACTAGGTCCCGCCCTTCTCTCGGAAGACGCGCGCCGGCCCGGGTGACTCGCTTGCGAGGTAGATCCCGTTCCAGCCAGAGGCCGCGTGACCACCATGGAGACGTCCGGCGGCGCCGAGGAGCGAGATCGTGCCGATCTCCTGGCAGATGATGTTGAGCCCCTCGGCGATGCGAGCGCGGCGGGAGCGCCGCCGCCTAAGACGGAGTCGGCGACGCTCGAGACGACGCTGAAGGAGGGCGCGTTGGACGGGGGAGCGGGCGGGTCGTGCTGCGACGCGCCGACGGGCTGCCGGCCGATGCTTGCTGTCGGCAACAGGTTGGAGAGCGCGCCAGTCGAGATGCCCCCGAGCCTTGCACACTGACGACGGCACGCCACGGGCTTCGCGTGAGGCGTGCGAGGCCGCGCGCGAAGTACGGTGGGGAACCCTTGCGTGTGATCTGTCGGTGTTCATTCATTTTGCGCATACTCGTGGTGTTGTAACGACGTGCTGCTCTGAGAACCAGACGTCTCGAACACAGAGAGCCCGGCCCTTACGGAGTCGCGCACGCACAGGACACCACCAGAAACATAGACCACCATGGCAGTCCCCGTCGACGCGCGGGCGGAGAGTGGGATGGGGCTCGGCCGCTTGCTCTGCGCACGTTAGCTACGCCGTGGGCTCAGGCCCCCCCGTTCTCACACCGACGCCGCTCGTTCAGGCCTCGCCGAACTCGAACTTGAACTCGTGGCCCTCCTCCTGCGAGGCCCACTTTGCGCCCGCGATCGTGAAATCGAAAGCCTTGCCATTCGCCTTGAGCTCCTTGGAGAGGTACTTCACGAACTTCTTGTAGCTGCGTGGGCGGAGCAGCGCGACGGGAGGTGAGGGTTCAGCGGCAGTAAGGCGCGTGCGGGAGGGGGAGCGTGTGCGGGCATGTGCCGTGTGCGGGGCGGGTGTGGAGGCGTGTCACTTCTTCCCGTTCTTCGTGATGGTCATGGAGGTGGGCGAGCCCGGCTTCGGGGAGGTGGAGGTCTTCGCCATGTTGTTGATTATGATGTCTGCGCGCGCGCCGGGGGGGGGAGCTCCGTGAACAGGCCGTGGCGGTAACGATTTGCCGGGAGAAGGGAGAGTGGGATGGGGCTGAGGGGCGTGTACGGCGGCGGGCTGGGCGGCGGCGAGGGTGGCAGCGGCGAAGGGTGGGTCCGCACGCAGCGGGGCGCGCGGCTGTGGTTCGCGGGGGCGGCGTGCGGATATTTCTTCTCTGCCGCAGCGTCTGCGACGTCTGCGCGCGACGAACGCTGTGTACACCCCCGGTGGCGGCGGGGTGTCGGAAACGAGCCGTGGCGGGGTGGGCGATGCGCCGCGCCGCGCCGACGGCAGGCGGGGGTGGGACGCGGGCGCCTCAGAGCATGAGTTCGCTACACATTACTATCAGCCACCTACAAATCGGCTTTTTTTTTGAGGCGCTGTTGCGGCAGTTCATACTTTCTCGAGGTTCTCGGGTGGATATCCTTTGGTCGCGTTGGGTAGCGAGGATTGGTGTGACGCGATCCACGCAGGCGTGTTTTATGGCGGCCGACCGTCAGTGCACTGGGAGTTGCCCCTTCTTCGACTGCCCCGGCTAGTTCACGCGAGTTTCGCGGGAGTGACTACATGCGTCAAACCCGAGACCTAGCGCGGGGGTGGGTTGGAGGGGGCTCGCTGCAGGGAAGGGCGGTGTAAGAAGCCGATCCCCGTATAGTCCGCCCCACTCCTCCCCATCGGGCCGCAGAAGCGGCCGCGCCTCGCAGATTCGTTTCTCGCGCCTGGGTCAGGCGCGCGGGGCATCCCCCGGGTCGCTCGACCAGCGATCCGAAGAGTGGCCGCTATGCGAGGGAAAGAGCGGGGCCCTCGACGCCTCTGTCCATACAAGAGTTGTCCATCAGCCCCGACCGGCAGCACGCTGTTGGTCGGTTCGAGAGGTGGCCTCCGCCAGGTCTGCGTGGGCGCCTCTCTCAAACCGCCTCCCTCCTTTGCCCCGAGCGTCGTTCCGCCCTCCATCCACACCATCCTCGAGCCACCATCTATGTCTCGCCTGACCACAACCTCACAAATGCGCGTGGCGAGAAGGGCCAGATCACTTTCTCCTGGTCGTAAAAGCACTTGGCGCTACACGAGTGACGAGAGGACACCAAAGTGGTAAAGGTGGCACTCTCCCTGACACACCGCGGTGTGGGGGGTGGGGGCGTGGTACGCTTGTCTGATATACACTGTGGGATCGGGTGCGGTCTCGCTGTGTGTGTGGGTCTGAAGAGACGGTCTGTCGTCTAAAACGACCGGTCCGATTCGCTCAGTCCACGGCCGTGCGCCCCCCTGTCACCCTCTCGAGGGCGACGACCAGCTCCACCTCGGCTGCTCCCGCCAGCGAGATGTTCAGCCAGCCGGCCGCCTCGCCGCCAAAGCTCGTCGCGCCGACGTTGCACGGGGCCGGCCTCTCGCAGCGGACGCGAGCGCGGCGCGAGCCGCGCGCGACGGTGCCATCGGCGGTGAGGGAGAGGAGCGCGTGCGAGGCTCCGGCGAAGGCGGGCAGCAGCGCGAGTCGGAGCGTGCCGAGCCTTCCCTCCACCCACTCGAGCCGCAGCCGCGAGAAGCGGCCTCCCTCGCACGAGAGAAGCAGCGCGAGCGGCCACAAGTAAGCGCGCCTCCCGAACGCGTCTCGCGGCGACACCTCGGCGGCGCCCGCCTGCAGGGGAGGGAAATGATGGTGGGGGAGGGGGTGGGTGATGATGCCTACGCGCTGAGGGGGTCGCGCCGCGCAGCTCACTGGCAAGCGGCAGTGCTGCTGCTGCTTGGCAGCGCTGCTGCTGCCGCTCGGCAGTGCTGCTGCTGCTGCTCAGCAGTGCTGCTGCTGCTGCTCGGCAGTGGTGCTGCTGCTGCTGTCCGCCGCTCACCGGCGGGCAATCTAAGGGAGATATGGGGGAGATATGGGGGAGATATCTCACCGGCGGGCAGTCTGAGGGCGGCGCCCCGGCAGGGCGGTGCAGCGCAGCGTCGCAGCCGAGGCAGGCGAGGCCGAGGGAGCCGGCCGCCGCGCAGACGTAGTAGGCGCCGGCGTTGCGCCAGTGGCCGTAGAAGCCGACGCCGAAGTCGGCCGAGTAGTCGTCGAGCGCGAGCACCTCTGGGTCCGCGTGCATCCCCATCGACGCGGAGCCGTCGCGCCGCACGTTGGTGAGCGAGCCTCCGCCGGCGCAGTGGGCGAGGCGCCACAGCCAGCCGTTGGTCGGGTCGCGTAACGCGTGGTCGTAGAGCGGCACCGAGTTGAGGGCGGCGGCGTAGTGGTGGAAGACTCGCTCGTTGCCGCGCACTGTCGCGCCGTTGATGGTGAAGTCCCACCAGCGGCGCGCGGAGCCGCAATAGGCCTGCTCACACGCGGAGCCGTGAAGGGCCTACTTTGCGCCCCTCGGCCGGCGGGGCGAGCCGCAGTGGCCCAATGCGGCGAGGCGGAGACGTACGCGGTGATGGCGTCCTTGACCTGCGCCGCCTCGGCCTCCTTTCCAAAGGCTAGCAGCCAGGTGGAGATCTCCTCGTGGCCGGTCGAGTCCCACGAGAACTCAGAGCCTATTCACAGGTGCGGCCGTGAATTGACCTGCTCGGTGCTGGCCGCCGTCGAGTCCCGGCGAGTGTGTTGAGCCGTATGGGAAAGGCATCGACAGCCAAACCGCCATCCGCTTCTCGGTCGCCTCCTGCAGCGAGGCCGCCTCCTCGGCCCACCCCTCGCGGCGCAGGTCCGAGAGCACGAGCTCGAAGACGGAGCCGACCATGAGCCCCCACTGCGCGGTGCCGACGCCGTTGCCCTGCTTCTTGGTCCACGGGTCGCCGCCCCACCGCCACACGGCGAGCGCCGTCGCGTGCGCGCGGCGCAGGTACCACTGCCACGGCCTCCGGCGGGCGAGCGGCGGAGAGGCGTAGCGGGCGGAGCGGTAGAGCGACCAGTAGACTGTGGTGACGTGCGGGTAGTTGTACGCGCGCCAGCTCTCGAGCGAGTGCTCCTGCGAAGGGAGCTGTGAGTCGCGGTTGATTTGAGCTACCGTGGGCCCAACGAAGCGCTCGGGAGCGCCTCGCTCCAGCAGTCCATCCACGAGCAGCGCGTCTGCTTGGTGGCGCCGGGCTGCCAGCAGCCGCGGCATACACGCGAGAGGCCGGGCGCAGCGGCGGTCGCCGCGCGGCCCTTGGCCGACTTCGGGTCGTTGAAGTCGTCATCCCACCTGCGGCGCGACGAGGCCGCGGGCGGGGGGAGGGGGGAGGCGGGGAGGGGGGGTGGAGGAGGCGGGGTACGCGGCCGCGTCTCGAGGGTCATGCGCATGCGAGGTGCGCGGCCGGCCGGCGCCAGCAGAGCTGCGAGAGGGAGATATGGGAGACATGGGAGATATGGCGCCAGAGCTGCGAGAGGCGGATCTGGTCGTCCGCAGCTTGCAGGAAGTGGGTGCGGTTCGGTTGGGCCTCCTGGTAGAGCGTCGCGGCGACGTACTCCTCGAGCAGCGCCACCTGCGCCGCGTCGCCTCTCCCGACCTGCTTGACAATAATAATAATAACAATAATAATAATAATGATAATAATAATGATCGCCCCTCCCGACCTGCTTGACCGCCATGGCCACGCCGGCCGCGGCGCCCGCCTAAGGTCAGGGTGTGCTGGTGAGGGGCAAGGGCATCGGCTACCCCCTGCATCTCCACGCGGTCGGTGCTCGTGGGTGGGCGGTGCGTGTCTGAGAGGCCCGTTATGTAGCCGAGGTCTAGCCGAGGTCTAGCCGAGGTCTAGCCGAGGTCTAGCCGAGGTCTAGCCTAGCCGAGGTCTAGCCGAGACGTAGCGCCCGCCTCGTCCGAGAGGCCCGACATGTACACGCGCCGCTCCTCGCTCACCCGCTCGCCGCGCCTCGCGTCCCAGCCGAAGAAGGCGCCGTCGCGGTGCCACGGGTCGGGGGTGCCGAGCGGCAAGTATCCCTTCGCCGCGCCGTGCTCGCCGAGCGCGCCCACGAGCTCGGAGGCGGGCGGCGCCACGTGCAAGTGGATGCTCATTGCAAGGGGCGAGCCGCGGCGCGGCGGCAGCAGCTCGGCGGGAAGCGCCACCGAGAGGCGAACGCGACGGTCCTCGGGCGACGAGCGGGGCACGAGGCTGTAGCGCAGGACCGCCTCGCTTGCGGCGACCAAGGGGCCGGCGTCCGTGTGCGCGGGCTGCAGCGGCGCGACGCGCGCGTGCGTGAGCGTCGCCTCGAGGGCGGACGCGGGCTCCGCAGCGAGGGCCGGCGCGAGGCGGGTTGGGTCAGCTCCGGCGGGGAGGCGGGTGGGGACGCGGAGCACGAGGCTGGCCTGCAGGAAAGTGCATGGAAGGTTCATGCAAGGCTCGGGGAGGCGGGCGGGGGCGCGGAACACGATGCTGGCCGAAGCGAGGTCGGAGTGCAGGACGGGGCCGGGCAGTGGCGAGGCGACTGGATGCCCCGCGGCAAGGAGCGTCGCCTAGGGGAGGCTCCGGCAAGGCTCCGACCAGGCTCCGAGAGGAGGGGCAGACGGGGCGCCCGGCGGCAAGGAGCGTCGCCTCGACCGCCTCGAGGCTCGGCGAGAGGACGAGTCGGAGTCCGTAGGTCGCCTCCCCGCCGGGCGGCAGAGTCGCCTCGCTCGGCGTGTTCCACGGGCTCGCGCTGCGCCACTCGCGCGCCGCGTGGCCGGCCGTGTGCAGCATCAGCTCGTGCGTGTTCTCATACATAAAGTCGAGCCGCATCAGGTCCTCGTGCCGGTACGGCCTCCACGCCTCGAGCACGGTCCCCGCCTCGGGGAGCAGCAGCAGCACCGGCCCGCGCCCAGTCGCGCGCGTCACCTGCACGTAGCCGCCGCCCAAGCCGAGGAAAGGCTCGACGAAGGAGCACGAGGCCGCCACCTGCGGCAGCGTCCGCCCCACAAAGTCCTGGTCAAAGGGCATCGCCAGGCCGAGCGACGCCACCTTGATCGGCTTCGAACCGCGGTTGGACAGCCGCAGCCGCAGCACCACGGCTCCTCCGGCCCTCGCCTCCTCGGCCACAACCTGCCGCTCGACCTCGAGGCCGGAGGCAGAGAGCGGGCACTCGCCCCTGCCGGCGCGGCCGGCGCCTCGCAGCAACGGCACCCGCCTCACGTGCCTCCACAGCTCGCCGCTGCCCGCCGCCGCGCCGCCCTCGCGAGCCGCGCCTTGAGCCGCCGCCTGGACTGCGCCGGCGCCGACCGAGGCGCAATCGGCGAGGGCGCCGTCGCCCGCCGCGGCGCGGAGTGTCAGGTCTCCGAGGTGGAAGTAGCCGTCTGCCCGCCGGTCGAGGTGGCCTACAGCAACGCGCTCGGAAGGCTCCCGGGGAGGCGCCAGGCAGCAGCCGTCTCGGGTCGAGCCCACCAGACGGCCCGAGGTTGACTTCTGGGTCGGTGAGCGGGAGAGGGTACGAGAAGGAGGGCTCGGTCGAGGGAGGCGCGGTCCTCGACACGCCGCCCCCCTCCCAACGCGGGGTGAGCACCTGCAGTTCCGGGAAGGTTCGGACAAGGTTCAGCGACGGAACAACGCCGTCCTCCCGGTGCCGGGGAGGGCAGCCCGGGTGGGTCGGCGCCTCGATCGTCCCCGTCTCGTTGCGCAATCCGACGGTGAGCGCCGCGCCCTCGAGGACAGTCAGCTCGCGCTGCTGCGCCGCGGCGCGCCGCTCGCGCGCGGCGATGCGGAAGTCGAGCGCCGTCTTGCCTATGGGACTTGTCGCGGGCTGGTCGTGGGCGAGTCCAGGGAGTGGCGGCGGAAGTCGAGCGGCGCGTCTTGCCGGGCGGGAGGATCGCGCCCGCCGTCCACATGTGCGACGCGTGGCCGGGCAGCGACGGGTCCTGCGTGTGCTTGAGCCAGCAGTGGCCGAGCTTGCTGCCGCACGCCTTCGCGTCGCCGCAAAAGACCCACGCGTTGCACGCCGTCCGGCCCTCTGCCGTCGCCGCCGTCGCGTGGGCCTCGCACGACGCGCAGCAAGCAGCGGCGTCGGCAACGACGTTCTTGTCGCCCCACACCACCGCGACGCCATCGTACTCGGAGTGGTACCGCGCATGGCACTGCGCCTACAGGAAGGCTCCGACTACTCAGGCGGCTCGTCGCACTCACTGGTACCGCGCGTGGCACTGCTGCCGGCGCAGCCACCGCGTCGCCACCGCTCAGACGCAACGGAAGCACCGGCGGAGGGTCGACCCGCACGGTCGCCTCGGGCCCTGTCTGGGTTGTCACTGCAGCCGATGCAGCCGCCGTCGCCGCAGCCGCTCTCGCCTCGGCCCCTCTCGCCTCGGCCGCTCTCGCCTCGGCTGCTCCCACCTCGGCCGCTCTCGCCTCGGCCGCTCTCGCCTCGGCCGCTCTCGCCTCGGCCGCTCTCGCCTCGGCCGCTGCAGGAGCAGCCTCGGCTGAGGGCTGCGACTGCTCCAGGGCGACGCTGGACAGTGTCCCGAGGACGGCGGCAGGCCCGGCACGCCTTCGTGCGCCGATCAGCGCTCGATGCTGTGCGTTCATCGGGCGGCCTGTGGATATTGGAGCAGTGGCCGAGAGCGCAATGACCACCACGGCTAGCACGACGAGGCCCAAGATTGTCACCGCTAGGCCGGACGGCTTGCGCGCGATGGTGGAGGCGCCAGATCGGCGCGGCATCCTCTGCTGCTCTCGAACTTGCCAAAAGAATTTTACAAGCGCTCGCGCACAACACTGGGCAAAGAGGCAGAAGAGAACGACGCGACAGAGGAGGAAGTGACAAGGGAGAGAACGACGAGAGTGGGACGACCGCGAGGTGGCATGAAGGTTGCAGCGAGAATCGGCGAGAGACTGCGAAGAGAGATAGGAAGAGGCAGACTCCCTAGGGTGGGCGACGGCTAGCGCACCACACACCTCTCCTTAAAATCCCTGTGTGGTGGCGGCGTGCCGTCCTCCCATCCCTCCCTTGGGTTGTCTGTTTTCTTTCTTTCTTTCTTTCTGGGCCAAAAGAATTTTCACTCGAAAAAGGAATAACGGGACGTGCACGGCCCACAGCGGAGCTGGGAATAGGACCGCCGCAAGCGGCATGGCGTGGGGCGGTTGAGCATCCCTCCGGGGGCCCCTCTCTCTGCGCCGGGGAGGCGTTGTTGGAGGCTAGGACGCAAGCGTCCGTCGCCCTTTTCAAACTCGGGGCCCACTCCGTCCGCTACGCTCCGACCCGAATTTGGAGGGCCTAAAAGTTTAAGGTGTTGCTGCGCAAAAGGGGTTGGACACAGGGCGCAGCTTCATGCTAAGAGCTAGAACGTAGAAGGGGAGACAACCACCCTGTCCCGTTATTGCGTACACCAACACCACAAAAGCTCTCTCTCTCCTGCTCCTCACTCACTCAGCGAGGGGGGTCACAACTACCGTGGTGCTATCACGGGCATGATCAGTGGAAAGTAAGCGGGTGGTACGGGATAGTAGAGCAGGCGCTTTGTGGGTGGCGGGTATGGGCGGCGTTGGGTTGCCGGCCGAATCGTTAGCGGAGCTCCTCCCTCAAGCTCGATCACGCATGACGCACGTTGAGTGACAACGGTGGCGAGCTTCTGAATCAGGCCAGGTTGCCGGAGCACCTCCAACTCCTCCTCTGAATCAGACACGACAACGTCGACTGCGCCCTCCCTCCTCCCACCCATTCGCCGACTGCGCCCTCCTCCTCCATGGGCTCGATCCGATTCCGCAGCGTGTCGTCCCCAGCGGCGGTGCTGCGCGGGAGGCGGCCGCGGGCACGCTGGGCTCGATCAGCGGCTCCCCTCAAGAAAGCACGGATGTCGCGGAGGTTCTTTCAATTTTATGTCTTGTACCCCCAGGTGAAGGCTTGCGTCCGACATCGCCCCTTTTGTGCACGGTATTCGGATTTTGCTATTTGCTCTGGGGGTATATTGCAGATTTGTCAATGGTACCGCGTCTGCGACGCGGGTGCCTTGCGTGCAGAGCCCTTAGCCACCCTTTATGTCTTGCGCGGTCATAAGCGCCGACTCCAGGTGCTCCAAGTGCTCCAAACGTGGACATTGGGCCGACCCGACCGCATCCCGAAATGAGGGTACACCACGAAAGGCAGAAAAAAGGTACTCTCGTGAGGCTGTGAAAGCACGCCCAACCTGGCGGATTTGGTACTTGCCCCCGAAGGCGAAGCGCGAATGCAAGTGCGTCTTGGCCCTGACACCATATTCGAATATCTTTGAGAATATAGAGGGTCCCGCGCACTTTCGTATTCGAGAATATTCTCGAGAACATAGATGCCCCGGCCGGCTTTTTTCTCAAGAATATACGAGCTTTCTTCAGCCCTTGACCTTGATTGACCTCGGAGTCTCAAGATATGCTTGAATATTCTCGACGTTACAATCGCGGCGTCTAGAACGGTCTTGACTAGAGCTTCTCGGAACAGCTCTTTTGCACCTCAACAGTAGGTTTTGGGTCGACGCAGACGGAAAATTTAAGTTTCGGACGTTCCTCGGCGGTTTGGGAGCACAAAACCTCTACTTTAGAGCGGTTTTTGGCCTCCGTCGACCTGCCGCGTGGTAAAAATATAATATTCTCAATATTCGAGAATATTCTCGAGAATATAGAGGGTCTGGGGAGAATATCAGCAAAAGAATATAGATAGTACTTGGCGAGAAAAACGTGTAAAGCCCAAAGTGCGTCTGTTCACAGCTCAGGAGAGTAGAAAATGGGTTTAAAGAAATACATTAAAACTTTTCAAAAGGGGTGCAAGTTACGCGGCGAGGGAAAAGGGGGCAAAGAGGGGCAGCAAAAGCGACAAAAGGGACGCAAAGGAAACAGGTACGCCGCGATCGTGGGAGCCGACCAGTCCAGAGCCGCGCAATCCGCTAGCGGCCTGCTAGCGGCGGCGGGTCCCTAGCGCGTAGCGGCAGGTCCCTATTCGCCAACACCGATGCCGCAGCAGGTCTCGCTCATCGTGCCGCAACCAAGGGGCAAGTCGCAAGAGAAGTCCGCCGCTCTGGTCAGCAGATAAGCTTTTCACGGCTAATCACGCACACGAAGCAACGGTGCAGTGCTTGCCATTTACTGGTATAGCCCACCCAGAACAACCAAACACTCTACGGCCAAAACAATCAAACGGTGGTAAGATTTACCACGACTTCTGAGGCAAAATCTGACAAAAATCGGAGAAATCGGCAAAATACCGGTATTTTGCCCTTTTGCTGAATTTGGCCGCAAACCAGCCCAGACTCGGCTCAGAGCCCAAAAATTGCCACGGAGTTTCGTATTTCACCATACCACTATCTGCTCATACCATACCACTCCCCAGGAGAATCAAATAAGTGGTGAATACCACACATTTACCAGTAAATGGCAAGCACTGGAACGGTGTGGGGCGGCCGCGGCGTCTCTCTGACTGATGTCTCTTAAGTCTAATCCAGCGTTAGTGTGACGGTGTGTGTGTGTGTGTGTGTGTGTGTGTGTGTATTCTGGAGGGGTGTGTGCCAGTGTGCGTTTTAAGCGTGCTACTGCATAAACTACAAACTGACGACCTCTCTCTCCGCTCTAGTCGTGTCGTAAGTCATGTGCAGGGAGTGCAGCAGACTCGCCGGAAACGTCCAACCAATCATCCCGGTTCCCGCACGCTGCTGTCTATCGCGGGCGACGCGGCGGGCTCCCACAACGCGAGGCCGCTAGTCTCTGCGGCCGCGATGGTCTCGGCGGCCACCACCTGCATGCTCGGTCGCAGACCCGGGTCTTGCTGCCAGCAGCGAGTGATGAGGTCCGAGTAGACGGCGCGGTCGGGCGAGAGGCTCAGCGGCGGCCGCGACGCGGACGAGGGCGGGACGGCCACCTCGTGCATGAGGGACCAGAGCAGCATCCCGTACGAAAAGGTGTCGCACCGCTCGTCGTAGCCCGCCACGGGCGCCTGTCCAGATGCGCCACGAGGCTGGGCGCGCACCTCTGGCGCCATGAAGCGCTTCGTGCCTGCTCACAGCGTCGCGCTGTAAAGAGACGCCCCTCCCGGCGCGGCGGCATCAAGCGCGCTCCGTGCCGACGCCCGACGTGTAGAGTGCCGCCTCGGCACCGGAACTGGAGACCGGCGCCGTCGACGCGTCGCTCGCAGAGGCGGCGCCGCAGCTGCCCACGAGCCGCGCGATGCCAAAGTCGGCCACCTTTGCGTGGTACTCCGTATCGAGGAGCACGTTGCTCGGCTTGATGTCGCGGTGCATGACGCCGTTGCCGTGCAAGAAGGAGATGCCCGTCGCAACCTCGGCCGCGATCCTGGCCGCCAGCCCCGCCCGGAGGGGCTCGCCCCGCCTGAGCAGCTCGCTGAGCGAGGTCTGCATCAGCTCGAGCACGAGCGCGCCGCCGCCGCCCGACAAGGTTGTGGCGCCGAAGAGGGTACAGATCGACGGGTGGCGGAGCCGGGCGAGGAGGCGCGCCTCGTCCTGCAGCCGCCGCGAGGTCTGCCCGCCGCGCGTCACCTGCGAGGGGCGAGTGGGGGGGGAGTGGGGGAGGGGAAGGGGGGGGGAGGGGGAGGGGGGGGGAGGGGGGGGAGGGGGTGAGAGGGTGAGGCGAGAGGGTGACCGATGCACGGAAAGCAGAGGGGGAAGGCTGCGAGCTAGCTGCGAGCTGGCACCGCCCGCCCTCTCCGCCGTCACCTTGAGGGCGACGTGTATGCGGAGATTGTGGGAGATCGCGGGAGATAGTGTGAGATCTCACCTTGAGGGCGACTTGTATGCCGAGCCAGCGGCCCGCGTAGACCGTGCCTTGGCCGCCCCTGCCGAGGACGCGGTCGATGACGATGTCGTTGGCTGAAAGCGGCGGCGGGAGGGCGGCCGCATCTCGATCCAGAAACGCGAAGCGGACCTAGGGTTTAGGTGCGTGGATGCGTCACGCCGTGAGCATGCGGACATGCCGTGGACATGTCGTGGACGGGTCTCGAGGGCGAGGCGCACGTGCTGCTCCATCAGGTAGCCGAGCGCCTCGCCGAGCATCAGCGCGCCTAATCTCTCGGGTGATCTCGGGTGATCTCAGGTGGCCGAGCGGGGATCACCCAGTAGTGCCTCCGATCAGCAGCGGCTCGGCGACATCTCGGCCACATCTCGGCCACATCTCGGTCACATCTCGGCCACATCTCGCCTCCGATCAGCAGAGGCTCGCCCGGGTGGCCGATCTCCGTGACGGGCGGCGACAAGGTGAAGCCAGCCACGACGACTGCGATCCACGCGAAGCGGTGCGCGTCCAAGATGGCCGAGTAGCGCAGGTAGACGACGGACAGCAGCAGGAGCAGCGCCTCGTTAAAGACGAAGAAGTGGAGCGGGTAGATGCTGCCCGTGGGCGGGTGGAGGAGGAGCATGGCGGCGACCAGCACCACCGTCAGGCCGACCAGCGTGCGACCAAAGAGCAAACGGGCGCGCTGCTGGTCGTGCATGCGGTCTGCCCGCCAGCGCGCACCCGCCAAGGATGCGAGCCAGACGAGCTCGCCGCAGAGCTCGTCGAGCAAGAAGTCGTTCTGGAGGACGCAGGAGAGGGCCAAGTCGAACGCGGCACACCTGTCGGAAGTACGTGGAAGGCTCGTGGGAGGCTGCGAGCCTGGCAGCGAGGACCAGCTCGAAGGCGGCTCGCACATGCCGAGGAAGACCAGGAACGGCAAAAAGGCAGAGCGGAAGGCCTTGGACGTGTACTGCGCCTCCATGTCCCGGTCGACGAACTGGAGCCTGCCGGGACAGGGAGAAGCGCAGCGGTCGAGTGGCGTGTGCGCTCCCTGGCGCGCCGCCGGTGTGTCTCTCTCATTGGGGCGCACGTCCACGGCTCGAGCGGCGGCGGCGCAGCGGGGGCGAGCAACTGCCCGGCGGCGGCGGCTCGCTCGAGGAAGGCGAGTCGCATGCGCCGCTCGAGGAGGTAGCCTGCCGCCTCGCCGAGCAGTAGTGCTCCGCCTACGCGACACCTCGAGGCGGTGGCACCGCGACCTCGGGAGACCTCGCCGAGCAGGAGCCGCCCCGCCCAGCAGGAGAGGCTCCGCTGGCCGGCCGAGCACAGACAGCTGCGGCAGCACGGCGCTCCCGATCGCCTGCACACCGAACCTCGACGGCTCTCAGCGTGCGGGCCGTCACAGCTCTGCCCGCTCTGCCCGCGTCTCGCGTTGGTTGCGGCGTATGCGGCGCGCGACTGCCACGGGATGGCCTGTGTACAGGAAGGTGCCGAGAAGGCTCATCATAGAGGGTTCGGAGACTGCGGCGCGCGGCTGCCACGGGGTGGCCGAGTGGCGCAGGTAGAGAGAGACGAGGCACCGCATCAGCGCAACCACCACCACCAGGCCGGGGTGCCTCGGCTCGGGCGGGTGGAGCCGGAAGAGGAGCAGCAGCGCGGCCCAGCCCACAACCGCCGTGGCATTGAGCGCGAGGCCAAACAGCGCGCGCGCCCGCTGCTGGTCCGCCATGCGGCCCGTCCTCCGGCGAGCGACGGCCAACACGACTCCGGCGAGAGCGGTCGCCATCCCGGCTTCTCGGATGGCCGGGAATCCCACGGCAAGGGCTGTATACAACGCGGACCAGACCACCTATGCAAGAGCAGAGAAAGACACGCGTCACTCAGTGGTGTGCGGCACAGGATGCGCTCGGCGTCTCTTCAGCACGCCAGGAAGACAACGAGAGGCGAGTAGGCGGAGCGGAACGCATCACCAGTGAAGCGTGCCTCGAGCGCGGGATTTTTGATGGTAAGGGTCCACCGCTGCAGCCGTGCATCGTCTGTAGCTGGCCAGAATGCGGCTGCCGCGGCGAGCATCACCAACGCAGCAGCAGCGACGACTTCACGAGCGAGCAGACCGGAGTCCCCCGGAAAGCTTGTGTTTCGGTTTCCAGGTGTCGTTTTGGCTGCCTTGAGCGTGGCCAATCTATCAGCGTACCGCGCCTTCAGCATAGCGATCCGCGCCTCGAGCTCTTCCAGCTCACGATCTCGTCGGGAGAGCGTCCTCGTCAGTGTGGTGCGATCCGCCGCCGCATGGTCTGAATCGCTCGCTGCTCGCGTAACACCGGGCTGCTTCCAGGCGAGTCCAGCGATCAGGGCGAGGAGCGCTGCGAAGGCACGGCGTGTCGTTAGCATTTGCCGACAGGGGTCTCGGCAGATAGTCGGAGATACCCACCGATCTTCAACTGAGCCCCCCCGGGGGACCATCGGTGCCTGCAGAGCGAGTGAAAGAGGCGCTCGGACACACGTGAACGAAACGGAGGCGCCTGGGAGATACCCGGTAGTGGGTGGTGTGAACGCGCGGGCCTTCTAGGCCCGCGGGTAGTCTCCCCCCATCCCCAGGGCCTCCAGGGCTCGCACCTCAACCTCTCACAGACCAGCGCATAGCGCCATAGGACGTATTTTCTTCTCATAACAAGGCTGTGAACATCGAGCGCCGAAACGCCCTACCTACCTATCCCCAGGCCGCGCAGCGAAGCGAAAAAAGACGAAAATAGGGGTACCTACCTGTTGCAGGGCCCTCCGTGGCGGTCAAAACCGGACATACCTACCTGTTGTATAGGCTTGGCCATAGGGGAGAGAGAGAGACTTTCATAGGGGTGTCCACACGGGGGTCAACAAAGCCCCCTATCTGGCTTGGAGCCGGAACCCAGTGTTGTTGATGGGGGAAGGGGGGTGGGGGCGGGGGGCGGGGAGGGGGGCAGCTCAAACGGCCCGGGCAGCTCTTAATTAAACAGCCCACTTTTAAGAGCCACGGGGACCCAAGCCACGTGAACTTAACGTAACTTATTGCTCGCGCGAGACCCATCCGCAATGACGGACAAATGGCGGGGTTGGCTCTACACACATTCGAGTGCAAGCGACGACGGATGGAAGCGCGTGTGCAAGCTCTCCTCCTCCGCCACATCGGCTGCCATCCTTCCCGAGGAGATACGAATGGTCCTCTTCAAGCGCTCTGCGGTCGAGGAGAGAGAGCGTCGGTACCTGAGCGCGTTGGGGGAGCCGGTTCCCCACGAGAGGGAGCGCCTGCTTTCCTCGAACGGATGGCACTCGTTCGAGCTCAGTGTGCGCACAGCCAAAGCCCGAGAGGCCGACTTGCGACGGCTGGTGCGGCTCGGCGCCTTCATGGCTGAGCGCGGGCGTGTCGGTGTGCTCAAGCTTCCCGGAGGCGCCTCGGTCGTGATGCACGAGATTGCGACGGTCGAGCTGCCCCTCGAGGCTGGCGGCCCGGAAGTCGTGGTTCGCTGCGGCTTGGCGCTTGGCACCGCCTCCGCCAGCGCCGCCGCGGCCGAGCTCTCGCCTCCACCGCCCGACACAGCCACGGCCGCGGCGGAGATTGAGGCGGTCGTCGCCGCGGCGCACGCCACTCTTGAGCCCCAGCCCGCCACCTCCAGCGCCGCCCTCCCCGCTACCTCCAGCGCCGCCACCTCTGGCACCGCCCTCAAGAACTCCGGCGCCGCCTCCAGCGCCGCCCTCTCCGAAGCAGCCGCGGCAGTCGCCGCCGCCGCCGGCCGAGTGCTCTGGTACTACAAGGATGAGAGGCAGGCGGTCCAGGGCCCGTTCGAGGCCTCGCAACTGAACGAGTGGTTCGGAGCTCGGACGCTGCCTCCCTCGCTTCCGCTCCGCTCGTCGCGCCACCCTCCTGGCATCTACACGCCCCTGCTCGCGCTGGTGCGGCGGCACGGAGGCAAGCCCCGCTTCGACGAGCCGCTGTACGAGCCGCCGCGCGAGCCTCTGAGCGCGGCGACGCGCGCGGCGCTCGAGGGCGCGCGCGTCTCGCGGGCGCACCTCGCTGCGGGGAGACGACCAGCCGCAGCGTGGTCCGAGACTGATGACGCGAGATTGGCCCGAGATGTAGGCGCACCTGGAGCGGTGGGCGAGCGGGGCGCTCGCTGGCCCGGCCGGCAGCGCGCTGGTCGCCGCGCTCCCCTCGACCCTCGCCGGTTGCCTCGTGCGAGTCTTCATCGGCACGGCGCGAGGCGAGTCTGTGCACCGGGCGGCGGAGCTCGTCCACATGCGGCAAGGCGCGGCGCTCCACTCCTCCGAGTCGGCGCGAGGGCAGGCCTCGACCAGGCGCCGCCGCCCCGCCGCCCGACGCCCCTCGGCGCACGCCTCCCGCCGCCGCGTCCTCCCCCCCCCCACCCTCCCGCTCCGCGCTCCCCGTGCATACCCGCAGGCTTGAGCTCGAGCTGCGCATCGGCGCTTCGTGCCGCTCCTTCCCGCTCGCGCACGCCTCAAATGAGCCCTTTGCGAGGGAGGTGTGACGCGGCACGCCTGGCGTGCCCGCGCCTCCGCCGCGCCACGGTGGCCACCGCCGCCGCCCTCGCCATTCCAGACAAGGGGCTCCCCTCCCCTCTGCAGGAGCTCGAGAAGTTTGCGGAGCAGGTGGCGCTGCCGAGTGAGGCGTTCTGTGCGGAGCGACGCCGAGCCATCGCTTCCCTCGACGCGCGCTTCCGGGCGCTCCCGCCTGCCGCGCCGCCGCCCGCCGCCGCGCGGCCCGAGGAGGACTTCGACCAGGCCGCCGATGACGCGTGGCAGTCCGAGGAGAAGGAGCGCGAGGAGCGCACGGCGGCGGCGGCGTTGGGTGGCGGCGGGGCGCAGGGCGGCGAGTTCGTCATCGAGCCGATCGACGAGGACGGCGAGGAGCGGCCGGCCGGAGTGGCGGCGCCGCCTGCTCAGGAGTCCACTTGCTGCCGGTGCGGCACTTTGCTCGACGACGAGGCGGGCGAGGTGGTGACGCCCTCCGTCGGGTGCGACGCCGGCGGCTGCACGCGCTGGGCGTGCCTGGCGTGCGCCGGCTTCAGGAGCGAGGCGGAGGCGGGGCGCGAGACGTGGTTCTGCCCACTGCACGCCCCGGCTCTGCCCGCCCCTCGCGCGCGCAACACGCTGCCCGCTGCCCTGGAGCCGAGGGTGGTGTCTGCGCCGAAGCCGGCGGGAGGGCTCGCAGAGAAGCGGCTGCGCGCCCTCGTCGCGCGGCTGTCCACACCTGGCGCGGCGGCGGAGCTCCTCCTCGCCGCCCTCGCCGAGCTCGGGCCCGTGCCAGTGACGGTCGAGCTGCTGCGCGCAACCGGCGTCGGCAGGGCAGTCAACGCCGTGCGAAAGGAGCACGAGGGGGGCGCAGTGGCAGAGGCGGCCACCGCGCTGCTGCAGCGCTGGCGCGGCCTCGCCCAGGCCAGGGCCGCGCTGGGGGCGGGCTCGAGCACCGACGCCGCCCGCAGCGGCTCCGACGCGGCGAGCGGGCCGGCGCGAGCCGAGCTGGCGCAGGCGAGGGCTGCAGCGCCGCGTTGGCGGGTCGACTTTGCCGACCCGGCGCCAGGAGGCTTGCGCGGACTCATCGCGGCGGCGCTGCGCGGCGGGCCGCTGCGGCGCGACGCCGTCGTGCAGCGCGTCGGCGCCATCGCCTCTGCTGCCGGGCTCGAGAGGCGGGCAGAGCGTTCCTCCGTGCTCGCCGCTCTCTCGCGCGAGCTGCGCCAGCCGTCCGCCTTCTGGGTGTCGAGCGGCTCTGGCGCCGATGCAGTCTGGGCTCTGACGGAGGTCGCTGCGTCGGCCCCGCCACCGCCCGCCATGCCGCCCGCCGCGCCGCCGCCCGCCGCACCGCCGCCCGCTGCGCCGCCGCCCGCCGCACCGCCGCCCGCCGCATTTGCTTCGGCGGAAGAGGCTGCGGTCCCGGCCCCGAGTGGCGCGGGGAGCAGCCTGGCTCACGCACGGCGGGAGGCGATGGAGAGGGCGGCGCATGTGCTCGCCAACTCGAGGGCGCAGGTGCGGCGGCGTGCGCGGTACGAGCAGTTCACGAGCGCGCGGGCAGCGGCGGTGGCACGGGCGGAGGGTTCGGAGGGTTCCGAGACCGAGACGGAGGAGGAGGAGGGGGAGGGGGAGGAAGGGGGGGCAGGGAAAGGGGCGGTGGAGGTTGTGAGCGCGTCTCTCGTCGCGGTGGCGGGCGAGGCGAGCGCGACGCCGTCGGACGTCGTGTTTGCGGACGCCGAGGGCGAGCTTGGGAGCGGCGTCGAGGTGGTGTGCGAGGCCTGCACAGACTCGGAGGACGAGGAGGAGTGGGCGGACTCGGAGGACGAGCGCGCGGCCGTCGCCGCAGCCGCGCTCGGCATGGGCCCACTCTCGGCACTTTTGCCGGGCGGTGGCGGCTCCGCAGGAGTGCAGGCGCACGACATCGACGGCTGGCAGGAGATGCCGCTCGGCAAGGCGCCGAGGATCTACGACTCGCCCCGCTCACGCGAGGACTCGTCCCCGTCGTATGAGCCGGGCTGATGTGCGGTATAACGGATGAGCACATAAGGTTCAGTTAACAACACAATGTCGCATGCACAAACACCAGACACACCACCACCGGTAGAGTCCAGACCGTCACCGATCGGCACGCACGATTCCGAACGAGAGCGGGATCTGCGGGCAAATAACAGCACCGCATGGAGGCACATAGGCAGGTTCGGGCGCCTCTTAGAGCGCCCTGTTCGACTGCAAAATACCCGTACTCTCCTTCCTCAGGAGAGCGATCTCTTCTCAGGCGCTGAAACCGCGCATCGCCTTGGGCACATACTGCGGGCCGTGGGGATGCTCACACACCTCCACCAGCTCGCCGGGGTCGACTAAGAGCTGCTGCATCTCGGACAGCTCCAGCTTGAGCTCAGCCAGCTCTGCCTGTGAGATCCTCGCTAGCGGAGCGCGAAGCAGCTCCTGCAGGACGGCGACGCGAATGGGGAGCGAGCCCTGCTTCGAGGTGGCGACCGCACACCTTGGCAAGCGCAGGCCGGCGCTGATGCCTAATAGGGTCAGCAGCAGGACAAAGACAGCAGGCATCGGCCCTACCCGACTACCCGACTTCGACTCTCTTTGAAGGCGATTGGTCGCAAATTCTTTTCGCACTTCGGCGATACGATCGTAAAGTTCAACCTAGGGACCGTTGCCCTTACTCTCAGCACGCCTCGCGCGGACGCTTTCTTCTCGCGTATCTGCGCGCCAATAGCATGGAAGCAGAGAGAGAGAGAGACTCTCTCTCTCTGGAAGCTGCAGAGGAGACGAGCGCGGCCCTCATCCGCCCGCCCGCCCGCCGGGGAGCACTACGGCAGCGGCCCCGGGCAGGCGGAGGCGGGGGAGGCAGCTGGTGGAGGTCAAGGTGTGGAAGGCGAGGGTGGCGGAGGCTTCGACGGAGGCAACACACAAACAAAGCGGCGAAGGCAATGACGTAGGCAAGGGACCATGGGACCTCACTCGAGCACCTCATACAACAAGCAAGAGAGAGAGACGCCAGCCCTCTCTCCCTTTTCTCCCATTCCATGCACATGCACAACATGCAACAAAAACAACAATTGCTAAAAATCTCTCTCTCAACATGCACATGCAGAGAGAGTGCACATGAGTCATGAGAGAAAGATTTTTAGCAATACCACAACGTGGCAGCCCCCACGTCCATGCTGTTCTGCATGCTCATGGAGACGATCCAGCTCAGCCGCTGCGAGAACGCCTTCGCCCACCTGTTCGACACCGAGCCGGCCAACAACTTGTACGGTCCGCTCACGACGGTGCAACGGATGCGAGTGGTGGCTCTCTGCATGGCGTGGTGTTTTGGGATCACCTTTGTCGGTGTCCAAGGCTACCTCCTCGTCCGCACAAACCGGTCTCACACCGTCGCCCTCGTCTCGTACAGCGCGGAGGTCTTCGGCCTGTGCCTCGCCTTCCTCATGCCCAGCCTCGGGGGCATCGACTGGCTGATCTGGACTACGCCTTCCGACGACTCGTGGCTGGACGAGACCGACGATGCGGTGGAGATCGCGAGGAATATCGTCAAGTGCTTCGTGAGCTGCGGCACGTTTAGCTCCTGCCGGTGGAAGGCCGAGCTCGAGGGCGAGGCTACTGGCGCGCTCGTCTGCGACGTGGGGGCGCGAACGTCTATCGGATAACCGAGACTATGTGTGTAGGATAGAGCGGCCATGTCGTTACGAGGGGCGAACAAATGCGCAGACGCGAGTCACACAGCCTGGAGATGGTCCTGGTCTCCTCTGGAGCGTGGCGAGAAGCAGCGCCGCAAGCAAGTGACGGATTTTTTGCGCTTGTGATGTATCTGTGTTAGTGCCAGTGCGCGCCACTCCCGTGCCAGTAAAGAAAAGAAAGAAAACAGGCTCGGGGACGCGTGTTTACTTTACGGCCCTTTCCTCCCTGCGAACGCGCGCACCCCCCTAGGGGTCAGGGCTCTCTAGCCCGTAGCCCGATGCCGATCATCCGGCCCGCTGGGTGCGCTTCTTAGCTCCCTGGCCCTGGATGTGAGGTTGATGACTGCACTCCAAGTGCTCCAAGTGCCAGCCAAGGGAGGGATGGGAGGACGGCACGCCGCCACCACACACAGGGATTTAAGGAGAGGAGTGTGGTGCTAGCCGTGCCAGTGTCGTGTGAGAGAGTTTGGTAAAATTAAGTCCCAGTGCCGCCAGTCCCGTGCCTTGAGTCGTCCGAGTCCTTCGTAAAATTCTTTGTCGTGCGCGAGAGTGGAATCCCGGGTTTAAATTCTGTCGGCGGACAGCCGGCAGCAAGAGAAACCGCAGTGAGCGGACCGCCACTGCTGTAAGGGGAACAACTAGATAGAGGTCCAACCCAAAGGGGAACAACTCGCACCGAGACAGGCGCCGACACAAAAGAAAACCCAGACGTAACGCAAGCAGTCTCGGACGCAAGTATCAGCACAAGAATCAGAACGTATTAAAAGCACCTAAAGGAGCAAGGCATACACACCGGTTTTCGGTTGTATTTTCTTCTCATAACAAGGCTGTGAACTGGCTGTGAACAAGTCGGCGCTCCTGTGGCCCGCTTCTCGCAGGAGGCTCGGCCAGCGCCAGAGCATGCCAGACTATTCCAAGTGGGACTCTCTCGCCGTGTCGGACGACGACGACGACGCTCCAGCCCGGCCCGACGGCCGCGAGCGCGCGCTCGGGTCAGAGGTGGATCCAGACGGCCTCCTCGGCGTGCGCTGGTCACAGCGAAAGCACGGCGAGCTGCGCGCCACGGTCCCGCTTGCAGCGAGCGCCACGGGCCGGCAGTGTCGCGTCGAATTCAAGCGCAACTGGCTCAAGGTCGTCGCTCCGCCGCTGAACCCAGCCGCCACGCCGGCTGGTGCCGCTCTCCTCGACTTTCAGTTGCACGGCGCCGTCGACCCCGAGCGGTGCGACTGGCGGATCGAGCGCAGTGCGAGAGGTGTGGTCCTCCTGCTGGAGCTGCAAAAGTCGCCCATCTACGACTGGCCGACGTTGCACCGCGTCAACGGCCTCCGCTCCGAGTCGGACCGCGCCGCGGCCCTCGACCGCCTGCAACAGGAGGCGGACCAGACAGCGGCGATGGCACAGGCCGCCAACGCCCATGCGGAGGCGATGCCGGACGGCGAGCGCGCGGCTGCACCGGGCTGTGAGCCTGGGCCCATCGTCGAGGTGGCTGAGACGGCGGTAGGTCAGCCGCAAACACTGCGACCCCCCGGCGTATATGAAGGCGGCAGAGTGATTGTCTCTGCTGCTCCCGGGGAGGAGTGACAGTGAGCGGAGCGGCGTAGCTCGAGGAGAGGCGAAAGTGATTTATTGTTAAGTTAGGTTGCACACATGCTGCTATCTCCAGCCGCCGCGGTGTGGCGTGTGGGGCGGGGAGGGGTGCGGGGCTACCGTAGATTGAGTAGATATACGCCACGGCCCACGCCGCGCGCGGGGGTGCCCGCAGCTCTCTCCCGGCTCCCGCACTCACCTGCGGCGCCGCCCGCGCGCCCGGGCCCGCGGCCCGCGCATCCAGCCCACCGACACGTGCGAATTCGCGCTGAGCGACGCCCCGACAAGCAAGCTCTCCGGCGCTCTCGAGAGCCTGGGTCATGAGACCCGCGCAAACGTCTTGACGAAGCCGCCGGCGCACGCCGTGTGCATCTCGCCTCGGCCGTACAGCAGCGCGGCGACGGGCCGCTCGTGCAGCGGCACCGAGGCGAGAGGAGCGAGGAGCGGCACCTGCGGCGGCGGCGGCGGGAAGGTGGGCCTTGCAGGCCGCCGCCCCTTCCGCCCCTTCCCCCCCCCCCCCGGGCAGTCTAGGGCAATCTCGTGCGATCTCGGGTCCTCTCGGGCGAGGCCTCGCGGAAGCCCGGCGAGGGCACGTCGGCGCCGTTCGGCGGGGGCCCGCCCCCGTCCTCCCCCTTGCCGTCGGCGCGGAACTCCCAAAAGCAGATTCGGCCGTCGGCGCCGACCGAGGCGAAGGCGTGCGAGGCGGGCGGGCGGTCCTTCCCCTCCTGCAGCGGCGCGGGCTCAAAGGCGACGTGGTGGACCTAAGGGGGTGTGGTGGCGAGAGCGGAGCTCGGGCGGTGGTGGTAGCAGTGGAGCGGTGCTGGCAGTGGAGTAGTGGTGGCGCGTGGAAGGGGAGGGAGAGGGACGGAGAGGGAGATGGATAGGGATATACAGACGGAGACGGCGAGGGAGAG